TATTGATCATCAGAGCTTTGCATAAGGACCGTTCGTACGCGCATATCTTGGGTATGCTTTATCAGTGCTCGTTTTGGGCCAGTAGTTTCATTGCAAAACCTGAGAATATTCTATCGGTTAATTATTTCAGCGAAACAGGAAAAACTTTTGAAAGCAGCTGGAGGTAAGCGATGCGTAGAAAAGACGAACACAAAAGCACATGATATTAAATTCTGTTTCGTTAACAAAAGCGTCTTTCTTTGACGCTAAATTCTTAAGTTCGAAACGTGTTGAGACAAAGCCCTCAAAATGCGAACTCAGGGAAGCCTGACCCGCAGGCGAATAACCAATTTAAGCCCATCTGCGCAAAAGCCTCTGTACTTCAAGAGATATCTCTTGCAACTGAAAAAGACTCGTCTACCACGAAGAACTTGCGATCTTCGTAACTTAATAAAATTGACCTATAGTTCGAATCGAATTATCTAGTCTGCATGAAAGTTCGTTAATTAATACTTAATTTGTTTTTTTCCCTTTTATTGTCTATATTGCATTTAGAAAGATCTTTGTTCCTTCAACCGTGATAAACCATTACCATAACAAGTGACACATGATCACTTGTTTTCGAAACGGCCAAACCAGTTTTGACATCATAATAGCCCAGTGTATTCTACGACGCACGCCAGTTGTGAGACGTTAGTTTCAGGGGTGAACGAGTTAAGTTATAGTCTACGCTTCCACAAATCGTGTTCAGAGCCAAGATCATCAGAATCTCTTCAATCTTTGTGCAACAGGGGAAATCTGAAGATTTTTGAAGAGGAACAAGTTACTTGTCTAGTGACGCAGTTTACAGACAGAAAGATGATGGTAAGTTTTCGCGCCGAAACTGATAAAGTTTATACAACTTACGGACCATGACAGAGAATTGAGCCATTACTGAACAGAAAACAGGATAGTGCTTGCCTTCATAGCGGTTAAAAGAACGAAACGTATTTTACTTGCTTTTTTTATTAGTACGACGTAACTCTTCTACATGAAGCGATGTTCATTTTGCCATAAAGTTACCTGTGTAAAAGAGCTACTTTAGTTTCTATTCTTAACAACACCCGACGAGTTTGGTTTTTTTTCCTGTTTCGGATTATTATTTAAACCCTCGTCGTGGAGCGTTTTATTCTGAATTTCCTTGCTTTGGAGATAAACGGATATTTTTAGTGCCAGCAGTCAGGCGCCTAATGGATGGATTATTCAATATTAGAACTAATGCTGAAAAGTAGAGGCACTGTATTACGTGTTGTGGCCGACTCCTGCAATTCACGCATGAGTGCGTTCCTATTCACAAAAACATGTGCAATCATTGGAGTGGAAAATTAATTACTTTCTGCACGCCAGAAATGTGCGCTCAAGGGCACTCGATTCACTTTCGACTGTTTTGGTTACCTCATCAATAAAGCTGAATTCACTTTTGTTACTCGGCGCATTAAAAAAGCGGATTTCAGAATTGAGCAATAACCTGTTTGCTATATTTTGGTGTGTCACTGTCTTAAAAAAAATCTATGAAATGCAAGTTATTCAGTAAATCCTTGTAGAAACTATTGTCTAATTTATTGATGTTAAGAATTTGTATCTTGCTTAGTTGCAAAAACTTTGACAACATCACAAAATAGATAAGAAGATAAAAAACCATAAGACATTTGAAACAAGGGATTATATAGCTCTGATGAATCACTTTTCAGTGTGTTATGTCCATCTGAATTCGCAACAAATGATCAATGTTTTATACATAAAATTACATGACAGCTTTAAACTTAATCTTGCAAGTTTCAAAATTTCTTTCACTTTCTTTGATCAAGAATCGAAAGTTCAGGACGTCTACTTTTAGTTTTGAGATAAAAAATCATAGCTTCAAATAATAAATATATTATTTTTAAAATATGATGTAATGTTAATTATAACAGTCCATTATAAAAATTTATTTTTTTATTGGACGAAATAAATTAATCACAAAAGTTTTCCTATTTTGGATAATCAAAGCGTCAAACAAACTATTTTGAGGCCAGAAGGGCATAATAATCAGCAGCACTTATAGTGGACTTTTTGTTCTGCTATTTTGTCACTTGGAAACCGAAGAAAACATTCTAGTGTAAACAGTGTATAGCGACTCATAGCAGAGTAATTCGCTTGGAGATGAAGCAGACAATATATCCAATAATGACAGCCAATATTTGGAATATGGAGGCTTTTATTTGTTACAGTGCTGATTTTTAAAGAACTTGAAGTGTTGTAGTATTGGCTGAAGCGGCAGACAGCGAAGTCGCAATATTTTTCAGAAACAACATTAACTTCCATAGACAATTTCCTCGTGTCTTGTTTTGGTGCAATTTTGATCTCTTTGTCACAAATTTGCTTCGTAAATTTGAGTTGTGTTGACTCTTACTGATCCGGAAAAAAAAATTCCGGCCTTTTTTCAGTATAGAAAATTTTTCCAGATACACGAGTCAGACGAAATTATCTTTTGGCACTATTTCAAGACCTACAATACCTGATTAAGACAGACGTCGCTTTTATTAGCCTTTGACTGCTCCGTCTGTCCTTAAAACACAAAGTTCAATATCTCGAGTTGTTATAATTGGATAAGTGAAACAGTTTGGTGGTAAAACACAGCAGCTATTCCTCATGTCTATGATACAAGTCAAGAAAACCATCTCCATTCATTTGCAAGCGAAAGTTGTTGTTGTTGTTTTTGTTTTTCATCTACAATCCAGTTAAAAAATTCTCATACTTCCACAGTTACCTCATTCTTACTCAGTCTCGACACATTGCTGTTGACTCCAATATTTATCTCTCGATATATCTTCAACTGTTATGATGAGACCACTATATCTATACTGGCCTTTTAAATATATTGATTCAAGTAAGAGAAGACGATGGCATAGAGCTAGAAAAAATACTTTTAATTGTTGTTGAATTATATTTTGGTTATTGGCAAATTCGCTCAGCACAAAAATATCAAAATCAAGATAACTTTGGGAGAGGTCACGTACGCTGTTTTTCTCGCTTTTTCTTTCAAATCATGAGACCGTTTACTTTGGCTGAGGTTAATGCACGTGTCATTATTAACCCAGATCTCAACGTCACCTGCAATGCTATTGAGGTATCTTTTGTTTGTTCTAAGGCTCATTGTTAAAATCAAAATTAATGACTAGTTTTAAATAATTAATATCATTGGTTCCTTTACGTCAAGTGAAATGTGACGTGGGTATAACAACATCATTGAATAATCTTACAATTAAACCATTGGGCAAAGTTTAATTTGTAAAATTCCCTGTAAGTTTCAAGCCTTTTCGAGAATTTTGCCAGGTTACCATAGCAAAGGCTCAGAGTATTTTTAGTGTGCTTCATAACATAACAACAAGTATTGCCTCTTAATAATGCCACTTTTTATCAATAATCGTTTTACCTGGGTAAGATCATTCACAAAGGGGGTTACAGTAAGAGCTCTTAATTCTGCAAGGAAAATTTAAGCGTGGGAAATCGCTAAGAGATAATCACATAAAGCTTAGTTTGTTTGATGTCCTGCGCGGAGAAAGCGACAAAGATTTGCTGTTTACTAAGAAGAGATGGTGAGTAAAAAATACGATTGCGCTAAAAACAGTCCATGATGTCAACTATCAAGGGGGCTGTTATATATCTTTGAACGGTCAAATGCAAGTTGTACATTTTCAACTTCTGTAGACAAGAAATTCGGGAAATTTCCCATTTTTTACATGATCATCTGTTTCTACAGGATCATTCCCTCACTGAAGTTTCTTCTTCCTTGAATTCTTTCGTAATACATCCAGCTACGATATTGATAACTTGAGCAGCAGAAAACCTGACTGTCAACTCCCCCAAAGAGAACACAGAAGCAATTCTTTTTTTTCATTGGTAGATTAAAAAAATTGAGAAATCTTCTCCCAAAATGTGAAGGAAACATTTGCGCCATCTATCCATTCCACCTCAAAACTCTTCATGTGATAGAAACCAAGAAACGCAAATAAATATTTGGTGGACAAATAAATCATTTTGGCTATACCAATATAAGGTAGTTTGACAATTGTTTAGTTTTTTTATGATACCTAGGCTGATTTTCCGATTGATCAAACATCGTCTAAAATGGATTTTAATTGTTTTCATTTTACGCTTATTTTGCGTCAGCGCTGACGTGAGCAGAGGTAATCCCGGCTTTGAAATGATACAAATCTGCAAAAACAAATCATTAATATTTTATCTAATGATGACTCTTTCCTGTCCCAAATAACCCCAAGTGCTGCTTTACCTAAGCAACGCTTACAAGTAACAATTGGACCCCTGGACAGCAAAACCGATACATCACAAACGAATCCTTGATTCAAATTTTCCTCTTATAAAGGCGAGGAAACTGGTACAAACTAAAAAAGCAAGAAAAAACACTGAGTTGTATCTTGATTTCAAATGATAGTTGTTTAGAAACGAATTGTCATTGAACTAAACACCAATGAGTTTTATTTTGTATCGTTTCTCATGTGAAACATAACCCTTTTTCTCCAAATATTGCAATGAGCAATGCTATATTTTTGTCAAAAACACATAATAATTGCTTTTAAAACAGCCTTGGACTGTGATGCCAAGTAAATGTACGCACCAGGAGTCTCTGACAACAATAAGAATTTGTTTAGAGTTAACCGCCTTTGTAATTGTTTTTGCTGTTGTTTCTAAATTCTGGTTTGGTTTGGATAAAAAAATTGCTGTTTGATGATGTTACAAAACTTATCGCTTTATCGATTTTCAATAGCACACAAAAAACACGCGTCAGTATAGTAAACAGAAGCCAATATTTAGCTCATATATTGATTTAATGCTTCACCGTATTACTATTTTTATTTTGTGACGCGTGAGGATTTAGCGTAGTAGTAAAACCGCATTGTATATGACCAGCAGATATATTTATCGTGTCTTCACTTAAGTGATCCTATTCCTATAGTTACACTCGTACTGTCTTTCTTACGATGCAGGCATCCACTGTTGAAAAGACGACACTTGCAAGACCACATCTGAGCACTGTCAAGGCAAAACAGCAGAAAGAAGCAATAAAACCACGGATTTTTTCCTTCACTTCCGAGGACCTGTATAATTATCTGCACCAGAAGACTGGAAATGTTGAGACGATTAATATTGAAGAGTGTAAGAGCAAGAAACTGGAAGAAAACGGTACAGGAATGGACAAGCCATCCTCATGTAGGTTGATGTTGTTTTGTCCAGACATGATTGTTTGTTTGAATTATTATTTACAGCTTGTTTGCTTTTTAAGAGGCCAGCGCCAATTTCAGAAGAAAACTATTCTGTTAACCTAGCTCTTTTCCAAAATGACTAGTCGAGCGATATCCGTTTTGGCTGAATCACTTCCAAACCCGAAATATGTCGACAACAATAACATACAAAAAAGTTTCTTAATTTCGTTGTGGATTTGTACGACCTAAAGCCTAAATCATAGGAAATATAAAGTGTAAATTTAGAAGCGAATGGTTCTCGGTAAGAATTTGGACTTAAAAAAAACGTAACGATTTTTTGGAGTGAATATATATATATATATATATATATAAAATCGCTGAAGTTAGGAAGAAATTAAAATCTCATTCTTTTTCTTCAGTTTGCAGGATCTGTAACAAGATTTACACAATCCGCTGCCCTGTTCATCCTCCTTCTAGCCAATCAGAGCCGAGCGTTCCAGGGGACTTGAACAGCTACGCCATGAAGTCGTTCCCAGATGTAGTTCAGTTATGTAAGTCCTGCATTCCTGGCAAGAAATATGGAGTGTCCGCCAAACAACACATACCGGTGGGAACGTGGATTGGACCGTATGAGGGGAAACGGATTAATCCAGAAGATGTAAAACCCAATATGGACTCTTCCTACTTGTGGGAGGTACGAGACAAAAACGTATATATAGTTTCAAGTTAGGTATTGAGGAAAGTATTTTTTTTTTTAAACCTGGAAGCTAAGCTTAAAAGCAGGATTTCCAGGATGTGCAGTTTTACGATGAATGATTGAATGGAAAGTACTTTGCTTTCTGCTCGTCAATTTACTCGTCAGATTACTTCTCCTCTCTTCATCAACTAATGTCGCAGGTTTACATAGAATTTAACCATTCGAACACAGCAAACAGAATATGTAAAAAACTTTCCATTGTGCTTGCGTTTCGATGGATGACTTAAATTTGACATTTCCTCATTTTAGATCTACAAAGAAGGCCAAATTTTGTATTATCTCGATGCAACGGACGAGAACTCGTCCAGCTGGATGCGATTCATCAAATGTGCCCGCCACAGAAGCGAGCAAAATCTCTTCGCTTTCCAGTACTGTGACAACATTTACTACCGAGCATTCAGGGATATTCCTGTAGGAACAGAGCTGCTTGTATGGTACGAAGATATCTACCCACAATACTTTGGGATTCCGATGAGCATTCATGACTTGAATTCAATGGGTAAGTCCAGGTTTTCTCGACATCTCTTTCATACTCGTTGCCTCTAACAAGGACACAAACAGAATGACACACAACTGGCTATATCGCCTTCGTTTCGATAATACCTTAAATTATTCCCACCTGTCGACGTTGGAAGAAAAATTATCTAATTGACAGGGAAGTGAATGGCTTAGACAAAAATTAATAACGATTTTGGCATTAATAACAAGAAATGTAAAACTTGTCAGGCACTTTTCCAAGTTCGACAGTGATTCTAACTTTAGTGCACTTTACCCTTTAGGGTCCAGGCCTTACCCAGTAATGGCAACGACTAACACAGATGGACATCAGGTCTTCCCCATTCCTCCTCCGACAATAACAGCGGCAAAACAGGCCTCTCCTCAATTACAAACATCTTCTAATAGGAATACACCACTTGACTCGCCTCCTACAAGAACTGCGCAGACTCCAAGGGCGACAGAAAGAGAGATCCATGTAAACAAACAGGCTCAAAAGGAAAACATCAAGAGGAAACATGAGGAAAGTAATGGCATCAACAAGAGGGCGAAAATACAGAACATGCCTAAGACTGACGGACCCAAGGAGATGCTTAGAAAATTGGAGGAAGCACGTCTCAAGGACCTTCAAGACAAGACGGAGTTGCCGTGTGAATGGCCTCGTGTTGCTGATGGGGAATTCATCTTGGAAAATGGCGAGCCAAAGATCTGGCATTGTGGTCAATGCGACAAGTCTTTCGCTCAGCGCAGCTTGCTTCAAATGCACATCTGTGCAAGGAATCCAAACAGGCCTTACCAATGTGGCCATTGTTCGCAGGAGTTTGCGCATCCAAACGAGCTGCGCACGCATGCTGTCATTCATTCTGGGAAAAAACCATTCAAGTGCGGATTTTGCTCACGTACTTTCGCCGGAGCAACAACTCTTAACAATCATGTCCGAACACACACAGGAGAAAGGCCTTTTACCTGCAACAAGTGCTACAAAACATTTTCACAAGCATCGCAGCTCAGCAAGCACAAGAGATCTCTTTACGAATGTTTTCCCAGAGACAAGTATTGATTCATAACACATTCGTGTTGTTCGTATTACACAACATTCTGTACAGAGGAAACTCACACTATAAATGTACTTTTAGCAGCACCGTCTTTCAAGATATTATAGTTATTGACATTACCTAAAGGTTATGCTTACGCTACGATTTTCGCCTTTCATACACACCGGAATATAAATAATTCGCTTTTGCAGTCAGCACTCATTTATTAGTTCATAATTTTTTTTTAAAATATTACCTTTCCAATTCTGTACAAAGACGAGCAAGTAAGTGAAACAAAGCCGAGGGATTGATTTTTTAGACATCTAACTTCCTCGTAGGTTAATTTACGAAAATAAATCTTTTTTTTTTCGGAGTCGCTTTTTATTTTACTTATTTCATTGTCGCGATGAGTTGTATTCAAAATACACCTGTACTTAAAAGTCCAAACCAGTTGTATAGAAAAACAAATCTAGTCTATATTTAGATGCTTACTTAGCACTTCGTTATCATGATGACTGGACTAAACAGAAAAACAAAACGCTTGAGGATCATATTGATGGAGAGGAATAAGCGGACATCAAGTTCAAAAATAGATAACAAAGCTATATTTCTTATCTTTACTCACCTTAGTAAATAATTATCTAATATACTTATAAAAGTAAACATTTAAGATTAAGGCAACTACTTAAAAGCGTTCAACATATATCTTTATAGACTTCATCTTGTAAATAGTCATCGACATTTTGTACATTTACCGAACCTTTCAAAAAGGTACACTCAGAATTTAAGCCATTCGTTTTAGTAATGTGAATTAAAAAGTCAATTATAAGTAAATAATTTCCATGTTTTATCAAAAGTTTTTATTCGTCTTTAATATTTGGGGTGATTATTCGATTACGTCACTTTGGCAAATGAATATTATAGGGGACCGCGGCATTTGGTTTGGTGGTCTCCATCCAACCCCACTAGTCTGTTACACTCAGCGATAAGGTATCAATGCAACATTATCCCTTCACTTTTTCACTCACATCTAAAAGCAAATTCAGCCAACCGATGATCATAAATCTCTTTATTGACACATACTAAGAACTGGTGGTTAATCCACTCAGTATCTCTAAGTAAAAGAAATGAGAAGACTCCCCTAAAATTCTAGCATTACTTATCATTGTTTTAACTTAAAATTTGGCAAAATTTTATGAGAAGTTGGCCTTTTCAATACGCTTACTTAGTAAACGCAGCACCATAATCGCGCTGAGCAGAAAAAGGGACAGAAGTTTGAGGAGGGTCGGGAACAGACTCAGTTCTTGTCTGCGTGCAAACGGCCATCGCGCACCGTTAACTAACTGGAAGCCTGGAACAGGCTGACAAGGAGTTCATTCTTGTCATACATGGAATTCGGAAATAAAAAAAAGTTCCATGCATGGAGATGACTCGACGTATAAACCATTTGTTGTTCGTAGTCACGTATTTTAATCTGCAAATGTGTCCAATGATATCAGCCCGTTTTTAGGTAAAAAACATCCAGATATTAATAACTGGTTGATTATGAACTCACTATTAAGTCATCACCGTAAATTTGATATTTTTATGTTACACGAAAGTAAACATATAACAAAATCTGCTCTGTCAGCGTGCGTGTTCATCATGTCATTGCCTAAGATACTAACAACCAACCTCGAGAAAGTTCGTCGTCCGAGACAGATTTTGCTGATTCACGCGCGACCAGAGAACATGACCGAGTGAAAGAATATGTGAAGAAGGCTGTTTTAACTGTGACCCAAACTGCAATTTTTCACTTTTATCATTTAAGAACGAGAGACTCTTTGAAAAAGGGCTGGGTAGCCTTGATGTGCACCAGTGATTGCTCAATACTCAGAGTTTTACCTCCGCCGTCGATAATTCGAAGTTGAGTATAAACCACGACATTAAGGTAAGGAAAAAAACAATGAATATATATCCTGCATACGATGACATTCACCTGTTATTTTCATTCATGTATTTACATTTCTATGAACGAAAGAGAACTTCAGTTTATATGCTAAACTGGCCTTTTATCATTCAATAGTCAATTTGACATAATGCAACTTCAGTCAGTGTTCTTGCACTCTCTTACTCCTTCGCTTACGTTGTATTAGACTTCAGATTGGCTTGTGACATTGCTTACAAGTCATAGGATAGCTGTTGGAGGGAACTCGACGGTAAAGAAAATTTACTCTGGGTTTAATTTGAAAACCGTCAAGGGTTCTGGTTAAAAGACGAGGGAATCCAGGTTGGGTTCCCACCAAATATGTTGCGTCGCAATGGCGGAGAAACTAACTTCTGAGAAGCTGACCCGCGCTAGTGAGAGGTAACAAGACTCTTTTTTATACCATTTTATTTCTTCCTCTTCATCGTAAAAGTTCTACAGTCAACTACCATTACTAAATCGTCTCTCTTGTATATGTCTCTAAGTACCGACTGTTGGCCAGCATGTTTGGGTTAGGGGCGACTGACTTTAGGGATTAAATCTCTTGATCAAAGCGCCAACCCGAAAATACTTTCAAGACACTTGTAGAAATAAACAACAAAGTGTTTGATATTCGCCAAATATAATGCCCATCTTTGAACAATAAAACAAAAACAGGAACTTTGGCGTTGGTCCTAACCAAGCCGGTCGGTGGAAAAACCCAAACATGACCACTATCGGAAGTCATTGTTCGAGAAACACGCTTCACAAACAACTCAAAGGTAAAAACAACGAGCTCTGTCTTACAGAATTTCGTGCACAAGACTTACATGAGGACCTCAGAATAATCAGTCAAACCTGAACAGTTGTAAAAAACTTACGATAAAGTACAAAACACGACCAATTCAGAAAGACAGAGATCAGACAACTAGACAAAACAGACGACAATCAGGAAACTCTCTGTGCGGGGTTCTTAGACTATCCAAGAATGGTAACCTTGAAAAACCTTGTACTTTGATACTTCACAACAATAACATTTGCAACAAGTCGACACCTCAGAGCACGTCTCACCGTTTAACTCGCTCTCAGTCCGGACAACAGTTAAAATATAGAGTTATTATTGGTTTGTTAGACTGCAATTTTCAGTTTTCCATTAAGTAGTTCGGTTTTACCAGCCGATTCAGCTTGAGCGCAAATGAGCCCAACCCCAGATTTAACACAGCACCAAGTCGCTGAAACCGGCCGAGGAAATCAGTAATAAGTTAGCGAAAACTCCCAATATGCTTATGTCCTTCCTCGAGGGAAACTCATAGTGTGTATCACTCAGAGGGCTTTTCTTCCACTTTTACGACAAAAGCTGATGACGGCTTTCAGGACGTTCGACATGATCACAACTAAGTTTTTGCTAAGTTTTTTTTTGTCGAAGGGAAATGGCGTAGCAAAGCGCGTTATGAAAGAATTTATTAACGTAGCCAGCTATCTTTTAAATATTTAATTATCCAGTTAAATATCACAATTTGCAACGTGCCAGTTAAGGCGAAAATTACAGAAAGTGACCTGAAAGAGAACAAATTTGGAAACCCGACTAAGACTACTGGTTCACCAGTCTTAAGATGTTTCGGGATCTAGAACTGTTCGTGGCAAGCGGCTAAAATAAAAAGATTCTAGAGAACTTTAAAACGTTTGAAGGCTACTTTTGATCGGTCTACTTTATGACAGTTCACGGTTAAAACATTTTTACTTTTTAATGGTTGACGGTGAAATTTTGCTCGTTTGACCCCATTGAGACCTTCCTATGACGTAGTGACTCATTTATTTCATATTTGAGTGGGTTCGTACCGATGAAGTCTGGAAAAATGATTAAACATTAAAATCTCGCGAAGTACTTCATTGTAGGCTCATAAGTCCGAATAAGTATGTTTTAATACTGTGTGAAAGCTATTCTCTTCTCCGCCGGTTCTGACATATTTCCGGATCCTGCCGTTAATATTTGTTGATGATTCGGATGTTCGTCATTTAATACCTAGAAAGTTCACCTCCCAACGGAAAGATGTATTTTTAGTACGCAGTCATTGTCTTTTAGCGTAATTGAACACCGTTTTGTTATCAAATTCCTTTAAAACCCCGTTCAATTGTTCGGTGTAGAAGTACGTATTCCCCGTTCCAAGTCTAAAAATATTCAAACCACAAGTGCGGAGTACAGGCGAGGCGAGATGAAACCTATCATAAGTATCTTCACTTCGCTAATTCGTTTTCGTCTACGTCACGGCAAGACGATTGAAGACAATGACTGCCTATTATGTAGAGAAATCCATCGGTGAAAGGAAAAGATCACGATTTAAAAAACTGAGTCAACCATTCCTCAAGATTTATGTGGTTTTAGAAGTCTATTTGTCATGAAAATTGTCTGTTCCTCTTTCGAGTAAGTTTGACAAGTTTCAATCAAGAGAAATTGTATGGTTTCATTGTGATTACTTAACGCTTATAATGCAAATTATGATTTCTTTTCGAATGACCTTAGTGAACTTTTGCCTTCTTTGCTAATCAAAGAAAACTAGAGAAACACTTTGCGGATATATCTTGCCTTGCTCTCAATGAATTAATGATCTAACGTCTCGACGTCACCACGTGTCAAACAGAATTTAGCCTGAGCTTTTTTTAAATCACACACTTTCTATGGTTGAGTGGCTTTAGAAATTCTTGAACAATTAACTCAAATAAGGACATGATCTATTCAAAGTTATAAACGAAAAGACACAAGAATGGAAATACTTCACAAGAAGACCCTATGACGGTACAGACGAAACTACTACAAGACCACAGGCTACACATTGAAACAGCCTGCCAAAACTTCACGTGCATATCTCGTGCTGCACTCACTTAGAAATGGGGTTTATTTCAAATTCAAGTTATTTCATGATGACAATGAAAAGAACACTATAGAAGTAAAGGGTAAGATTGACCAATCAGATAACTTTATATAGCTTATTTGAAGCCAAGCGTGAATAAGTGACAGCTTAAACTGAAAAGAACATTTTGGAACTTTAATTCAACGCCCGTCCAAAGTGTTCAGATTGTTTTTAAATCCATCGGTGCATTTTAGCCTTCAGCTAACAGAATTTATGACAGAGGACTCAAACAAACCAGACGTGTCCAGCCAAAATGTCTCATCTGTTTAGTGAAGAGACTAAAAGGAGGCTAGAGATAAATTTGGTAAGCATTAAACAGAGAAAGTAACTCTGGGAATGTTCCGTGTAGAGCAAACGAAATATATTATGATTTCAGCGGGGAACAAAAAGGAGGGTTTTATCGCTTGTCTTCTCTATGCCTCTTAGCTAAAAAAGAAAACATATTGTGTTTCAGGACTGTGGCTATATATTTGTTAATTTACTGTTGGAAGCACTTATTTCCACCAGACTCTTTCTATGATCGACTGCTAAGGCAGATATCACTCATTGCATTTGCAATTTAAAGCACCAATTGTTCTGCTGTGACACTCAGTCAAGCAGTCAGACCTAATTAATTTACATATACTATCTCACGTAGATTTAATGTTCAAGTTAATTCGAGAAACGGTGCCATTGTTGTGACATATAAAATCTTTTTAGCTGAACCAGATTGCTTTGCCGTCTAACCTGGAACCGAATGCACCTTCAAATCAGAGTCCCAGATATTTCACCGCTTCAGAAGTGTTTACCGTCCTTTATGGCCAGACAACACGATGGCAGGTGAATAAAGACGAACTTGGTTCTCAGTCGGCAGGGCGTTTTGTAGCACAAGAAGCGCTCAATCCAGGTAATTTTTGTAAACACATTTTACAACGTTTCGTGCACGGAAAATGTTTTGCCTAAAAACCAAAATCAGTCACGCGCGACCTCGCGTCAAGGCGCGTGTTTGTGAGAATGGACACGCGCGCATTTTTGAGCAACTTTCTGATTTACTTTCGTTGGCCTAAGATTGTCTCTCAGGTATTTACGGTTTTGGAGAGGACGGCTATGCCTTTTTGCTTGGCTTTAACAATTAATGATGCGTCCAGCAATACTGTATTTCCTCGTCTGCACCTAGCAATTGAGAAACGAACCATCGCGTTCTCTCCTTTACGATCAAAAACAGCATATATTTATCCTCGAAAAAATTTGTGCTTGAAAGCAAAACCATCTAAGCCGTCTAAATAGTGTCTTGTGTATAATCACGTAAGATGAAACGGGCGGAAGATATTTCGCAACAATAATTATCTGAACTGCTATCCGGTGAGGCTTAGTGAATATTGTTAATTTGTTATTTGAAGGGCTTGCTTCCGAGAAGATCAAACAATTGAGTTTGGCTGCTGCTGAACGGAAATTGGGTCATTCATAAGGCCTCGGTTAAATATTATGCCCTCAAAACCACAGTGGTTGTTTGAAAAATTATTCAATTCTATGACAATTACTAACATCATAACAAAATATTAACATCTTGACAAGTATTTTAGCATTTAGAAACATTAATTCGGAATGATTGGTAGTGTATCTAGATCTGATGTTTTTCCTAATTGTGACTTGCATTGGAAGCGCTCTGTTCACCGTCTGGATGCCATATCTATGATGTGTAGTCATGCAATTAACTAAAACCCATTTACAACTGAGTTATGTCGCACGAAAATTAGGTCTAGACCGAACGTGACGTAAATCCAAACATTTTCGTCAAAATTGTGCAATATTTTCTAGTATGTACCGCAGATTTCCGTTCGAATAGGCGAAAGAAAGCTAAATTGGTCATTATTTCAATGAGTGCTATTTGCAATAACAGTTTTGTGGTCTTTAAAGTTCATAATACAACTCCTTAATAAATCTTTTCAATTAAAAATACGAGACTGGGGGGATACTATTCAATTAATTATGATAATAACGTACACGGATGCATTGCTGTTTAAAGTAAAAAGGTAGAAAATATTTAAAATATTTTCATTCCTGAGCTTTTTTTGGTTATATCTTAAGATCGAATCCTCAATACACGTTGGCTGTGAAACTTAGCGAATGCTACATAATTCCATCTTAGGCATGGATCAGGGAACTCGTTGATGTGCATTGGGATTAAAAAAACAACCTATAATAAAGCTACTGATCATCAAGTTCCATTCTTAATTTAGTCACAAGAAATTTGATTTAATGATCTTGAGAAAAGTATGGAAAATTTAAGCAAACAAATCCACAGACTTTTCCACTTACTTGAACTGACAGGCAGCGTCGCGCGAGTGGGCAGATGGAATGTTTTATCTATTTGAAGCATTGCTCAGGGCAAAAAAAATGTGGAGCACAAAGAGATTTATTGAAATTCTAATTGCCAGAGATAATTCTAGTTTTTTATAAGTATCTAGCGTAGACAGAACATGTCAGAGCCTGTACTTTCATCAAGTACTATCCACTTAATCATGGAAAAGATAACGACGGAGTTTTAATATAACTCAATCGTCTGAAGTCTGATTTTGCTATTATTACTTACAAAATGGATTGTCCAGGTCGTGACGTTGCTTGACGCTAAATCGAAAAATATCTCTCAGTTCTTTTATATGGTCATTGCTGAATAACCAGAATAAACCAGTGATAACGTAGGGGGAAAGCACTAACTGGTCACTCCTGAAAAGATCAGTGAAAATATTCCTAAAGAGGGTCGGAGCAGTTTTATTGTGATCACTAATTTTTCCTTCAGCGTGTGAAGTTTGTCAAACAATGCCCCCTGGATCATGTGCCCTACACAGGCAACCCACTCAGCCGTTGACCGACAGACGTGTGAGCTACGCCGTCAAGTCCTTACCACCGGAATGCAAGTTTGGAGTCTCCTACTCAGCGGGGGAGGGGTGCGGTGTGTACACCAATCAGCCCATCCCTACGGGGACATGGATTGGTCCATTTGAAGGAAGACGAATTCGTCCAAGCGACGTCACATCAGAAATGGATACGTCACATATGTGGGAGGTAAATTGAAATAGGAAGTATGAAAACGCTTGCGAACTTGAGCCTTATCTCGCACTGTTGAAAGACAGCGGCCAGTTGTTACCGAAAGAAAAAGAACAATGATGAGAAATTCATTGTAAAAAGGCAAAATGTAGGAGGCTGACCACTACAGTAATACAGCCGAACTGGTTTGGGAACAGTTACATAAAAACCTTGTTTTCCTCAAGAAAACAAGACCAAGACTTATTGGGAGAGGTCGAGTCCTTCTCGACAGGTTAAATTTCACAGGTGAAGAGTTAAGGGTTAAGACACTTTTATTGTAGTTTTCTCCAATGCCTGCCAATAAACGATGAGTCAGGAGGACAAGTCCAGTTTGAACTCTGAACTTTTTCTGGATATCAAACAGTTTCCTGGTAATCGTCAAAGTAATTTGAGATGAGAGCACAGGTGTATCATAAACCCGTTTGCTAGCCTCCTAAGTGGCCACGAAACACGCACGAGAACGATACAAATACGTGCATATCTGCAGTTTACTTAAATTCAATCATAAAGGAAGTAAGTTTCTAAAGAAATTGTGGCGCCGCGTCGGTGGGAGAGTATATTAGGGTAATTTGGTGTTGTCAACTGAGTTGATAACGTGAGTTGGCCACCGTAACGAGTTTAAAGGCTGACGTTTCGAGCGTTAGCCCCTCGTCAGAGTTATTCAATCGCTCTGACGAAGGGCTGACGCTCGAAACGTCAGCCTTTAAACTCTTTACGGTGGCCAATTTACGTTATCAACTCAGTTAACAACACCAAATTACCTTGTTAACTTCAATCAATTCCACAGATATACGAAGGTTCCACATTGTCTCACTACATTGACGGGAGTGACGAGAACTGTTCCAGCTGGATGCGGTTTATCCGCTGCGCAAGACATAAGGGCGAACAGAACCTGTATGCATTTCAGTATAACGGAAACATTTACTACAGAGCATTCAAAGATATTCCTACAGGCACAGAACTGCTTGTGTGGTATGACGACAAATACCCAATGTACATGGGCATTCCGCTCGGGGTACAAGTTAACGCTATGCCAGGTGGAGCTTCTTCAGGTGAGACATTGGGTCAAATCGATATTCAAGTAAAGGTAGTAAGTACCTTATAAGCTTTTCTTCAATATCTTGCATCAGGCCCTTTGCATCAGTCAGTAAGTGAGTCAAGATGGATTTAGTCACAATAATAACTAGACCAATATTAGTGGAGACCGGAGACAAATGACTGGCAAAGATAGATAGTGGTACTCATGCGAAGACAGTTAGATTGAGAAAGAGGCGAGTAATTAGTGAATAAGTTGGCTGAAAATTCCTCATTATCACTCTGTAGGCAAAACTGCCAGCCAGCAGTTGAGCTGGTTACCTCCTTAGTTGATCACTTCATTAAACCTTGCAGTAATTGCTTCATAAGTCGAATGTGTGTCAGTCAGCTCTTTTGTGAGTCGTTCTGCCAGAAAGTCAGTTAATTGACAATCTGTCAGTTATCCTATCAGTCATTGAATCTACCATGGGTTCGCTCCGTAAGTCAATTAGTCAGAAAGTCAGCCAGATTTCAGACATTACAAACTAAGCAATCTTCACAACTTGTCAATAACTCTTCATCTACAGCCACGCACGACAGAAAACAAGAAAAAATGGCGTCGCAACAGCCCAACCGATCCATAAACTCGACATCATCCCCATTTAAACCTCAAGACACTACTCGATATACCAGAGCAGTCACTAGTTCTCAGTTCCCGCTCAGTACAAGCCCTCTTTGGAGTTCTCAATGTATGTAATTAGACGGATAAATGGCTAATCACCTAATAAATGATGCTATGTTAGCTTTACGTGACCCAAAAAAGGTGCAATAGTTACTGCACATGTTAAATTTACCATGAACAGAAAGAGGTAGAAGATCTATTGTTAAATATCTTTGCACAAACATTGTTTCATTTTTTACTTAAGTTACCACAAAACTTATTTTCAGGTAGGAAAGCTTCGCCACCTGAAGCAAAGAAACTTCCACCACTGATTCCAACATACACTTTGCATCAAAGACGACCGTCGTTAGAAAGCGTACCACGAGACCAGCGATCTCCCTTGAGAAGTGACGTGGAAAGTGACGTCGGTAACCGTGGCAACAATAAGATACCAAGTCCCACCAGCCAAACAAGCGAGTTAACATCGTGGCGATGTCAACAGTGCCATAAGACCTTCACTCAGCGAGTTGCGTTGCAAATGCACGTGTGTCCAACCCAACCCACCAAACCTTACCAGTGTGGACAGTGCAGTAAGACATTCACAAACTCCTCAGACCTGCGCGCGCATGTGATATCTCATACAACAGAGCGGCCGTTCAAGTGCGGCTTTTGCTCACGCACGTTCGTTGGGGCAACAACGCTAAACAATCACGTGCGGACCCACATGGGTCAAAAACCGTTCAGCTGCGAGAAGTGCGGCAAGACATTTTCACAAGCTATGCACCTCGCGAGACACGCGCGGGAATCGTGTGACCTTGTGAGTGAAAAAAGTAGAACGGATACTGTGACTACACATACGTTGTCAACATGAACTACGTGAGGTTTTTTTTTTTTTAGTTACATTTATAAAAAAAGTTTTTAACTACTAATTCAGTCGAAAGAAACCACAGTTAAAATGTAAAAATGAGATACTAGATCAAAATGGAAAACAAAAAAGTCAGAGAAGTTAAGCTTTTAAACGGAGAAACTGCTCGTAGCGTCCTTGCACAAAATGCCAGCGCGTTTATCGAAAGACTTTTTCTAACAAGTGTACATTTGTGTATAGTTTATCAAGGTTCATAGACATATCGCATTACTATTTCACAGCGTAGATAGACAAAGGCAATAAAGTTATTTAACATATCACAGTGTCTTCTTTGTTGTGAAGGAAGCCTTATCTGCCCCACGACAGAGCAGATAATAGTTGATAAGTATAAATATTTTCTACAGAGCGGGAGCGGAGGGGGGGGCGTGGAGGGCTGTTGGAAGGACTAGTGGGTGATCAAGTTCCAACCTTTTACCCAGATCATTCATATTTATTGAACTGTACGGCTGTGAGACATGGGTATGAGACTAACCATCTCCGCCCCTTGAAACGTCAGGCTGTCAATTTCGCTTATCTAGGTAAGCATGTTAATGCGCTGTATATTACATGTGTCTTTCTTTCCCGCCAGTTTTAATTCACAAGAGGTAATAAATCTGCTTCGCTTGACTTATTTTATTTCTGACGGCTTCTTTTATGTACAGCAGCCGTGCTATTTGCATTTGGATATATGTGAAAGAGGTCCTTGTCAAAGCTCAACTTGGGCAACTTAAATGAAAACTGTTCTCTTAAACTTAATCTGCTGACTTCTTTTTCTAGCAAGCTATCGAAATTATTGCTGTAAGGAGGCATGAAACATTGATAACTTGGGGCCTTCTGCACAACTTAACACACTGGTATTTTGGATTCACAAAGTAATGTCTACCAACAATAGGAATTAGGCGATTGTTCCCTACAGGATTAAAAAGACTGCATTCCATGCCAAAACATGCAGTGTTTTCTTTTTTAAATCATGAATAAAAAGCTTCTCAGGAATCTTTCCTTTTGTCTCCTGTTTCCTAAAGATATCTCTTGGCCATTGTTGTCAAAAATTGACATTAACTAATGAGTTCTTCACGGAGCAGTGAGTTCTTTTGCAGCGGACACAATTCAAAAAGTCATTTATATTTAGAGACACTTTTTACAAAGTAGTCCGGTGTTTTGATATTTAAATAAGAAATTGATTGTGCATAACTTAGAGCGCAAGGAACCGTTCTCCTGTCAAAACTTGACGTAGTGATGATAAATTATACTAGTAATGCGTGCCGTTATCTGTGCACGAAAGGAAACCGTTCTTTAACAAGACAAACGTCAACAGTTTTTAATGAATTGTACCGTCGCAGATTGCTATGATAAACAAAAGGGACTGTGAATATTTAAATCCTTTTTCTTCTAAGGGCTCTTTAGAAACATTACGTTTAGCTTTTAAAAGGATTACGTAAGAACATTGTAAAGATTTCATTAACTCTGCACTAGCAATGGTTCCGAAAAGGATAATTAGGGTAATGAAATTCAAATTGTGTGAGGGTAAAACATTTCTAAAAGGATTTTTCCGTGTATGAGGGACCTGACGTTTGGAAACTTTTACGAAAATTCAAGTTATCATGGATTTGATTCCTTCGTACATTTGAGCAAAATTCGATTACACATGATAGAAACAAGAAGACGACTGCTAGCAAGACAGCCGAGTGAAGTAGAACTGTTGTTCTAAACTAAGAAATGGAATCATCAACAATGAATAGCCCAAGGAGATGCTAAATAATCAAAATAATTACTTATACGTGACGAACTGTCTGAAATGCTGTAAACAAAAGGAAGGCAAATTTTTTGTGTTAGCATAACTTTCGAATACATTACCAGTTTTGGCGCCAAAAAACACAATTCAGTGCAAGTTAAACTTCTAAAATTTTCAAGCGAATTTACCAATCTTTTCTAACTGCGTCAGATTGTGATAAATTTGATGGCCGTACTATTATGATTTCATTCACATGGAAACAGCTTAAAACCTTTATTTGGTGTTAAATATTGGCTTGAGGGAAATGGTTGTGGCTCTAAAATTATGTAGCTAATGCATGCGAAAATGGCGCGAAATTAGTGAAACCAGTGGCATTGTTTTCGAGCCCACCTGTATTACATTATGCAGTTACTCTGTGTGAAAACAATACTCTCTTCACACGAGGACATTTAATTCAATGGTATAAAGGGCGTCAAAGTGTTAACTGTCTCTTTAGACATTAAATATCACAAAGTTGAGAAACAGACCGAGGCGCACATTTGCGGATTGTCTTGCGCGCGTTCTTGCAATAAAGACAAACTGATAGGGTTTTGTATCACAAGAACTGAGTTGTTGCACAGCGCCTTGGTTAAACCTACAAAATACTTCAATTAGATGGAGCATGTACACGAGGTAAGAAATTGCACGAGATTTTTATATGAATAAGTGTTAAGTTAAAATACATAAACAGCACCATCCCGAATATGTCATTGTTTGAGGAAGTAGGTCCGATATGGATTTGTATTTCAGTAACTACCGTTTAAACCTGTTAGCTAATGTCCCAACAGGTTCATATCCATGCCGGTAAATACCGAGTTTATATGGGTCATTCAAAAACTGACAATTTAGTTTGGTCATACAACACTGCGTCAATGTTTGACAGCTATTTCCGCTAAATCTAAGTTTCCAGCTTTGTAAGTAGAAGGAAATATAATAAAAATTATGTCTAGATTTTAAGCAGCCTAAGCTGTTTCTTACCTTAAATCTTAAAATATCTGATTAAACATCCTGTCAGTGGATGCATTTTATTTATTCTTCAAAGATTTCCATTTTGTTTTTGAAGGATAATTAGTTTTTGATCACTGATTGTTACTTGAAGCGAGTTTATTTACGTGCTAAAGAGTTCCTTCGAAGTCAGTCAAGTGTTTATTTATCGTCATCATCATTGTTTTCGTCATTATTATTAGCATTATTGATAACTTAATTCACACCTAAAGGAAGTTCCCTTCTCATCCCTTCAAATAAAGACGAAATCTTGAATTTCGACAGAGAATTTTCTTCCCATTTTTTCAGAAGAACTACGCTAGTTTCAGTCCTTCTCAAAGAAATTTGACAGGAAACAGCTTCAGCTATAAAGATTTACTTAGCTGTTTGTTCGACAAGAATAATATTCGACCCATTAACATCGGACAGGCAGTGGTAACGGAACAAAAAGATTGCTTCTGTGAGTATACTGGAGTAAATGATTGCCATTTTCCAATTTTTAATTCTTTTTTTATTTTCATATATTGATGCATTATTAATAGACATTTAGCACACAGTCCTTCTTGGATTTTGATCTCCCCGAAGTTTTCGTAAAAATTAGCGTATGACAGCCTCTCTCTTACATATGGTTCACGATAAATAATAGAGAAAACTATAGAGCAAGGGACTAGAGAAGCGCAATGGGTCATGGGAAGAGGGATGGAATGCCTTATTTAGGAACCTTCTTCAACTTGACGCGTTATTTTTTAGTTTTGCTCTGTGTTTTGTGTGTGTTTTTTGTGCTTTGTTTATTTTTTTGTTTTTGCTTTTTTTTTTTGTTTTTTTTTTCACACAGGGTAAACTGCTCACACCTAAGGAATAATGTAATTTTTGTGATTTTAATCATTTTTAGGGTGTAACGCAAGTTTAGTAGAATCAAAGTTTCAATGTCCTCAACACAAATTAGAGAGCCCTGGCATGAAGCCAAAAAATCAATTACCACTTGCAATAAGATCACTTCCGCCGGAAGTTGGCCTGTGTCGGTCCGGCATTCCCGGGCCAGGATATGGGGTGTGTGCCAAGCGAACAATACCTATTGGTGCGTGGATTGGGCCCTATGAAGGAAAGTTTGTGAAGCCTGAGGAAATGTCTCCTACTACTGACACATCTTACATGTGGGAGGTAAGACTTCTCAAGGGAAATACACCATGAAAAATATTTTCAATGTAAAATATTCAATCGCAAGGTAGACTCAAAACATTTATATATTTTTTTTGGGGGGGAGGAGGGGTGTTTGCTAAATAGTACGTATTTGCATTTCCCACTAGATCTACAGAGACGGCATACTAGCAGGATACATTGATGGCAGTGATGAAAATTATTCCAGCTGGATGCGTTTTATCCGCAGTGCACGACACAAAGGAGAACAAAACATGTTTGCTTTCCAATACCTGGGTAAGGTGTTTTATCGCACATTCAAGACCATCAAGCCAGGAGAAGAAATGCTGGTGTGGTACGATGACAAATATCCACAATACCTTGGTATCCCCTCTACTATGTTTGACATGGGTGCTGTTATACCAAGTGGTAAGTGATCCTTTTTCCTCTGACGTTCAAATATTCTTTGTGAAAATAAACCAAAACAAACTAACAACAACCGCTGAGTCCTGAATCGGACTCGAATACGAGAATTACACGAGGTATGTCACCATTCTTGGTACTCTGCGTAACTTTCAAAGGAGGAGTGTGAGTATTTTCAAATTAAATTCAGACACAATTAAGATGGCCAGCCTAAGGCACTTCCAGACAGTCCCTTGCTGATTTTGGGCTAAATTCGTGAAAGAGATACCTGCAATTTAACGGATATCCTGAAGTAACAAATGACGGAAAATAAAACAAACGTTATTCCAACTGTAGTGGGAGATGTAGCTGAGGAGTTGAAGCGCATGTGATGATACTTCAAGGTCTATAAAGTGACGTCAACCTAGTTGCGATCACCTTGAAATCTAGAGTTAGCCTAAGGGAAGTGTTTTAAAGGTTTCAAAGGGGATCCTGTGATAGATAAAAGCAGTTTACCTCTGGTAAAGAAAGCGTTAAAGGTTGTAATTATTGTATACAAAGAAGGTAGAGCTTAGTTTGGCTTATGGTGATGTGAAAGTTTTCAGCTGCTAACCCTGCAGTTTATATTTCTTGTTAGGTGCTAGCTCTCAATCTGATGAAGTGATTGTTGTCTCTCCACACGCAACAAACCAGCAGTTCGACCCCAGTCCACAAAGTTCATTCTTTCCCAGCCCTCCTCCTTCGCCTGTTTCTCATCCTAGGAGCCAATTTGGATATAATCCAGTTTCTCGAAAAGGAAAGTGCTCTCCTATACGTAAAACCTGCGTTGAAAAGCTTCCCTCTCCTAAGAAGCAAGGCACGATGAAACTTGTGTCAAACATGAAGTCCGTCTTTGAGAATGGTTTTAGTCCGCTGAAAGGGAATAGGGCTGATGAAGTAACAGAGGTAAAGCCAGAGCGTTCTGAATTATTTAAATCACTCTCATTGCCAAGAGATGAATTAAATTTTGCTGAAAAGGCGACAGCAATAGTAAATCACAAATCCAGGGCTACAGGGCTTAGCGTAAGGACAGCTCCAACTTTTCCAGAAATGTCTGTGAACCAGAAAGCAATTGGTACCCAGGTTCCACCAAATCCTTACCAGTGCGGTCACTGCCCAGCCCATTTTAACAATGTCTGTGAATTGCGAGCGCATGCTGTCATCCATGTCAGCAAGAAACCCTTCAAGTGCGGATACTGCTCACGATCTTTCACTGGGGCAACCACTTTGAACAATCACATTCGATCTCATGTTGGAGGCCGATTGCTGGCCACTAGAAAACGTCTTCTCCAGGGTGAGGAAGTGTGAATTCATTCGTAGTGACAAATTAAAAAACAGAATGAAAGCAGGACTTCGTGTCACATCAAATGCACAGCTCCAACGATTGTTAGCCACTGGAAAACGTCTTCTCTAGGGTGAGGAAGTGTGAATTCCCTCATAATGACAAATTAAGGAACAGAATGAAAGCAGGACTTCATGTAACATCAAATGCACAATGACCCAACAGGCAAGAAAAACGTGAAGAACCGCAGTTGTATTAGCGCTAAGTTTGCAAAAATCATACAATTGAATGTATCACGCGAAATAACGCCTATTCAAACTTTTCAGTTGGACTTCATTCTTAATGGGAAAAATGCTGCGCAAATACCTTTTAAAGCAGATTTAAATTTGAATCATACCGATTGGAGACAAACCACCATGAGTGTTGAGCAAGACTCGGACTAATACGCCTTCCCTCTAGTATTCACTTATGTTTCTCTTTTCCTGCAACAACACAATGGTGTTTGGAACATGTAAAGGAATGTCCCCTTTCAATTTATTTATCAACAGAAGAGAATAAGACAGACTACTGATATTGTATCAAAACCCTGTACTGTTTGAAGACGTGACTTACCACGACCATTATAACTTATTACAGAAACTTAATATTCATTGTTGTGGCGTGGACATTACGTAAACGATAAAAACAACAATCCTGTACAAAATGAGCCATAAAGAGAAAATGAGATTGCAAGAGTAAATCATTCAGAGTCTTCCACGTATTCATATCATTGTTTTGTACGGCTTAAAACTGCAAGGCTCAAGAGAAATATCTGGCAACACTGTTAGAACCGACCGTTTGACCATCTGCTTGTAATTATTTATAAGTTTGAGTAAATTTCACCTTTTATGAGCCCCTCAGACATTCTGGAGTAATAAAGACCTGAAGGGCTTCCAAACCACAGTGTTACAGAAGAGGTGTCAGGTTCAATAAACATCCGGTAATAGGCTTTCTTCTCCATGCTTCCTCATGATCTTGAAGTGCTGTATAATTAATCATGCAGCTTTCATTTGTGAGATCTACACGCCAATCAATTGTCATTGACTCTCTCATTGGGTTAGAAAAATAAAGAAGCTTTGAAAAAAATTTAATTTCTCAAATTCCCTGATATGGAATCCAGCATACTTGAACTCTGATCTCTACGCAGAGCTAAGAAAGCTGTCATAGAAATACACACAAGATTTAACTCTGTAATTAACTTAAATTTTCATCAAGGAATATCATTTATGCAGCGAAACCCTTTCGAACAATGCGCAGGTGAAAGTGACGTCGCTCGTATGTCAATCAAATGTTGGCATTTCTATTGAGCCAGTATGAGTGGCCGAGCACACCTTAATCAGTCTCCCATGAAAGCAACGAAGAGTTTCTTGCACGAAACAGGCGTTGTTGCTAGTTTTTGCAGCAGTTTCCTTGAAATATGCCTTGGAACTAAATACCTTTAAGGTTATACTTTAGGCCTCCGTAACCCCAGCTAGGCGATCCGCAGGTAAGGCAATGTTTTGGGAACTGACTTGTTGATGTAATGTAAATAAAATTTGTTAACGGTTTGCTTATATAACTTCTGATGAGAGGTGCATATTAATAGACACAGAAACCAAATAACGTGTTCTGGAAGACCTAAAATGTTTACCTAAGGCTTGTCTGTTTGTTGTAATAGCCAATTGATGTTTCAGATGGTTATAAATATCATTGCTCTCAGCAGATCTAGAAACTTTTGTTCATAACAGCATTATTTAAAAATAATACTAATCGATAGCAATAATAAAAAAGTGGCAGAAAACTGATCATAATTAATTCGTGTTTTCAGCAGGTAAGTAATCGAATTCGTTCAAAAAAATCTCCGTTTAATCAAATGTACCTCAATTTGAAATGTTCCTTGAGATTGTTCATTTGGATTCAAAGTTGTGGAAGTTCTCACGCAAAATTTGCATCTCCAAGTTCCGCTTGATTAGTTAAAAAACACAAGACTCGCCAAATCTTCTGCGCAGCAGATCCGATCTCGTGTCACCACAAAAAGATCACTCAAACTTCAAGTGATTTATCTTTATGAACTGCAATGGTATAATGTTTTCCAACTGCCTACGCATAACCTTCTAGATAAACTTCTGTCGAAAGTAGCAGCTGGAGTTGATCGAGCGAAGAAAAAACAATGAAGATGAGCAAAAGGAACTCTATTCACAGGGATAAACACCAAAAGAATGCATTTATGGACGATTTCTCAGCCCAAATTTGACCTTAACCATAAAATAACTTTGGTACTTGCTAAAAATAAATTCAGGCTAACGGTCATCTCTTGGCCATAGTCACGGTGTAAGTGTTCATTACGTCACAAGGTCGTCAAAGTCGTTCAAGTCAAAACAAAGTAATCACACATTGGAAACCTTATTGAATCTTAGCAACTCGAAAATATTTTGTGGTGATTGTTGTGATTTCAACCACAGTGGTAACCCGCGCTATCATCTTTGTCAAAATGGTACTAATCTTAATTTAGTTTAATCTGGTCTTGGCGCGTATTGCGTAAAATCAAAGTATTTTCTTCACCTGAATTCCCTTGGGTTATTTCAATCGATTTTGCGGGGAGCAGCGATGGATGACAAGGTGTTATATAAGTGTACTTGCACTTGAGTCCTGCGTCTCTTTTGTGATAAATCGATTTACCGTTTGAATTTCAGATGAGTAACGCAGGCATTTCAAGACCTAAATCCGCAAGTGAACACACATTATCATCTCGAACGCCGAGAAGAGTTCGCTCACATGCCGCGGATGTCAACCTCTGTAGCATAGAGGATCTTCATCAATGTTTATACCAGCGAAATCAAGTCATTTCTGTGAGCACGGACGATTTTAGAAGTTCAGGTCTACACAAAGAAGAAGCGATCCGCTACTGTAAGTCGCCATTTTGTCAAATGTTTGCCAAAGTTATTTTTAACGAATATTTCCGTAACCACGGTTTCGCGGGTTTACATCGGTATTGTTAAAACAACTCTGTGGTTTGCAGTTTAATTTTTCCTGTGATAGAAACTAACTGTGCTTAAATTTCTTGTAGAGTCATAACTTGTGGATAAAGATTTATTTAAGTTGTTCATGAGTGTTCTCAGAAGGTAACCAGGTGGCGTTCATTTTGCCTCATATTTTCGGGGTGAATTGAACAATTCGCCGGGACAAATATACAATACCAAACACAACTTTGAAACATTCATCCAACACATTATGAATTACTTTCGCGAAATTCACTCATCCACCGCAATTGCGAATGATCCTGAACAACAGGAAATTAAAAGAAACTGTGTACCTTCAGTTGCTGTTTAAAATTAACTGACCGTTAACAAGCACTAAAGCTTTCGGCCGAGTTTTCGCTGTTAAGCGAAAGAGGGATGACTTGAACGATTCTGGGCACACGCTCGAAATGCAAATGCCAACGAAGTCTCGAGGTCTGCACAATTTTTTCGTACCTCAGAAAAATTGAAAACTGTATTAAGCAAGGTGCAGTCTTTCGTGTTGAAATAACAAAAGAATGAGGCATATGTTTAGCTAAATTTAGATATCATCATCCGATATTTTTAGACAGATTATGGTGTTATTTATCTGTTCAGTTTGGTTGTTTGAAATTTGTAGCTCGCATAATATGTCATTGTATACGAAGAAAAGGTTCGTCGTCAACTTGACCAGAAGTCGGCTTTCACTTTACGGCGAAGGGCGCCTCTCACGGGTTATTACTAGTAATTATCTTGAAGTCTAAAGAACTTATATCATTCAGCAGGGTTTGGTCGACGCTAAAATGGAACCTGAAATTTGCGCATCTATCAAAGTGAAACGAAAAAGCTCGAAAAAGAACTTCAGTTTGCTCAAAATGAAGTTTTTATCAAGAGGAGCCTTCCAGCACCCCAGTTATTCGCTTGTTTTTTGCTGTCAAGTTGCAACAACAGTTATTATAATCTGGAACCAAAGAACTTTTATGAGTTATAAATGCTGGTTTAGCCATTGTTATCATAAGCAGATCAAACCGTTCCTCTTATTTCTTAGAGCAGTAGCTGTGTCGTGGTTAATAGCTTCATATAGTCACTTCTTCACACGTGCCGCGGTTCGTTTGCCTCTAAATCGGGTCAATTTAACAAATAGATTCCAAGTTGCCGTCCGTCTGTTCAATAATAGATCACAGATGACGTCAAAATGTGGTAACAAAAAAGTGGCACACGAGGCGCAGCCGAGTGTGTCACTTATGTTCTTACCACATTTTGACGTCCTCTGTGATTTATTACTGAGATATATATATAAGTGAGAACCAATTTGAATACGTACATAACTAAGCTTATTATATAATGTTAGGTTACTTGAAGTTCAAAAACATAAGGTTATAAATAGCTCCACTCAATTCACGTCGTTTTTTTATCCTTGTCAGTGAAATAGGCTAACACCCATTTTAGGATTCGTTAGAATCAAATCGGATGAAAAATACTGATGACTTTCTTTACAATGTTTCAAAAATCTTTTGTCAAACGAAGTGTTTTGCCATATTCCAAATGAAAAACAGTTACATAATCGAGTTGACAACGCACGCGCTATCTTTCAAACATATCATACCCACTCTCCCCTCCCCTAGGGTGTAAAGGATGTCATCTGGAACGGACTGAGCCATGTCAGCTCCATGGTCCTCAACTGTCATTCCGACTGACAAGTAAAGTCAAAAACAACAATGACACAAACAATAACATCGTAAAATTGCCGAATGCGATCGAATCGTTTCCAAATGAGGTGGGTTTGTGCATTTCCAGCATTCCTGGGGCAGGTTATGGAGTCTGCGCAAAACAGATCATTCCAGTGGGCACGTGGATTGGACCATACGAGGGGGAACTGGTGCGGCCTGAGGAGGTGGTACTGGGGTCTGATGCGTCATATATGTGGGAGGTAGATTTGGTTTTATCTACGATTTTCATGTAAAGATTGAATGATAAGTATCTATATTCAGAGTCATCCTCGTGAAACATTTTGTAAATTATCCTTTGAGGTTTGCGTTAAATCACAGGCTGAAATAGGGCGATCCACACAACTGATTTTAATTGAAGCGTTTCCCAGTGATTATTTTATACTTTTTGCCGAAGTACGAATTAAAAAAATAACCATAAATATATATCGGAGAACACACACAGGGTAAGGGTTGCAGATAAGTAGATATATTTAAATTCAGAAATTTTCAAATCTGCAAAATATATTTGGCAGTGTAACCGATTAAGCCTCCGAGAAATCAAGTGCTAACTTATTTTCAGTTCTTAAGCTAATTCTATTCGTCTTATCGCTCTCTTTTCAAAAGATATTTCACGAGGGAAAGTTACTTTATTACATTGACGGACGCGATGAGAACAAGTCCAGTTGGATGAGATACATCAGATGTGCAAGGAATGGAACCGAGCAAAACATGTACGCCTTTCAGTACTGTGGTAACATTTATTACAGAGCTTTCAAGGACATTCCTCCGGGAGGTGAACTGCTGGTTTGGTATGACGAGAAGTACCCGCAATATATGGGCATCCCTCTCGAAATATATGAAATTTCCCTCAATAATCCTGTTGGTAAGTAAAGTCACTATAATAGCAATCATTCTTAGTCCGCTACCAACATAAATAATTTCCAAAGAATTATTTTGCTGGATGTGGAGAAATTGTACCCATTTTAAGTGAAGTCCTGTATTACGTCTTCATCATCATCCGGTCTCTACTCCGAGATTTTCCTGTCCCAATAAAATGTAACTTCAATTTATAAAGTTAAGTAACGGATGGTTTAACGCGTATAACTGGCATTGATGAGACATATATTTCTAATTTTCATTTTGAAAAGTTGTTTCCTGAAAATGAAAAATACCCTGTTAACTCGTCGAAATACAGTAACTCTCCTCCCCCCCACGCGGTTTTCAGACAAACTATTTTGTTCTTGATATAGATGAAAGACAACATCCCGAAATGGTAGTTGTAATACCATATGATAATTCCAATCCAGGCTCCTCCCATTTAAATCAGTCTTCATCCAGTCCTTGGAAAGATAATCTTCAATTTACAACCGGAGTCAGATCCACGCTACCGTCACGTGATCAATCTGGTGTCAAACGCCGCTTAACTCAAAGCACCTCTATCAGAGGCGACAGTTTACGTGCATCAGCTGAAGAATACATACGCGTCCGCCATGTTTCCTGGACAGCCGATGGTGCGCCATTACAAAACAGTGTGCAAATGATTGAAAATTCTCCTTCTTCGGAGGACGCGCGATTTCTTCATAAAGGTCCAGTTAAACCTTTTGGATTAAACAGCGGACATACGCAAACGATTCAAAACGACAGCTATCATGACACCATGTCTTCTGGAGGTCTATACAGTAACGGCTCAAAAATCGCGCCGTCAAAAATAGGCGAGAGGCATGCGCAGTTACGGTCTGTTGATGAAGATGAAAACAGTTCGGATGGTTCCGATGCGAACCTTTTCAACTGTGGTCAGTGTGGGAAATCGTTTGCCCAACGCTCGGTGCTTCAAATTCACGTATGCCCCAACATGCCACGCAAGCCCTATCACTGTGGACAGTGCTCTCAGACATTTGATTATCCAAACGAGCTGCGCACGCACGCTGTCGTTCATGTGGGTGAGAAACCATTCAAGTGCGGTTATTGTTCACGATCATTCGCGGGCGCAACAACTCTTCATAACCACGTGCGCACGCACACCGGTGAAAAACCTTTTTCATGCGTGAGATGTGGAAAAAACTTTACTCAGGCCTCCCAGCTTCACAAGCACGAGAATATACCTGGAGATTGTGTTCCCTATGACGGCCTGCCTGACTAAAGGATTTCTAGTAATCTGGCTCTCTTTTTAGGAAACTTGTGATTGTTAACTATATGTAACGGTTTATAGTTGACAAGCTAATCAAGTGATTTCGCAAAAAAAAGAATCGATTCAAAGCATGCTTAGAGAAAGATTTTTTGCGACAGTGGTAAAAAAAAAGATATCTCGTTGCAATTTAAAAAAATTGTGGATCCATCCATTTCTTTTACAAGCATTTAGAATCCAGAATAACTTCGTTCTTCTCAAATCAGATGGAGGAAGCCTTTTCTTGTGTTATTGCTCAAGGATGGCAATAACGTCATTAAACTACATATTTTTTTCATCGTTACATTTGCAACGCACACCTCAATGGCTTTTATTATAAGTAAACTTTTTAACATTAGCAACAAATAAAAAGACCTTTTAGCTGTTAGGGACATTTTCTTCAAGATATATTTTAATGAATAAAACAGAGGTGAGCATTTGAGTAAAAGTTGCCTTGAAATTCAGCAACGATACAAGTTACGAAAAGTTGCACTTATAACGAACAGAAGCACATAAGTCATGCGCGTTTGACCCCACATGTTAATTTATTATGTTATTACTTTTAATAAATACGCGCAAAAAAGTCTACACAAAGGCAACTAAGTTATGGAAGTTGGAAATCGTTATCGGAAAAAGTGACGAATATCACCTGAAGCGGGGGCTGATGATGGCGCACTTCCGTTTCCGTTATGTTTCAATTTAGCCAAAAAAGATTGCGCATCTGAGAATGTTTTAAGGAGTTTTGAGTGGCTACTTGCGATTTCCTCAACCTTTTCTCATGCTATAAATAAAACAAGCTTTAAGGACTTCATGGTCACGTCCCAGGAATAATTTACAAAAAACAAAAACAAAAAAGTTTTTTCTTGTTCGTTTTTCGCAGGTTGATGTCGCACAGCGAAATGATGGCCGTGCGCGGATGATCACACGACCAGTGATATAATATTAAAGGAATTGTTTAGTCCTTTTAAACCCGGTTTTGTCTGGTAGGAAGTACGACGAAAGATTATTATGCAGAAAAGGTTATCACCAGACTTCTCTTTGAAAAGCCGGGCTCATTATTATTCCTTTCATATTTTAAAGCGACGCTGTAATTAATAACAAAGTCAGTTGCGCATTAAACTCTCGCATACAAATGAGCAACTCCAATGTCAATGGGTTCCTTCATTGTTTACATCAACTCCATTCAGAAAGATCAGTGAACCGTTTGGGGAATCGTAGTGAATTTATTACTATTAATTTCAATGGGCAAACATGAAATTTTCTTGTCATTCCTCGATTCCTACAATCTGAAGTGTACATGTCTTCGATTTGCGATGCTAAACTGAACACAAAAAGGGAAAGTTCGGCCATTTGGTTGTAGCACTGAGAGCAGATAACGTGGTTGTGTTGAAATCAATGGTATGTGACGGCTTTCTTGGTAAAGGGTATTGAAACCTGTGGGCGAGGCCATCAAATCTTTGGAATGCATCCCCCAAGAAAGAAAGCGAGTTTACGGCAGCGACAAAACACTTTGAATAAAGATAAAACAATTAAAACCTGACGCAACTAAAGAAATTCGTCTGATGGTTCATTTTAGCAGTGCAAAATTTGGCAAAAGATCGTTTGCCAACCGACCGAAATGTTTTAAACTGCGCTGGAGGGTAGAACCACAATTGCCAAAAGCGGATAGATATAATTTTTTTTTTCGTGCCTGCTAAATTAAGATTTATATAAATAGTGGCCGTTTCTGGGAAGGCTTACATAAATTGCAAAACAATTATACCTTAATTATATTCAAAAGCCTAAGTTTCTTCTATCAATCCAGAACTCGTTAATTTTTTTTTCTCGGCATTGCGTTTAGCAATTAATTATACTCAGAAGCAGAAGTTTCTTTTTTTTCGTGGCCTTGCGTTTGGCAATGTGTGAGGCTGAGACAAAGCTGTGAACATTCAAATAAGGAAACACGACTCTCAGGAAACTTATGCTGAAATGCTGATGACACTTTTGAAAATGTGAGAAAACTTTTACGTGAAAAAGTGCTCTTAAACGCGTTTGAACATCTTGTGCGTAAGATCTCGCACGAAACAGATATCTTACGAGTGTCTTCCGGAATTAACTGGATATCAATGGATTCGCAATTACATGTAGGAAGACTGTTGCAACTTTTCAGTTACACTCAGATGGAATGACCACAAATAGTTTGGGTCAGATGAAGCCTTTTATTTTCAAAAGTCAATTAATTCGAGCAACAACTTCTCAAAATGTCCATCCGTATGTACAATTTTTCATCTTACTAGTAAAAGTGGTAACATTTATGTCACGCAGTGAAACGCTCTGGATATTTACATTTTTACGACAAGTAATTACAATTACGACTTTCTACGTTTCTTAGACGTAAAACTCGAAGTTGCTTTAGTTCTTAAGTTTCGTCTCCACGCACTTTCCCGAATGAATCACTTGTGTTTTCCGTTTTGAATGAATCGCATAAAAATCTACAAACTTTGCCACAACAAACAGTTAGATCTGAGATCTGAGCCATGAGCTTTCCTAAGGAGCACTCAAAGTTTTAAAAACTATCAGATGAAGGTTAATTGTTTCCAATCCTTTCACGCTCGTGCCACACAGTCTCCAGGTATTCTCTGATGTCTGCTAAGTTGTGATCCTTGCGTGAAGTTCTTTCCGCACTTGTCGCAAACAAAGGGGCGTTCACCGGTGTGCGTTCTGATGTGGTTGTTCAATGTGGTCGCCCCAGCGAACGCACGTGAACAGTATCCGCACTTGAATGGTTTCTTACTGGCGTGAATGACAGCGTGAGCGCGCAGCTGAGCTGGGTGGGCGAAACTAAGTGAACAGTGGCCGCACTGGTATGGCTTCTTTGGGGCTTCATTGCACACATGAACTTGGAGCATGGTTCTTTGAGGGAAGGACTTTTTGCACTGGCCGCATTTCCACAAACTTAGTTCTGTGATACTACTAAACGCGGGCTGATTGATTTTAGTGGCGTTGTTTTGCCCGTCTTCATAAGAAGTGGGTGAGGGAGGATTGCTCCTCTCGCTTTCTGGCGATGGAAGTGGATTGGAAAAGTTGGCTGCAGTGACAGAGGAAAAGTCGAAGGCGGAGGACACTTTCGTCTGAAAACCATTCAAAGGCTCTCCACCGATTGGCATGGAAGGTGAGTGTTGGCGAGGGCTGATTGGCTGGCTTTTTGGTGATTGTGGGCTTCCAGGAGAAGGAACTGAGCTGGGAGGGGTAGGGGGATACTGATTTTGTGTTAAGGTTTCGGACGGCAAGCGCACAATTTCTGCTGCATCTGGATTGTTTGACTTTCCTGTAGAAGTTATGAAGAAAAGACGTTTCAATTTATCCGTTTTTCAAACTTAACAAACCTTCGCACACAAATCGCAGAAATTATCAGCCAATGCTTAAAACATAACTTAAAATCTCACCATTGACTGTAAGAGAACCCATATCAAAGATTGAGCTTGGAACGCCAAGGTACTGAGGATATTTGTCATCGTACCACACCAGCATTTCTTGTCCGGGCTGGATGGTCTTGAATGAACGATAGTAGACCTTGCCCAAGTACTGGAAGGCAAACAGGTTTTGTTCCCCTTTGTGACGAGCACAGCGGATGAACCGCATCCAGCTGGAATACTCTTCATCACTACCATCCACAAAGCCCGCCAGTTTACCGTCTTTAAAAATCTGTGAACGTAGACGGAGAAATTAACAAAAAAATCTCCACAAAGAAAAAAAACAAATCATACTTCATTCTAAGAGTCGATCATTCAACTTCCCTACCTCCCACATGTAAGAAGTGTTGGAAGTCGAAGAAATTTCCTCAGGTTTCACAAACTTTCCTTCATAGGGACCAATCCATGCCCCGATAGGAATTTTTTGCTTAGCACAGACTCCATATCCTTCCCCAGGAATGCTGGATACACACAAGCCAACCTCCGGCGGAAATGATCTTAAAGCAAGAGACAATTGACTTGTCTGCTTCGTGGCAGTGGTTTCATGTTTATGATGCGGGCAGTTAAAGCTTGGGTCTGTTGCACTTGCATCACACCCTGAAATAATAATAATTTATTTCAATATTGCTATGATTTATGACACAATAGAGAAGGGATAAAGCTGCATTAGCGCTACGCACGCAAAATCGCGGTGAAAAAAAATATAACAAAACTTACACTTATCGATAACTATTCAAAGCTTTTTTTTTGGTAATAAAAGAACACAAGTAATATCACGAGAATTTGGTGCTGTTATATGATGTATGGAAGGAACAGACACCACCTGGCTTGCTTTTTTTAAAAAAAATCCGTCGACACAGAATTAAGTGCATCATTTCGCGCAAACAACTCCCACACGAAACACTTACAAAAACAACCAGCTCCATCTTTCTTTCTTAAGGCTTCACGGCTGTGAATTGGATGGACAGTAGATACGTTGAAAAGACACTTCTGTACATCAGCCATAGTAAAAGATAACTGTTTCAAGTTTGAAACCGGTGCGCTTTTGGATGAAGGAGGCGAGAGCTTCACTTTCTTAGTCACGGGCTGATACACACTGCTTACGCTCTCTCCTCCAAAAGGTTCGTTCATTTTTCTCGTCTGTAAAATGTGGAAAAGTTTGCGTTAGTTAGAATTCCAGCACAGAAACATTCAAATTTCATTACAGAAAAATTTGAAAAAAAAAACAAATAAAAAATGTCAGTGAAAGAAGGAAACACTTAGTCGGTTTTCCTACGCGATTCAATCGAAATTTTAAGCAATTGAAACCTTCGACTTGCACACTTAACAATCGCAATGTTGTGTAGGAGTTGATTTCAAGATCGCCTTCAGAAATCGGAAGTTAATTAAGTTTGACTAAACTTTAGTGATTAGTGAGCAATGTCAACTTCGTCCGTGATTCATTCACTTGACAGTAATGATTCACGAATACCTCATTTCCGAAGGCACTGAAGCAGATCGGTTTTTCGGTTTAATGAATTACAATCATTGTTCTAAGCTGTTAGCAAGATTTTTCAAAAAGTTTGTTTCTATTCTAAACCATGACCGTCTGTTTACCCACAAGAACACTGAAAATGGATGGCAACTTTGAAAATTGTTTTCAAGGGTGAAAATATATGAAAAACGTCATGCAAATAACATCGGTATTTTGCTTTTGTTTTTCCCCTTCAAAAGTTTAGGTTCTTGCATAATGAGATTTGGAAACTCAATTCCACGAGTTTTCAGGGATGAAATCGAAGGAAAACCACTTGAAACGTGTTTCAAAATTGTCTTTCGTTGCTTACAAACGATTGGTGTCGAAATCTCGCCTCCAGACGCTTATGTGCGTCGATCAGGACGAGTTGGTAGGAAACTCAATTCGGTGAGGCGTAACAGGTTTTAAACAACAAGAAGGCGAAGAAACGAGAGAAATCAAGAACGATTTTACAAATCGTTACAAGCAAAAAACTAGTCCTAACAATCGAAAGCATGAGAGACATGCAATGTTTCATGCAACTAAGGCGTTATCCCCCCGTTTATTAAAGATTCGTCGAATTGGTGTTTGCGTTCCGATGGATCATTCAACGTCACTCTTAAGGTGGTCACCCAAAATAAGATTTCTCTAGAAATTGAACGTACCTTGTTTTCAACTTCCATTTGCAGTCCTCTTAAATCGTCGATCTTTAAATCTTCTTAAGTTTGGGGAGTATAGAATCGTACGCCTTCTGACTCGCAAAGCGCTCTCTTTTCACCCCGTGCGTAACTAAGAGTGGACGTGTGATTAGACTTTAAAAGGACAGAAAACTACTTTGTCCAAAGACGGCGGTGTTTCCACGTACGCCTTTTTATGCACTATTCATATATTTTGACTTAAGACAAAAGTCAATTACCTTCACGGAGAATTACCACAGATAATAAGAAATAAGGAACAATAGACTTTAAAGCACTTTTCTTCTGATTTTCTCTTCAGGTTAACCTCAGGCGCTTTTCATAAGATATTTTGAAAACGCTACAGCAAGGCTGCAGAAACAGAGTAAAATCTCAATTTGAGCCCAGTAAGGATTTTAAGCATTACACAAGATATTCAATTTGTTTTGTGGCCCCCATTTGAAGCTGATGTGATCACTGTTCAGATTGGCTGCTCATGCGGAGAAATCAAGCTGATGTTTCCACAGTTTCAAGCTTATCTCTGTTGTTCATCTGTAAATTTATTCTATTTTCGTAACTTGTTTGGGAGCGAGTTTTTATGATACCAGTCTGTTTTGTCTCTATGCAAACCCTGCAACAAACGACGAAAGGTCTTTAAAACTTGAACTTTTAGTTCTGGTGCAGAATAAAAACTATTTTAGAGTTCATTGGGGAATGCAAAAGACAAAGAGAACAAAGACAACTAAGCGAGGTTAACTAAGACCACGTATTTATCAATGCGCAAATTCTGTGACTAGCCGTTTGAAAAATGTGTGCAAGCGGTGCTCGCTCTGCCAAGTGAGCATAGCTTCCTTCATCAACGTTCAAGTGATTTTTTTAATTCTACGTTGCTCTAATGGATGCCACGTCAATTTTCTTTAGTTCTTTCCTTTAAACATCACTAGAAAATTCCAAGGTAATGAGCCATAAAAACAAAGGAAGATTAAAATGAACTCTACGGTAAACGAAAGATAAGACAATGATCTAGAATTTTTTCTTTACAAAGATGCCGACATAGAGGTAAATACCAGGGACAGCATCAAAACTTATCGCGTAAACATTTTGCAAGAACGTAAAACGTAATCCAGTCGAAAAACAAGTCGACTGAGTCAGACGAGATGTGACCAGAACGCCTACGAGACCTGCAGGCATAATTTGCGAGCAAGATATCTTCATTTGAATACCCAGAACTCCTCTGAAGAAAAGGTTCTCGCATGATCAGTCTTTAAGGATAGGTTTGGTCTCCAGTCTCTCTCCTCCTTCCTTTATCATGAAAATAATAATATTTACGTTCGAGTGCCTTTGCTATAAAATGATTTTTATGATACTAAAAATAAAAATAAAATTATTAAAACTCGGCATTATCGATGAAATTAAAAAACTAGTCGAAGCATTGTTCTCTAACTTTATTTGTTCCATTTGTCTGTTTTACTTATTGCTCCATACATTAGCTTTTTTTGCTGCGATTTTAACAACATGAATAATTATTCACTTTTATTTTTCCGCACAAACTATATGTGTAAAATTAATGAAAACTTGTCAGAAGTCCTCTAAATGGTCAAGAATTTCAAAACAAACACTCTTCGACAAATTGAACTGTGAGCGGAGGTTAGCTATTGACGGTTGGAGGGGATACGTCGCTTTTACATTCGCGGGGATTTCTTTGGTGCCTGGATAAAAGTCCAGGCTGAGAAAACGTTTTTCCGCACTTGTCACAGCCAAAAGGCTTCTGCCCGAAGTGAGATTTAATGTGATTGTTTAGTGTTGTCGCGCCGACAAAAGCGCGCGAACAGAAGCCGCATTTAAATGGTTTTTCACTGGAATGCGACGTGACATGCGCACGGAGCTGAGAAGAATTGCAAAAAGCTAAGCTGCACTGGCCACACTGGTAAGGCTTGGATGGTTGGCATGGGCAGACATGAAGTTGTAGGGCCACCCGCTGAGTAAAAGTCTTGCGACACTGCTGGCACCGCCAGGAAGTAAATTCCCTTTCTGGAGATTTTTTGGGAAAGGGCACTAATATATTTCCAGGGTCGCTGACGTCGCTTTCTACGTCACTGTTAGAAGAGGATCGCTGACCATCTACATCGCTGTCAGATGATAATTGTCTGAGAAGTAAACTAGCAGGAGCACACACAGGTTTCTGCTGCGCAGATTTGTTATCCCCTGTCTGCTCTTTTACCATTGGCCGAGCATCTGAAGAAGAATGACAGACAGATGTCTCATCAAATATACGGATACAGAGGTAAATCATTCTTAAAGTCTGTATCTTACATTTTTACTTGGAAAGACGTCTGACGTGTTATATTTTTCTTTAGAATATTTCAAATGCTCGTGCAAACCATATTGATGATACTACTTAAACATTTGCAATGGATAATTAACAACCATAATTACCTTCAAAATCTTTGACGAAGGACATGCTCTGATATCCAAAAGGTATTCCAAAATGCTGTACATATCGTTCATCATACCACACAAGAAGCTCTTTACCAACAGTAACATCTTTGAATGCACGATAATAAACTTCGCCCTTGTACTGAAACGCATAGAGGTTTTGTTCAACTTTTGAGCGTGCGCACTGGATAAAACGCATCCAGCCTGATGTTTCTTCACCACTGCCGTCAATGAAACAAGTTAACTTGCTGCCGTCAAAAATCTTAAAATAAAGAATGATAAAAAAACACATCAGCTTAAAATGTCCATTATAACCTTATAAAAAATATTTCCTGTTTAGTTTAAATAAGTTCTAGAGATTTCTATTCTCTTGGCTGTTCTTAGCTGCAAATTTCCCAAAATCAGTATTATGCATATGTATATAGACGTTATGCATCCAACAAGTTTCCTGCAAAGGGTTCGATAAACCTTGGCTTGTACGATTTATTTCGACCAATAAACAAAAAATTAGCAAATACAGCTAGACTTTTATTATTAATTCCCCCCTCTCCACCCAAAAGAACTCTTGAGAGAGCCTGATAAAACGCTAATAGGTAACCTGAGATGGAGAAGCATTCCACCGAAGGAGGGACTAGAGGCTGATAGAACAGTGGTAGGTACCCTGTGATGGAGAAGCATTCCACCGAAGGAGGGATTAGAGGCTGATAGAACGCTGGTAGGTACCCTGTGATGGAGCAGATCATTTCACTAAGCAATGGGGCTTGGTCTCGTAGAATCAACCTCCCAGAACGCTTAAAATTTTCTTAATTGTTTTACAAGACAATCTTTCGTTTGATCAATACAGAACCCAACGTATCAGATATGGTAACGAATTACCCACCTACCTCCCACATATACGACGTATCCATGCCCGGTTTGACCTCCTCTGGTCGGATTCTCCTGCCTTCAAATGGCCCAATACAGGTGCCAGCAGGAATGTGTTTTCTAGTACAAACTCCTAACCCGGTCCCAGGGATACTTGATCTGCACAAACTCACTTCCGGTGGGAGTGACCTCATAGCTCTGCTCCCCTGCAGACGTTTGTTGTCTACGATCGCATGGCCCAAACCATGTAAGGGACAAGGTTCTGAATATTCTTTCTTACAGAGAAGACACACTGAAAAAAAGGGTATTCTCATTTAACCACGCGTTCACATCTTCGGCGCAAGATTCACGATCCGGGGTTCAAATTTTTTTTTGGACGCTGCTTCAGGCGGTTAAGCGTCTATAGCAAACAAAGAAAGGCATAAGTGTTTACTCTTATGAGGTGTGAGAAGATTGGATCCCTCGGGTATTCTTGACGAATTGTAAAACAATTGCACAAAACAATTTACCTTTTTAAAAAGAACTGCTCAAAACGAGTACTTGAGATTTTGGAGTAATGTGGACTAGACGCTAGCAAGTTTCTACAGATAGCGTGATTGTTTTCTAAGTGTGAGGGTTTCTTGCGAAAGTTTTCCTGTGATAAAGGGGTTTGAATGAAAAAGCACGGCGCACGTACACAAGGCTATAGAATAAATTTAGCATTTAGATGTAGCCTTAAATTTTTGCATAACTTAACGACAAATTACCTTTCCAATTGAGTATTTTAGAGAGTTCTGTAAGCAAGTAAAAAAGTGACTACAGGGCTTCCTAAGCCATCTGCTTTTTGCTTTCATAATATCTTCAGAAATGTGTCACTTAAGTTGCAATAGACCTGACTAATTCATACCAGTAGGCGTTGGAATTCTACTTATTCTTAGTTACCGTCAGAAAACTTTTAACAATAGCGTCCATGTTTAAAGAGCACGGTTCATTAAAGCTTTCCAAAAAATGACAAGCGGTATTTCTAGCTTTCCAAGACAATGGAAAAAAGGCGAAGGTCACGACTTGAAATGAAACGACACACTATCCTAAAACAATGAAAATGATCTAGAATGCAATCCCTAGTTATTAATGAAAAAAAAGTTTAATCATTCCAGGACAAATTAAAAACTATCTCGAGCATTGCAACAGGTTTTATGAATTACTTCTCCTCTTTGAGTAAGAAGACAAATAGATAGAGTCTGAACTTTCAAGAAACGTTTATAAGGACCGCTCTATCATTTATAAGCGTGGATCATGTGTGTGCCAGAAGGGAGGCTATGGTTGACTTGAAAAGTTCGCGAACACGCTATATCCGGTATCGTGAGTAAATCTAAAATATTACGTATTACGTAGGAGAGACTAAGCCTGTAAAATAACGGATTTACGAATGAATAAACTTACATAATTGCTTGTTAAAGCCCTCAAAATTCAGTCTTAGTAGTTTGTTTGCGTCGATGAACACCAGTTGTTTTCTTTCGTACAAGCAGTTCCTAACAGCGGCAGAGGTTATTCTGTATCGCTTTCCCTGCGACTGAGAGCTTGCCGCAAAGGCCCTCTTAGTCGAGGAGCAGTCGACCTGAAATAATCGAATCCTTAATAAGATCCGTGATTTAAATGCCTATAAAAATAAACTGACCTTGCCTGCCTTGATGTTATTGTTTGTAAGGATCAAGAATTTTGTCTGTTACGTGTGAGAAACCACGTTTTATTTCAGTAGATGATATTAATTGGAAGGGTTAAACTTGTAAATGTAACACTGTATAAATTAATGGTAGAGTAAAACAGTATAAATTGTGTTTAGGTGATTGTTCTGTAGCTTGCGAGAGGCTTCAAATATCTGCATGATCTTGAGAACCGTAAATTTTTTTTCACCACTACTGTCACCACAGATATGATATGAATCTCGGCAAAACTCACCACATGTTATAACTTCGGCAGTGTATCAAGTGGGATAAAAGATTTAAACACCTCCCATTGCACCAACTAACTTATTTGTTTTTAGCGCCAACAGACAGAGAGTTGCCTTCATTGCTTGTCTGGTAAGAGTCACTTGTTATTTAATAAGGCCGGTGTCAGCACTAGTCTTCTCGTAAGATTGCTCTTTTTTCCGCTTGTTCAGGTGACCAAATAGAACTATCAAGAACTACAGAATTATGAACTACTGAGTAACAATTTAACAGTCTCATAGACAGTTACTCACCAACTCATTTTGATATGTCCTTTTCATCTCCTCGAAGTACTCTAACATCGAAATGTCTCTCGCTATCGTAACCGTAAGCTGATAACTGGTGATGACTCTACCAGGAAGAGCTTATTTGTTGTTAATGCCTTATGTCTAGCAACAGAGAAGAACCCTTCTCGCGGATTCTAGAATCAATTATAAGCCCATCCCACGTGGATCACGAATTTGTTCTCCGCACGGATCTGATTGGATTATTATCTTTCTGGTTGCTGATTTTCAATTATTCGTGCTCACTGAGGTTTTCAGAGACAAGAGAATATAGTATCATTGATGGACGAATTGTGTATTTGTCTTTGAGCCTATATCTGATCTGTTCTATTCAGATAAAAAGTCATCTCTTCCACCTTTATAAAACACATCTCCAAAAGATTGAGTTTGTTTTTTTTTTTCGAAAAGAAATATCAAAGGAAATTTATTTAACACGAACACAAAAGAATTCTTGAGGCACTCAACCATATCTGAAATATTCGTGAGTGGAACAATTCAGCGACGATGCTCAATGGAAATTTATCGGCAGACGCTATTTGTGTTTGAACGAATCTTTTTCCAGTTGGCCTTCTGCCTTACGTGGTGTTATGGCTGAAAAGAGCAGATTAATCTGCGCACCAAAAGCGCAGCAAAGAAGCTATGTATTCTAGGTCTGCGAAAGATTGAACACTGATTTACAATATAGTTTCAACTTGCAAACTTAATGGGGCTAGAGCACTCGCTTTAGATTCTATCACACAGGGCCGGAACTTGACTTTCCACTTGGCATCAGATGCCAAGAAAGATAAGCTGTTGAAGCCCAACCCACAAGTATTGCTGCGGTTTTTGGTCGACACACAATTAGTCCAAACTCTGATTTGCATTTGAGACAGAAGAGGTGCAGAAAGTGGGAGTGGTTGGCTCCTTTGAAGACAATTTTTTTAAAAGATTCTGTCTACATAGGAACAGATTGTGAAACAACCAGCGGTAAACTCATCCATTCGCTCACCGGACTTCTAAAGTGGAGTTCTTTTTTAAAAGTACGAACAAAATTTTTCCCATGAGGAAAAAAGCAACCATAAAGTGATACAATGATCAAAAATCCAGGCTACTCCAGGCGTTCAGTTAGTAAATCGAATAAGACAAGAGAAGGCGTCCAGAAGCAGCAGAGCGGAAAAACGAGAGAGGTTTGGGTTGAGTTGATTTGAGCACCGGACCCAAGCTTTCGTCGTTTTTCCGCTCCACAGTTACTACGGCGCTGTTTGTTACTGCGCTTACCAAAAATAATTCTACATAGTTTTTTTCATGAATGGTCAAACTAAACAAACTAAAACCAAAAAAAGGACACGCCTATGTATATTTACAAAGAAACTTTGTAAACACATTATATTCATATTTTAAACAGCGAAAATTGCATTCATTTAGTTATTTAAATTATTAGTAGATTCAAAGAATGTTAGGGAAGTAAAAATACTTCATCAACAACGTCTGCTTCTTTGTTGTGCTTTGTTTTTTATCCAAAAACTGTGATGGCATTGTCTACGGGAGTTCGATAGGGAGAAAGTTTCGTTAAGGCTGCTCCTTCCCACTGCAAACTTGGCTGTATCAGTCAGAGTGCGTCTGAGTGTCCTGAACAGCAGAATACGTACAGCGTACAGATTTTTAGTTGCAAACCACTTTCACACGCCTTTGGATAGACTCTTTACTCTCCTTGGCAACAACCTCAACCGGCGTCACCGAAAAATAATGCAATTTTTCGAGCAATGAAGCCAAGCAGCAGCAGAGATTGCGCAAGAAATTTTTAAATTGTACGAAACGTATTGAAAGTGAATTCGCTTCTATTTATGGAAGAGTTAGTTGCATGTCTTAATTTTATTGACATTAATTTTGTTAAGGTGTGTACTGTGTTTCAATGAAGGAGTCACACTCACACACTCACACACGGTTCTCGCAAATTAAATTACTCAATGCTTTCAGTTCCGCGGAAAGGTCTCAGAATTTAAGTTGGTCTAAGTTAGGAAGGGTCTCTTCGCGCTATTGAAAATGTTAAAATTGTGTTCTGTGCCTTGTGCGAATAGCGTCGTCAATAAGAAAAAAACAATCAGTTATTTCTTCCAGTGTCGTAAGAAACCCAGTTTCAAACACATAACACAAAATCTGTGATCGCTCCACATTTGGTTTAAAGGATTACGAATCAGCTGTAACACTTGGCCTTGACTTTTAAATCAGTAACTACAAAATTATAGGATTATTGAAGAAAGACCATAATTGATAAGCTCACAATCACTACTCAACTCTTTTGGAGGTTCCCTACACTACGATCAGTCCTCCTTTTCAGCCTATACTATCATGCTGGTCTGTTGAAATCAGCGGTCTGTTGAAATCAGCGAGGCCTCTAGGAGAGCGAAGCCTCGCCGATATTAATTGAATCTTCCCAGAGGGACTGCTCGTAGTCTAACGATTCCAGGCCCCTTCTCAAATCTCAAATGCCCCCCCCCTCCCCTGCCCTACCGGAAGTGCGCAGTGTTTATTTAAACGATTCTTACTTTTTTTTCTCTAGCATCCCCAAACCCCTCCCCTCCCCTCCCTCTTTTCTTCACCGCACTACTCCTGATTTTTCACATCAAGAAAATTTCAATCAATAAACCAATCCGGATTAATTCGAACGAACCCTAACCTTCTCCCCTTATATCACGTGCCCCTACTGGCTATAGCGTCTCTTATTTGTCGATCTAGTTCAACTATTATACGATCATCAGTGGTATAAACTCCCGTATGTAACAGCGTATCTCTTTCTTCGATCAGTTTCGCTATTCTGCTATCAATGTCTTCTTCGTCATGTTCATGAACTGATGTGAGTCCAGGTGAATGCTTAATACTTCTTCTTTGTGACGAATTGGCGGCTGATGTTTTTTCCTGCTCTTCAGTCGGCGCTTGATTTACCCGTGCTTTCGCCTCCTCCTGTTGTTTTAATCTGTTGCAGAGAAGAAAAAAACTTCCATGAACTCTCAAAGTTCATATAATCGTACCATAACAGGGCTAAAAATTGGCGGTCGCACGGTCGCCATTGGCGAGTTAAAACTGACCAGGGCCACTAAAAGTTAAGGTTTGAACGCCCGATGTGCGACTATGCTACAGAATTTCGAAAAGTTGCAATGTAAATTATGCAAGGGCTACTTCATTTTGGGATAGGGCCACTAAGAATTCAAGGAAACTGGCCCGACTGGCCACCAAGCACTGGAGTTAATTTTTAGCCCTGCCATAAGGTCAATAAGAGCCTATTGGACATTTTAAAAAACGCTTTACAGCATTTGACAACAACAATAATACCAAACTACCAAATACTCACCTGGCTAGCTCAAGTTTTATCTCCTCCAGCTCTTCTTTCTCAGATTTAACAACCTAAATAATAGAGCATATTTAATAATGAAAAAAAATACAGCTCTGTAACAAATAATTAAATAAAAAATTAGTATAAGACTAAAAGGAACTATGCTGGCACAAGGTATAGCAGGCGCACACAATATATACCTCCTTCTCCTCGGCGGCAAGATAACGCAGGCGCATGTGTTCCAGCTCTTGCTCTTGTTTTTTGAGCCGCGCTCTGGCAGCAGTCTGTTCTTGCTGTTTCAGTCGCGCCAGTTCCCTTAGCGCTCGGCCCCATTGCTGTTTGTAGTGAATCTTTGACTTGTTCGCCGTTTCTAACTTACGTTCAAGTTCTGTCTGTTGGGGGAAAGATGACTCATAACAGTTAAAACAGACCTTTTCATTCAATTCAACAATTTTTGTCAGAAGATAAAAGAAAAGAAATAATTAAACAACATATAAACGTTCGTAATAACAGTTTACCTTTTCCATTTTTAAAAGATTTATTTCGGACTCGAGCTTTACTTCAGGTTTCGTCAGCTGTTGCTCCTTGTAAGCCATGAACTCATTCTCTTTCGCTTGATATCGTTTCTCTGCTTCGTAAACCTGAACAAAATGGTAATGCCGAGTTATTCCACATAATAATTCCACGAAACAAAACTGGTACCTCAATCGGAGAAGGAATGTCACTCACTTGCTCCACTAGTCTCTGTTTCTGTTCCTCCAGGTCCTTAACTTTCATTCTTGAAACAAAATTACTCACATCAAAGTCTGTAACTTTGACTGCTAGGAGGAAGCTCACAACTAGCGCTATAAATATGCAATAGCGTGATAGAGTTTTATGAATATTTCGGTCAATATGCGAATTTTTTTCGTAAAGCGAACGATAACACGCCTGGAGAGAGGAATGTTGAATAATAAACCTTGATTACCACTATATTGTAATCACTGTTAAAAAGTCTGCAATCGCTTTTTTAGCAATGGAAGTTTTAACTCCAAAAGCATCTGTCACAAAACACTCGGAGTGAAATGATATTTTTAAGGGAAGGAGCAAACAATGATTTTTGAAGGTATCAAGAGGAAGCAAAATATCATGACTCCTTACAACAACGATGTCAGCTATGAAAAATCGACGCACACTTCCACCACCATCATCCCACCCCCGCTTGCCCACACCTCATCCTAAAACGTGAATCGAGCGTGTGACTCTCTTATCAATAATACGCTGAAGAGCGATGCGCAAAGCAATGGTTAAAAGGCAGTCAAAAATAAAACTAAACCTCTCCATTTCTACTTGATGTGAGCAGTCATCTTTCAATCTCCGAGCAGCTTCTCTCATTTCTGTAGTCCGTCGTTCGTGTTCTCGTTCCAGTTCTTCCTTCAAGTGCATCACCTAGGCAGCCATTACATTCAATTTTGAAAGCGTTGCCCATCAACTATTTAAAAGCGATCGAAAGCAAAAGGCGTCTAATGCTCCCCATTCTCAAAGGTTCTCAATTTTGCTTTCTTATACAAGTTATCGACTGTACTTTAAGATTGTAATTTCCATCATTTGATCCATAAGCCCAACACTAGCGGACAAGGGCTAACTTACGTACTTTTAAAAGCTTCTAAAAATTAAAATGGAGGAAATATTCGCATGAAATCAAGTTAGAATCTTGCAATCCTCTTAAAAACTCTCTAACAAACCTGAGCCTCATTGGTGGACAACAGTTTTTCTCTCCTTTCCAGATCAGCGATGGACTGTTTGATCTTCTCTTCCAATCTTGAATATTCTTCCAGCTAAAAATTATATAAAAGTACATTTCAAAAGTCATTCCATCAAGCCTATAGATTAAAAGGCAAAAAATAGATGGATAATTAAACAAAATGAGGTTTCTGTTCCACCTTTTTCTTCACCATCAGTTCGCGCTCTTTATCTCGTCTTTTCCATTCCTCAGCAAGAGCTTTCATGTGCGAGTCTTCTCGATGTTGCATCTGTTTGGCAGAAAGGAAACATATTCAGTACAGACAGAGGGACCAATTTTACAATCTCACTTCATTAGGAGATAAAAAATCCTATAGAGCAAACAGCTAGCATTATTATATTTCTTTATCTTTGCAGACCATTGACTCAACGGCTTACTTTTGTCTACTCAGTTCGACTGTGTTTTTTATGGAAAGATGTGCACTTTACAGGAAATTACAGGAAAACAGTTCAATAACGGTTTTATTCATTCCTCATCAAAGGGTCTTCTACTGGGGCGCCTTTCTTCCATCGCAAAGTTGAGTTTCACCTGTGCTTGAAACATCTCTTCTTGTTGCTCCTTCCAAAGCTCCAGTTCTAGCGCGGTCTTGTACTCTTCTGTGTCACGTGGGTCAGTAACAGGAGGAGGCTTGGGCTGAGCGGGCGGAACACGCTGCGGCTCAGAGAGAGGAATGGCACTAGATGTCTGGCTACTTTCAAGTGAAGGGGAAAGACTGTGCTAAAATACAAAAAGAGGAACGTTCGTTGCAAAGATTTAATTTTGGTTTTCGCAAAGCTTCGTTCCTTCTGATCACACCTAAGAGTTCTACACCATATCTTTTAGGATTTGCGTCATGTCGAGTTTCAGCTATAAACTTCCTCACCCTCCTGTCTCTGTAAAAAGCCACCCCCCCTTTCCTTAACCCTTTACACCCTAATATCAGCATACATCTTCTCCATACTGTTATTTATACATTTCCTATGGCACTGACAGGGAGAATTAAAATAAAACTCAGGAGCATTTCACGTTTACGATCATTTCCTCAATTCTCGTGAGCCTGATGTTTGATTCAGCAGCCAGTTAGATGCTGGTCACCCTCAGGGGTTAAAGGGTTAATCTTACCTCGTTTGCCTCCATCAAGCGCTGTATGTTCACTGGGCCCATGTCCTCTAAACCGAGAACCACATGAAGCTCACCGATTCTCCGAGCAGGCCTGAGAAAGAGGTTTATTGTCATCATCGTTAAATGAAGATTAAAAAAGAAACATAAAAAGAAACAAACACACCAAACAAAACACTATTCTGATTTTTATAATGGTTGTGAGCGTGCGAAAGGTCTACGAGGGTTCTGGCATGAAAAAGAGATTATTCGAGCCAGACCCCTCCCAGCCTCTCGCCCACTGCAACGTCAACTAAATTAAATGATGTATAAAGAAAGCTTTGGTCTGTACAAACTCTGTAACTATCTATTGAGTCTATACAAAACTGTTGCACTTACTTTTCTGTAGTGAAGATTATCACCCTCTCGTTATAAATTTGCCTGTAGCCAGTCACTTCTTTACCCTTACCACACGAAATATAAATATGACAAATGCAAAAATTTAGCAATGGCTGTCAAGGTGAGAAAAAATGTATCAGATCGCTGCCCCCCCTTTTTTTTTTTTTTTTTTTTTTTCATTGAAAACATTTGAGCTGTGCTTTGAAAATTGTGCTAGTGTGTCATGCCTTGTGAAGCACAAACCGATTTTCGATCAAATAATTTAAACTTCACTCTCACCTGAGACAAGACTTGAACTTTATTGGCACTTACGACAGAGGCCAGCAACATATTGGAGACTCCAATCAGAAGATTTCCAGCCATGCTGTCTTTATGCCACACCTCAATCACAAGGGGAACTCTTTTGTAAAACAAAAACAAATTGAGAGTAATCCGAGTAATCTAGGACTGAACTGCTTTTGATTAACTACACAAAGTGATCTGTCAGGAACACACGTCTGTCTTCTCAAAAAATCAGATGCCAAAGAAAAACCAATCCCCATTTGATCAATAGAATGTTCTTACCCTCCCTTGGCCCCTGTAATGCCAATATCTTCCCACCATTGGTTACTTTAGCCCCAAATTGCCTTAAATTTCAATCAATTAATCTCAACAACTTACTTATCTCCCTAACTTAACATTAACCCTAACTTGTTATCAGTTGACTCTCATGAGGTTAGGGGAGGGGCAGGTGCACTGACATTGATCCAATTCAATGAGCTGACATGTTTGCTAACCTTGTGAGAGTTTGTTGAAGAAGTATTGGCGATGATGCAAAGTCAAAGGCACAGAATGATTTTGGTAGAAGAACTTCCATGTTGCGTTGGACTTGTACAGGAGGACTAGTGATAACAGGTGCAGCACTGCCAAAGAAAGGATATGTGTACCTGGAGGGAGAATAAACATCTTATTCATTCCATTGGTTATAGTCTACTTAGTACAAACTTGGTCAATTTTTGACAGACAAACCTGAGGAAACAGTTAACAGGAGATGTTACATCAAGATTGGAAATACTGCGCAGGTCAATAGAAAAACAGAAGTGGTGTGCTCCTGGATCAATTGGTAGCCTCGTTCCAAGTAAAGGAACAGTACTGCTGGGGCCTGGAGCTGATATTTGTGCCTGAGAAGCCTGGGCTGTCTTTGATTTCTTTGAAGGAGAGTTCTGAAAGAAATGAAATTTGTTTGGAGTGGTTTAGATTTAACTCTGCTGGTGAACTGAAGAATGAAACAACAAAACTACCACATATGTACCTTTTGAGCTCCCAAAGTGACCCCACCTTCTAACCCTGGTTTTTCTGGGCCACTGTGTGGAGTGCTGGATTGTGGTCGAGGTGGTGTACCCTTGAGGTGCTCTCCAGTAATCTCTGTCTCTGACCCTTTACCAGGCTCTCTCTGCTTTCCTCTAAAAGGGGAGCTTGAAAGCTGTTTAGCTGGAGATTTGCTTCCATATGGCAGGCTGTCTACTTCAGGTACCCTCTGAAAATGTCATTTAAAAACATGGTTGGGCACAAAATAATGAACAAGCATTGACTGCTAAAAAGAATTTGGAGGATATCTTTGTACATCTCTAGTGTTATCATCGTCATCATTATTATCATTATCATCAACATTATCAATATTATCATTATCATGAGCCACAGACAAAGTTTACCTGTCTTCCCATTCCTCCTGCAGCAACAATTGGCAAGGGGGAACTTGTGACATTTCCCATTGTCTCCTGCTGCTCTTGTCTTAAAGACACAGACACACCAACAGCTGGCTCAGAGTCATCTACGGCTCCTGAAGATTGGCGACTACGACCAGGTGCAATTAATGGAAATAGCCCTTCAATTACAGTTGGTGATGCTAAGTTTTGCTGCTCATTGAGAAGGCCTTGAAAAGAGACTACAGCTTTGCCTAAGGACTGGTCCCCACAACACAAATAGATCTGTAAGAAAATATTCTTACATTTGTACTGGAACAAAAATTAAGGTGTTTTTTTTTTGTCATTATAACATCTCTGTGACTCCAGTCCTGTTAGCACTACATTCATTAAGGTTTTTTTGGTCATTTTAACATCTCTGTGATTCCAGTCCTGTTAGCAATACATTCATCTGTAAGATTGTAAAAACAATCTCCTCTCAGTCAGGAATGAGGAGCCAAAATCACATTGACAACTTTTTAGTCCATTACATTGTGGCAAGGTTTTCATCAAGAAAAACTATAAAACTATCAAATGGATAACAAATAATTGTTTAATCATCAATGTGGATTTTGTTGATGAAAGATCTCAGGATTTAAAAATTAATTGTTATATGAATTAGTATACATAAGATCTACCTCCAGTCCTGAATGTTGGGTGAAAAATGTTCTGAGAAGTTCCAAGTTACTTCTTATTCTCACTGAAGCTCGCTCAGCAGGAAAGTTTGGTTGAAGAAGATCATGAAAGACTTCATTTGTCACATCATTGCTCAGTAATGAGTAATAAAAATAAAATCCACCACCAAGGTTTGGATCTGGCAAAGCAAAGCTAGATGGTACCAACTAAAGGGAAAAAGTAATAAGTTAAAAAAAAAAACCCAATCAATGATAAAAAGTGTAAATCAATTATTTCAAAGGGAATGTCTTGTTTTATTGTTCATAGCAGAAGTGGATTCCTGAGTAGGAACTCTAATGTCAGACTAGCACTGTTGTAGATAATTCATCTCTTAATATGTCTAGGGAGCAAATTTTTAAATTTACTATTTGGACAACCTGTTCTCTGCAATGAGAAGGGCTGGTGACCAGCTATGCAACAGCGCATAAAGGGAGATTGGTGACTCATCAAATAATTAGTTTCCTCTATTGTAAGTCATAATTACATGAAGTTTGTAGAATTAAGAGCATCATTTATGACTTATGATCAAAATGTCAGAGATTTACAAATTAAATTATTAAGCAAATCTACCTTGGCTAAATTAGAGGCAAGTCCAATTGTAACGGACAAAATAAAAATCCTGTCATCTTCATGTTGTGGTCCAATTTCATAATACCCTTGATCTTCATTGAGCAGACACTGTATCCCATCAGATTCTGGTTTTCTTGGTGGAGAGGGTCTAAGGTGTTGCCCTTTGGAAGGCATAGAGAAAAAAACATGTCCAGCCATTAGCAAAATTTGTTAATTAGTTTGAAATATCTGTCAAATTTAGAAAGTTAAATGTCAATAATAAAACAGTTTGCATGAGATGATAACTAAGCAACACCTTGAATGCATTTAGGTATATTTCATATTCAATGAAATTTAAATTTTATTGGTATTTACTGGTACATGTAGACAGGCTTTAAAAAAAACAAAATTGTGGTTAGTTAATAAATGATTTATGGCCATTGATTGTGACATCCCATTAATTCTTAATAGTAACTAAAACAATGAAATGGTGAAGCAATAATTCCACTTCTACCCTTCTTAACAATTGTTCCAAATTACTGATATTTAGAAGTGAGATACCAACATCAAAGGATGACAATGAGACTATTGAATTAGGCTGAAAAATGTTGTCTGTGAAACTGAGGTTTTGTTCCTTGGGAAAAGATTTACTTAAAACAGTTCAACCTTATCTCTAGTCAAAAAAATCATTTCTCATTTGTTTTTTTTTTAACTTACTCTCATCTTCTTGTTTTGACTGTTGTTCAGTCTGTTTAGACTGAGTGTCATCTTCTAATGACAACATCAACTTCAACTCTGGTTTCATTCTTTGGTACTTTGTACTCAGGAGGGAATACCATTGTGCTCTCTGAAATAAAAATGGTAATTTTTATTTCATCATGCTCTGATAGCATTTCACTAAATGTTGTTCTTTCTAAAGGTCTTTAATTGAATGACACTGTATACTTGCCGCTGGTTTTTGTTGTGCTGTCCGCAAATCTAGGATCACATATCCAACAGCTTCCTTCTGAGATGACAGAGTATCCAGAGCATAACACTGTCCAAAATATAGATAACCAGCAAACTTAGGAACATATTGAAATCAGTAAAGGAAAAGATGACAAATCAAGTTGAGTAAATTTGGCAGTGAAGTAGCTTCAAGTTGACATTGTAACTAATGTAAAAGAGATGCACATTTGTCTGGAAAGATTTCTGCATAACCCCATACTTCATTATGCCACAAGAAGAAACTAAAGGTGAAACAACAGATTACCTGTAGGAAAACAGCTTTGCTTAAGAATAGTATGTGGTTATACGGAAATCTTTCCTTTTTTTCTCGTTACCCTTCAACTCTCAGAAATGGTCAACATTTAACTTCTCTCTATAATATCCATACATTATCCAGCAAACAGGCTCTGAGAATACTCAAACTTATCAGGTAGAGTTAGCTATCTCGATTTAACACCAAATTATTGTAACTTATTTATAAGGGAATGTGTAGCAGCGGGAGGGAAGAATTATCAACAAGATCTTGGAAACATAAGGGTTGACAGCGGTTAAGTTGCAACATCTCATTTTGGTTCACATTATAACAGTGCAAGATCAACTCCCTACACTCCACCCTATCATTAACAAACAAACGAAAAAACAAAAACAAACCAAAAAAAGTGCAATAACGAAATATTTTATAATCTGTAAGCCTGTCAAAACACAATTCACTTGTGTTGCACATATTTCACCTGGATTTTGATTGGTGTTCTCTGCAAGCGATGCTGATGCAAAGACTTTTTGTTCAATTCCCAAGCAAGTTCAGTTGTGAACTCTGGGGTTTCCACATGATCAATGGGATCTGTCGTCAGAGTTTCTCCATCAAACTTTGTTTCGACAATGATCTTGTGTCGTGGTCGTTTAGGAAATCTTCGCCCTGAATGTATCACAAAATTTTCGCATAACAAACATTTAACAAATTTAAAATATGGTCAATTCAACCCTGAAGTTAGACGAAAATTGAAGGATTTTCTGACAAACTTACCTTCAAGAACCGAAACAACTACCAAAATTCCGTCACTCAGCCCCATTTACACCAGATTAAATTACAGTAAGCTATTCACTCGCTATCTGTGGCTCCAATACCTTGAAAACGACACAGCGATGAATTCACAAAATTCCGCCATTTTTCAAAAATTTTTGGTTTCTACGTTGTGTAAGTAACTGTATGAGACCTCTATTACTATTCCCAATCTCCGCGCGGTTAGGCAAAACGTCCCCCTTATCCCTGATTTCTTCCGATTATTTTTTTAAAAAATCACAAAGTAACAGAAAGGAGTGAATTCAATTAAATACTTTCACAAGTACTCAGGTACCACTTTACAATATTTTTTGACTCGTTTTTCAGCTTTCACGTCATTTTTCATAGTTTCTTCTGGTTCTGTTAAAGTTTTGATATCTATACGGAGTCGTTACATAACAAGTCGTACCGTTATACCTTTTCTCTTTCATTTGAGACAACAACCTTTCCATGTCTTGGTTCCTTTTCATCTTGTCCCCTCCCCTTCATCTGTTTACCAAAACAACTAGGGCCAGGCTTACGACGCCGAGCGTCCAACATGGCGGACACTGAGAGTTATTATTTCAGCTTTGAAAACTCATCAACTCTTGTGTAAACAGAGCGGGCAGCTAACTTTTGTTGCCGGGACAGCGGATTTATGTGAACGAATAGGTAACTGGACCTAATTTGCACCTATGTAGCATTCCAACTTTGGGCAATTGTCATGCAAATGAAGCTCAAAACCTTCCTCCCACTACGTCTTAGCAACATATGTGTTGGTCCATTGCTCTCTCTTGAATTTATTAATCAACACTTAGGTCTGTTTTTCAAAGGACACAAGCTGTGAAAATTCAAACAGTCCAGTCAATCTTTTTCAACACATCACTGACAAGAGATCAACAGCACGCGCAATAAAATTGCCAGAAAGATTTTTGGAGCGACGTTAGAAAGTTGAATCTGTTGACGTACTAAACATGGTCGAGTTTGCCCAATTTAAAACGGAGAGCTAAAGGGCAGTTAATCAAACGGCTGTCGCTGTGATCGCAGTATGAGTTGCATTTCACGTTACAGTTCGCCTTCGACGTGGAAAAAAAGGTATGGATTTCTTCTTCATCAAACATAACCTTCGCCAATTTGAACTCAGGTGATGAATTCGATGTTTTCGGCATAAGCTTAATTTGCACGATTGAAATAATTGGATGTCATATCGTACAAATATCATCTATTTCGAGAAACCAGTTCTCATCTGTGTGGCTGTCTACAAATAATCCAAAATGGCTCACCACAGAGATAAAGAACGTGAACTCGACTTGAAGGGAAAACTATCACGGAAGATAGCTGAACTTACTATGGTCATTCACTTGCTGTTTACGAGAAACCACGAGCGCGAGATTGAAGTAGAATCGTTGAAAACTGCATATGAACATGAGATAAGAGGTATTCTTGAAGAAGCAAAAGGAAAAATTTCGTGGTTGGAGGGACAACTTGATGAACTAGAAAAATACCGTGTTTTGTTGGACTTGAAAAATACAGAGATTGAGAAAGACAAAGAGCAGATCCAAGATCTTAAAAATAGGGAGGCAGAATTAAATACTCAGTTAGAGCATAAAGATCAACTTTTAACGATTGCTGAAAAACAAATTGTAGAATTGAAAGAAAGCCTTACAGATAATGTAAACTCTGGGTATGATCATTTGTCAGTTGAACTAGAAAATGTAAAGAAAGAGAACAATAACTTGAAAGAAAAACTCAAGGTTAAAAGTGACAAGATAAAGAAGAGCCAAAATCAAGTTGATAATCTTCAATCAAAAGTAAAAACATTGGAGGATGAATTAAAAGATGTATTGGAAAAAAAGCAGAGGCTTGAAGCAAGTGTTGATGGCTTGCAAGGAGACTGGCAGGATGAAATTGAGAGACTTGGTCAGAAAATTGCAGAATACACAAAACAGCAACGAGAAGACCAAATGAGGACTGAAAAGCTTGAATGGAAAAATAAACAGTTGAATCAACAAGTAAAGGAGCTTGAAGATGAAAAACATCAGTTAGAACTTAGAATTCAACAATATGTTGACGAGAGGAACAAAAGAAAGGAAGCAAAAAGATCCCCAAGATCAGTGACTAAAGGAAGTCCTGAAGTACCCCGACCATCACCAATTGATGTATGTTAAGTTTAGAACTTTGTTAAACCTTTGATTCCCATGAGTGACCAAAACAGAATTTCTCATTACAATATCATTACAATATCAAGCAGACAAGTGATGAGAAAAAAGAAAAATATCAATGAGATTATGAATTGATCCAAAATCAGATTCTAAACCAATGCCACAAGAATTGTAGGGCAGACAGTAAGGAGAATTACTGATGAGATTTCGAGAATGAAAGGGTTGATATTGCAGTTTTATTACAACACCACTTTAGAAAATTTTAGCTAGATTTCCAAGATTTTCAGTCTTTGTTCACACTAAAACAATGGATAAAAAAATATGTTTGGTCTTCCTTATTACTACTTTCCCTTCCAAAATATTTCTTTTTGGGCTCATGTGTTTTGATGAATTCATTCTTTTGTTCTTAACTAAAGCCCAAAGCCATGGAATTTGAGAATTTATTACATGTATCTGAAACCAAAGAGGGAAGGAAATTTTAAAATCAAATGCAAAAAATTTATCTCATTAATTTGGAGTATGGACTGATTTAGGCTATCTATTACTTATCTGACTCAAGTGTTGAGGAGAAGGAGGGAGGGGGGGGGGAATATTTTAATTGTTATCCAGGTTGAACAAATTTGTACTTAGGCTTGGTCTGTATCCACTGTAGAGAGATGATGAGCTTGAACGTCTCAGACGAGAAGTGCAGCGTTATCGTCTGGAGCTGAGCAACAGGGAAATGAGCTTCAATCGAATGTTTACTGATCATAAGCCTGTCATTGTTGATGCAAAAGGAAGGAAAACATCATCTAATCTTGTTCACGACAATGTAAGTAGTAACAGTAGAGTTGATATGGCAACCAATGATAAGTAATTGAGTTACATTGATTTTTTTGGTTAGTGACCTATTTCTGACACAGACATTAGACAGAAAGGACAAAGCTAAGTGTCCATATTAGAGGGGTGACTGTTGGATAGAGGTGACCTCACTTTTAAGACTCAACTGACAGCTATAAGGTGTCTAGAATAAACCCTTCAACTTCAACTCCCATTATTAATTCTCCCTACTAGCTGCTACACATTTCCTTGTTAATGAGTTACAAGAATTTGGTGTTGGATCAAGATGGCAAATTTTACCAAAGATGAGGTTGAGAATTCTGGATCAATATCAGTATCTGGGCAACTGCCCACCTACCCCTTTCCTAACTCAACGACAGTCAATTGATAACAAGTTAGGGTTAATGTTGGGTTAGGGGAGGGGTAGGTGGGCAGTTGCCCAGATACTGACATTGATTCAGAATTCTCATTACCTGTTTAATGGATAATTTACAGATATTACAGGGAGAAGTTGCATGTTTATCACTTCTGGGAAATCAAGGGTCAAGGGAGGTAATTTCAAATGTCTTGAGGGTTGACATCCTCTTTTGATAAAAATTCCTTCCTTTACATTGGCCTTTCCCACTACGCTACAGCTGCCTTGATTCTGTGTTTCCCATTTCTTTTTCCATCACTAAAGGACTGAGGCTTCAGGAAAAGTTTATTGTATTCAGATATAAATAAGATACCTCAGACACCTTGAGGTTTCTATAAGTAAGCTTGCTTTGAGAATCATAGGAGAGAACTTGAAAGCAACGTTCATGCCAGGCTTGATTTCCACCACCCCAGTAAGTCTGGAGTACAAGTTAATTTTCCAAACAGCATTTGGTTATCAAGCCTTCAGACACATGCAAACCATGATTTCTCTTCTCATCAGATGGGACTCTTGTATTGAGGATATTTTTTGTTTGTTTTAAAACAATATAGTTTTTCTGTTTTTTGTTTTTTGTTTTTCTTACAGTCTTTCCCAAATCTTAGTGGTGTACAAGGACGAAAAAGAAGTGGAATTCAACAATTACCAGCTCTTGGGGAACAAAGGATTCAGAGCAATCCTCAACAACAATTTCATGGCCTTTGATTAACTTGGTTCATCTTATGTTTATCAAGAAAAAAAGATTCTTTCAGAGTTTATATATTTAGTATTTAAGGAAACAAATTTATTTGGATATTATGTAGACCAAAAATATCCGAAATTCAGTCTTAACAATTGAGAGTCAATTCTCAGTCCCAAAATGGAATGAGTACCCTGATTTTACACTAACCAGTTTACCACCAGTTACATGTTTGAGTCCCTTTGGAGATCAGAATTAGATCTTTTATTGACCCATGACTTGAGCTTCTGAATTGCTTGTTTATTTGATAACTAATGGTGGACAAATTTGCTCTCATTCTTTCTTGTTCTGCCAAAATGTATTAAGGGCATCCTGCTCAACCAGGACAATATCATTCATTCACCAAAAAATTATGATAACAGTTCTCTTTTGTTGAATCTTATAGATTTTGATGAACATGTGAGTTCATATTTTGAACTCAATATATCAACTTCATGTATAGAAAGAAGCAGTTTTAAAAGATAGTAAAAAAGAAGTGATGTATATCAAATCTTCAGGTGAAACAATTATACATTGTAAATAGGAGGGCAGTTTAGAGGTAGATTAAAAACTATTTCTTTATTTTATTTGTTATTTACAAGAAATATTTACTAAAGTGATGTGTTTAAGAATTTTTTTTTACAAACCAGTGGTATTTGTCTTTGTTGTCCCTTAGCCCCTAAGAGTGGCTATAGTCTCTAATTTCTCTTTACAATATCACTTCTGAATCACACATTAAGGTCAAAGGAATGAAGGAAATGATCATCAATTGGAGAAACAATTAATTGTGAAACAAAATCTCCTTGTAAGCTCCTAAGGAAATGTATAGAGAACAGTATGGAGAATATGCACACTGATCTAAGGGTAAAAAAGGCCAAGCACAAAGAAAACAAAGTTTCCATTGACAGTAACTCTTTATGTACCAGTTTGTATCGGCTGACATTATTTACAAAAAGATGAAATTCAAAGAGAAATTATAGTGAATGATTTTCAAAATCCTTTTAGCTTTATCTGTCCATCTTTCACCAATTTTTCTCCTTAAATTTGTTGACATCAAAATCTGTTGTATGCAAGCCAGAAAAGAACTTTCTCTTTTCCAAGGCATCTGCACAACTGAAAAAAAAAATTGAACCAGTTATGTTAAAGGTCTGTGGAAAATTTAGACAATAAGGAAGTTAAAAAAAAGAAGGAACAGTGTAATATGAATTTTCACCTCCCAAGTTTGTCTTGAAGTTCATCAATATATTGTTGCATTGAATTTATTTCCTGAAATGATGTGAAAATAAACAAAATTCAGTTCCATGATTGACCTTTTGACTCCAAAGAGTGACTAGCACCTAATTTCTCTGTAAAAAAATCACCCCTGAATCAAACATTGAGGTAAATGGCCACTGACTTTTTAAGTAGCTCTCGATTGATAAACAAATTCTCCTTGTGAGTATTTCAGTAAATGTATTGAGAACAGTATGGAGAATATGCATGTAATGAAATAGAAGTTCGATCCTTGCACAATTGAGGCTTTATTCAACAAGACCTCGTGCTTACATACTGAACAACATAAATATGGCGGCCTAACAATAACAAGTCCGCTGACATGTGCGCTGACATCACTAAGACTTAGAAAGATAAAATCAATTTTGTGTAATTCACAAACCTCTTGCAAGACCACCTCTCTTTGTTCTAATTCCCACGCTTCATCCTCATGTTTACTATCACATGCATCGTCCTGACAAATAGAAGAACGTAAAAAAAATTTTAGTGGGATACTTAAAGAAATTGTTTTATTACATTATTGCAAAGGTTAGGAGAGAGCTTGAGAACTGTCAAGATCAAGATTTGTGCTAGCCTACTAAGTACTGAACGGTTAAAAACTTTTATGGATAGTAACTGAGTACTTCACCTGTTGATCACGTTGCCTACAAAACGATCTTATATTCGTCTGGACTCTGTCTCTTGTTTGTTTTCGCTTTCTTTGATAGGCTTCGTACAAAACCTTCACATCTTTATGGTCCCTGACACGAAATAACGAGGAGATCTTAATTGTCTCTTCTTAAAGCTATGCGAATCAACCAAGGTTCTCGAAAAAACGTACCGGTACTTTCTGGGAAATAGTTCTTTAAATTCATCCATGGTGTAGCTGTTATGAATTTGTGCATTAATCAAAGCTTCTGTGAGTAATTCCGTGCATTCGCTTTCTCCCTCCGCGGAGGCCATGTTCGCGCGCTAAACAACAAAACAGTCACGATTGTCACGCAACGCTCATTAAAAAAACAACAACAAATTGTGTGACTGACTTCAGGTAAGAATGAGGTGAAATCTTCTTTGGCAGCAATAATTGTCGTTCGTCGCCATGATTTTGTATCTCTCCCCTCAACATTTTTAGGGGGGCTTAGAAAAACATTTTAATTAATAAACCCACCACCAATCAAGGACCCATCCAGCTAATTAGGCAACTTCCTCAGCATTTTAACTTTTAAAGATTGGTTTGTTCATATTCCTTTTACCCTGGGCCAAAATTGCTTTCAAATGCCTTATCCCAATGCCAGATTTGATTGTCAATTTATGGAAAAATCAGCCACTGTGACTTTCTACTCAATGAACAAGAGTTCACTTCTGGTTAAAATTCCCCACCCCAGCCAGGCAAGGTGCAAATGAAAAATAGTTGAAGATTTAAATGAAAGTGTTCCTTTTAATACAAATTCAAAATATTTATACATAACTACAGTGCCATCATTAGATTTAAATGTATCTTGTAGTATAGGTACATATTTTCCTTTTATTCAAGACAAAGACAAAAATCCTTTTGGTATCAGTCAAACTTAAAAAAAACTGAAGTGTCTTCGAGAAGCTATGGCATTTTGGTATCACACAATAATTTAAACTTCAGCTATCTATGCAAAACTAGCATGAAAATAAACAACCCTGCATAGTTTAATGAAATTTCTGCAATTCTGTCCTGTTACAAGTCATCTACTACCATCATTGAAACAAAATCCTTATAAAATATAATCCCTTTGTCTGGGTCAACAGCAGCAGAAAGCATTTCCTCCATTTCCTCTTGTGTGAAAGGTTCACCTGTTGTGAATATAAAAGATGATGCAAGTCATCAATTGAAAACCTCTTTAATGTACAAGTACAGAAATGATCCTCACAGGACTGCATTAAGACATTTGAAAAAACACAGGCTTTGATTGACAGGATTTGAATCCTTCCCCTCCAGATACTAGTTGGGTGTTACTGCCAATTGAGCTAAGTAGAGTGTGGTTGAGGGGGGGAGGTCAAAAGATGCATTTGACCATGTGCACCCATAATGCCATAAAGGCACAAGCAAGGTTATGTACAAACTAATGATTTCCCAATGACAGTAAGACTCAAGCGCACAGCTCCGTCCCCCCTTACCCACCCCCAATGGGAGAATCCTATCTACACTCTTGTTATCTGTGAGATAACAAACATAAGCATAACAAACAAATCAGATATCCTTGGGAAACAAAACAGGAAGGTGAAAACATGATGTTCCAACTACTAACTCCATTTTAAAGCTCGGTGTACCTTCTTCAGTCATGTATTTTGTAAGTTCTTCTGTAGTAAGGTAGCCTTTGTTTTCTTGATCTAGAACTTCAAATGCTTTCATTATTTGGTCCTCAGGTGCTGGTTTGTATCTATCAAAAATTTAATTGAGAATTAACTTGGGTGTGGACTAAGCCAAAAAGGGGAATCTTCTCTTTCCCCTGGTGGGAAAAGGAACAGGAACAGGTTAATTTCAAGAGTTAAAATAGATATGACACTTCATCAATTTTAGAACATTCCTTAAGTTACCTTCTCTCCAGAAGAGTTTTTAACATAACAGGTTCAAATTTTTCAAATCTTATGTATCCTGTTGGTTCTTCCTCCTCTACCTATAACAAATAAGCATAGAACCTCAACATCATTGAAAGAGGCAAATTAGGCATATTTCTAATCACTCTCATTTGAAACTTACCCCAGATAAAGAAAATCAGTGTTTCACATACCTCGGCTAAAATGTCATGAAGCTCTCCCTCAGTAGGACAACACCTCAAAGATCTTACAATCGTCCCAACCTCTCTTAAAATGTACAAGATCACAGTTAGATATTTAGAAAAATAAAAACTTGTCAAATGAAAGTGCCAGTTAGATATGAAATATTATTGTGACTTTCTTACCTAACGTCAACAGTTTTGTTAGATTCGTGATCAAATATATCAAAAGAATCTGAAATTCTCTTTTGCAACTCTGCAGCAGACGAATCAGACGATTCTATGGTAGGTTTTTCGGGTTCACTACTTGGATTTGGTGAACTAACGTCCGCCATTTTGCTTCCTTAAGCGTTGCCTGGATACCAAAAAATGGCGCCCGCGACTCGGCAACACGAATGACTTTCAAAAGGGATGCGCGTAACAACAGATCTATAAATAAAATTGCGCAGATACTTTTGTAAATACATGTTGGAAATTTCGCGAAGATAGCATGGTGTGTAACTAAATATTCTCACAGTTGTGCTTTTACTATTAGCCTTTATCTGAGGAAATTTGTTCATTTGTGTTTAGGGCGACCTCCTAAAGGAACTACCATCATTTAATCAGCGCAATTTTTCAAAATATTGCACAGATTCTAGTTCCAAGCCCACGGTAGGTGTAAACCTCGTTAATTCTTGAATTTTGATTGCTTGAAATTAACTTCTCTTTCTTTACGATTGTTCTAAATTTTGTTTCTTCTGTAACAAATCTTCAAGAGGAATGATTGTATTTTTTATTTTACTTGAAAAGTTTGACTGTGGTGCGCAAACTAAGTCTGAAGTAGGCAACGACAACGTTAACAAATGTAAAAAAATATATTCACGTAAAATTTATGAAGGAAGCAAGAAACGTGTTTCGAATTCTTGACATTTGTAATTTCTTGTTTGGTTCATTTTAACATCTCATCAATGATGATCACGGTGAAAGATACTCGGTAACCGAATACTGCCGATCGAAATATGGTAGCCTCTTGTGTATGTACATTATTAATATTCTAACTCGCTAGGAATACTTATTTTTTTTATTATTAAATATTATATAGTTTCTTAGTAATACGTGATCTATCGAAAATTTCATGGACGTTTTTTTTTTCATTAGAACCGTAGGCCTGTTGTGTACTTGCCAACTAAAGAAGATGGAGCAGCTGAACAAGGTACAATACAAGGGACACCTTTGTTCGTAATGAAAGAATTCTTTAAAAAAATGCTCATATTTTTCGATTATGTTAGATCTTGAAAAGGGAAGGGAACATTGTTTCTTGGTGTTCACTGAGACATAACACCATAAACTTTTGGGTGCCTTTTTCCCATTTTACTCAGCCACTGTTAGCACTGGGGCTTTAGTGATATTGTCATCATCCACCCCCTTCACCCCCTTCACCCCATCCACCCCCTCCACCCCCTCCACCTCTTCCACCTCATTATTATCCATCAGGGTGATCATAATCAGTATTACAAATAAGATCACCAGCAATAATAGCACAATGAATAATAACAACAACAATACTAGGAACTTCTTGCAGAGGGTAGGAGGGGGAGTGGAAGGGGGGTGCACTCACGCTGCACTGTTAATAATTAAGGCATGACCATGATTACAAGCTAATATATTGTGAGATAAGTATCAATAGTGATCGTTGTGCTAGTGGGTGAATGATTATGAGAACAGTTTTTGTTCTGTCTTATTTTAGTCATTGTTACAGATAAAGCAAATATTTTGTTGAGATATCTACACCAGCAGTGGGAAGTTGAAGTAAGAAAACTTTGTTTTTTATAAACAAGTGATGTTGGTATTATCAATGTGCTCCTTTATAGGCAGTAGCTGGTAAAATTTACCACATGCAGTACTTCTTATTATCCTCTAAAATTGCTTGGAATTCTTGAAAATTCAACTGGTGAAAGATTGCTTTATCAGTTAATTTATTCCACCTGTCATATTTAAAATAAGCTGGAACACTTTATCATCAGTGGATATTAGAGGCAAATTTAGCAAAATGATGTACTGCTACATATACCTGGGCTTGTCTCAAGGAACATCCTTTAATTGGGAATTGAAATTTCAAAGCAAAACATTTGGGTTTTGATCTTATTACATTTGTTATTTTCAGTAAATTTACTTTAAGTGTTAAATGAGCTAAGCAAAGATGAAAAAGAAATATTTAGTACTCAAGCTTATTAAATCTGAGTTAATGAAAGGTTATCTCAAGCCAGATGAAAGTTTGATGTGGTCAATCATAGTCAAAACAGGACAGCTTTAAACTTATTAAACTGGAAATGAATGCATAGGCTTGGATTTGAACCAAATTTCATACTCAGATAACCTGCGTCTAGTAAATATTTTGCAAAGACTGAAACAGACAGTGGAGAAATCTAAGACTGTAATCATCATTGTTGTTTTGAAAATATAGACACCAGTGTAAATAAGGCTTTTGATAAGTCAGGAAGGATTTATTTGAAACTTAATTTATTTTTGTGGAGGTTCCCAAATTATTGGAACCAAAGTTCACTCGTTTTAAGCACTTTGCGCAATTCATGCTTGCAGTTCATTCAGATTTAACTCGAAATATTTTTTGTTTTGACTTTAGAACACCCAATCTGGTAAAAAACGTGACGTGGATAGTGCTGATCTGCCAGAAACCACAGAACTAAATCCATCAAGAAAGGCCAAAAGATTGGATAATGATGAGGAATACAGCCCACCAGACTAGACACAGCTCAGGCTGAGTAGAATTATGAGATTTTTATTACCTGTGAGCGTCAACATGTTTGTGTAAAAATACATCATTCTTGTGAGGTTGCAGACTCGATCTTTGACTGGAAATTCCTGTGTGTCGTAATCAACAGTGAATAGTTGAACTAACACAAACTAATATTTATTTTTAAAGTCAACAAAATAATAAGTACTCGTTTTTGTGTCTACAATCACCTTAAGGACATAAGTCGCAGGGCTTGTTTTCACACATGGTCGTCTCCGATAAGTGTGACATTGTTTTGAACCACCACCAGGGTACCTTAGTGAATTCTATTTCCCCAAATGTTCTAAACTTTCTGTTATTTTGATATCATGCCCCTTCTGACTTCCATTGGATTCTCATTATTTTAGTCTCTCTTTGAATATCTCGACCCCAATGTCACTGACATCTGCCTCCATGTAGTTTGAAGAGTGGATAAAGCTATCCACTGGATAAATCTCTCTCTGGTGGATCGTCCAGTACAATCTTTAGGCACATACCTGCTGGACAGATATTTATCCATGGAATAGTGTTATTTGCCCTTCTGAGAACTGGGCCCTGGTGGTCTAAAAGTATTGGTTTTCCTAGTAATGTCCCCACAATTTTGCTTGTTCATCTCAAATTAACAGCAACAAGAACAGAAAAACTTGTTTTAAACAATGAATCTTTAATTTTAAGTAGTGACAATCATCAGCTGCACTATTTCCACTCTGGTGCATCCAAGTGTGTGGTTTTTAGTTGGATTTTAAATCATCTTAAACTTAAATGCTTGGTATTGTATTGATTTTGTAAACAGAAATTAAGACTTGCCTATCTGAAATAAAGGACACTGTAGAGGAAAGGTCTGTGTTTGTGAAATTATTAATTCTAATGATATTGTCAGGATAGTTAGACATAAGTACGGATTTCATAGACAGCTTGGGTAACAGAGAGATTTTCCCACTTGTGATGTGCTGGCTACATGCTGGTAGCCCTTGCACAAATGTCAATGTACTCCAAACATACTGTATTTCTTTGAATAAGAGCCTGGGTGCTTATTTAAAGTTTTGGCTGATAGGAGGGGCACTTCTGAGGGAGGGTGCTTAATAGAGGGGGTGCTCATTATTTTCTTATACTGATCCTACTGTAGTTGAAGCATAAAAAGTTTTAAATAAAGTGGCAATAGAAACAGGTTTTCTTTGTATCCTCACTATGTTAGAAAATAAGGGATGGGGGGGAGGTGCTTGAGCACTTGTGGTGGGTGCATGAGCACTAGAGGAAATGAGGTGGGGTGGTTGCATGGGCACCGGAGGAAATGGGTGAGGGTGGTAATAAGGGGTAGGTGCATGGGTACTAGAGGAAATGGGTGGGGTGGTATTAAGGGGTGGGTGCATGGGTACTAGAGAAAATGGGTGGGGTGGTATTAAGGGGTGGGTGCATGGGTACTAGAGAAAATGGGTGGGGTGGTATTAAGGAGTGGGTGCATGGGTACTAAAGAAAATGGGTGGGGTGCTATTAAGGGGTGGGTGCATGGGTACTAGAGAAAATGGGTGGGGTGCTATTAAGGGGTGGGTGCATGGGTACTAGAGAAAATGGGTGGGGTGCTATTAAGGGGTGGGTGCATGGGTACTAGAGAAAATGGGTGGGGTGCTGGGGGTGGGTGCATTACTAGGGGGTGGGTGCATGGGTACTAGAGAAAATGGGTGGGGTGCTATTAAGGGGTGGGTGCATGGGTACTAGAGAAAATGGGTGGGGTGCTATTAAGGGGTGGGTGCATGGGTACTAGAGAAAATGGGCGGGGTGGTATTAAAGGGTGGGTGCATGGGTACTAAAGAAAATGGGTGGGGTGGTATTAAAGGGTGGGTGCATGGGCACTAGCAGGTATTTTAAGCCACTGAAAGTGGCATAAAATACTCTCAGTTTGAGTTGCTAACAAACCCAAAGTCTAATTAAAAGGAAACATCTACGGCAACTTTCTTTTATTCAATTCTCCATTGTCAAAAATAACGCCCTTCTGTACAACTCGAAAACTTATCCAACCCGAAATAATTAACTCACAGAAGTTACGTATATCGAAAATTAATGAATTTTAAAACACAAAGTTGGAGCATCATAATTTTTCTAGATAGTAAATGTCCACTTCATTGGACAATCATTATTTTATCCTGTGTCTAAGCCTTACGGTACTAACTACGATATATATGTCCCTTAATGTCTTTAAACTGATGTACTTCTATAAGTGCACCAGGAAATGCTTTAAGCTGAGTTACAACAACACTATATTAATTTCCTTCTGGTTCAAAGTTCGTGCGTTTGGATATTCTGCTCATGCGGTACTTTGCTAACCGTTCGTAAATTTTTACGCCTAGCCACTCAAAATTAGTATGTACAAAAACGCCCCCTACCTTCCAAAAGAAGATTAAAACTCCGATTATCTTTTAGAGGGTAGGGGGTGGCTGTACACAGGCTGTTAAGAAAATTCGAACTCAGAAATCGTGGACGGAGTTTAGCCGGTACAGTCGAAAATTTGATCGCAGCGGTGCAAACACGCCATACGTCCAAAAGGCGTGGTTGCGTGAGTGACAATGAAAACCACTTTCAAGATTCATTTTTCCTGAATTTAGTTATATCATTTTCATGGGCGACGTTTCTTACACAGTAAATTGCCAACCTGCAGTTCGTTAACAAAATTTCTTGTAAATCAGAACTTGACGATGGAGAACACTTTTGGGGTGTGAAACCAAAGCGCAACTTGTGCGAGCATCTGCGAGAGAGGAAACATTCCCTCGCGTGATTTCACACCTACCCTACCACAACCTCCACCCATCAAAAAGCGAAAGTAACCAACTCCTGATTGACCATTATTTTAACGTATTATTGACTGAGAGGGTCTAGTGAAATTTCTCGACTAATCAGAGACCGTAATGAAACAAAACCAACGCTATCCCAGATTACTATCGACAGTCATTTTCGTAACTTTGTGCATACTTTTTCCAAATTTATACAATCAGCTTTAAGTACTGCAGAACTATCTTAATATGAAGGATACTTTACACATAAGAGGAAATGTTAGGATAATTCTCTAAATCTCAACTACATTCTAGTTACAATTTAAAACATTCCACCTAACCAATGTCAATACTGGAAGTTTACGACATTACTTTGCCATCAAATATTTGAAGATCCGCCAAAAATTCCCTTAGCATGTTTATCATAAGGTAGCACTACGCAAATATTTACATAACTTCCATGCTTTCCAGAAATAACGTCCACACAGGAGCAATCCAATCAGACAAATCATGACTTTTAAATGAATGAAACAATGAATTCAATAATAGGAATCAATTTACTGTTTATTTTTGTCCTATTTTATCGGTTATGTTATATATTAAATTGTACAAAAAATTCTTATGGCCAGCATATATTTATTAAGTAAGTTCCAAAATTTCTCTATTCATCCGAATATCAGACATAACTGAAACTTACAGTATAATTCATAACATTGGGCTTCAATTTTGTCTACATCGTTTTACGGCAAAACTATGATAAATAAATACGAGCATAAGTAATCTTATAATTTAGCGATAAATTCCTGGCAATTAATCAAAACCCTCTGATCTTCTGTTATTTTTAAGCAACACAAATTCACGGGCGACTTCATCGTTCATTCTTTGTGACAGAATCTTTAAAATGGTCCAACCTTTGGGATCCATCTGGACATAGCGTCCGAGGGCCGGGGTGCAAGCACATGATCCCATTTCAGCAATGTTCCTCAAGTGGAGCACTGTCATACCTACAAGATTGTCTGTCCGAGCAAAGCAGTAGTCCTTGACACATATCTGAAGCTCATACGAATCCAACTCATCTTCATTGCCTAAGTGACTGGAAACAAATGCAAACAGGTGGTTAGCTAAGCACATAAAGGGCTTTTCGATTGAGTGGCGTGAAATCAATATCAAAGGAAACAAACCGGCCAATCAGATCAGAGGGAAATGTTAGGAGCCAATGAGAATTCAAAGAAAAAGGGTTGACTGCGTAAAGCGCGGGAAGATGGGAGAGATCAAGACGACATTGGTTTGAGTTTCGAATCTAAATGCTATGGAGGGTGGAGGGAATTTTTCTCGACTAATCAGAGAGCTAAGTAAAGCACAACCAACACAATTGACATCCCCGGTGAAAACTGCCCTGGTTCCTACGTTAAAAACTTCCCGCACTCAGACTTTCTCCTTCCAACTTACAAGAAAAATGTTTCGTTGTATAACGGAGACCAGTTGTTGTTTTTCGACCTGGTGGAATTCTTCCGTTTCTTTCCATTAAGACTGGGACCAACAATGTTCACTTCCACAAACGGACGGAACATTCCTGAAAACAAAACAGGAACAACATTTACCTCGAAATTTCCTTTCCATTTGTGTGACATGGTAAATGTAAAGTAACTTTAAAAAACTATCCGCAGTTAAAACAGAAAGTTACTAACCAGGTGACTGCCACCTGAGGTCTTTGGCAGCGACAACTGCAATACAACAACACACGAACAAATTTAACACTTTCTATCACAAGATAAAGTCATCAGTAAAAGGAGTAACATATTGAGGTTTAGTATTTCCTTATTTCTCAGTACCTTTGACAGTAACCTTGTGATCTCCTGTCCCAGGGTGGGTGAAGAGGTCCACTTGCACTGACACCTCTCCCACTGGGTCGTCAACTCCTGGATCCTCTAAAAACGCGTGAAATCGCAATAGATGTTATTAAGGGATACCCGTCTCTCCTAACTGGTCCGATACGTTGCCCTGATGGCATTCTCATTCGTTTCCTTTACTTGTTGAATCGTCCTTTCTTTCTTCCTAAGTCCCCTTTCCTTTCCTATCCAACCCACCCCTCCTCCCTTCCTTATATAACATCTTAGACTAATTCCTTCCCGACGCACCAACTGGTTCCATGACTATATTCATTTCCCATCTCACTGAATCGAAAACACACCTCTATCAACCCACAACAAACCTAAATTCGGAAGTTATGGGGATAAGATTCTAAAGAAACTGTCGTGCTGCGTCGGTCTGGGTCGTTGCTCTAACAAAGGGGCCAAAAAGGGAAACGCTGGAAGCGTTAGTTCTAGAAACTCTTCACTGTGGCAAATTTACATTATCCACTCAAATGATAACACCAAATTATCTTTACCTTGGGAGTTCTGGCTCTTCACAAATTCCTTAATAAGCGAATCGGTGGTCTGGGTGTACAAAGACAAGGCTGACTTCAGAGAATGCATGTTAGCGCACTTGTCCAAAAACGCCTTTTTCAGTCCTTTCCCAGAAGCATTGAAATAATCCTTTATTGCAAAGAAATAGACGAACAAAGAGGAAAAATTCAATAATCTATCTCATCAACCAACATTAACAAAAGCATCTGACTATAAAAACCAACTCGCTGTGATAAATTCTTAATTACATTACCTTTATTTTTAGAAGAGCGGTTTCCAGCACGGCACATTGTTTAAGGCTCATGTTTCTGGAGTCAGACTGACCGGTGATTCCACTCATCTCCTGCGTATCAGGAAAAAAACACCTTAATCATTACAAGTACTACTTCTGAATAAGCTGCTAATACAAGCCAGGACACCCCCTCCCCTACACCCCACAATTCTTGTTGTCTTCATGTCAGTTTTCCGGTATTGATTTATACTCTTGAGTGGCACTGTCAGAGCCCACAAACACAACTTCTTGACCCGGCGAGGTTCTCGTGTCTTGGGTGAAGTGCCAAAACTTTCTCCAAACATAGGGTTTTCAAGTTGTTTTGCAACCTATGCAACCTGTCTTCTGAGAAATTTTTGGATGTTTTCACCCCAAAAAGGGAAAATAGCACCAAGTTTGAGTGAGTGTCCTAAAACATAAACCATAGTAGTCACAACGACCAATCAGAATCAAGGGACATACCATAAGGAGCCAGTGAGAACTCAAAGTAAATACAAGTTAACTGTCTAAAGCGCGGGAAAACGCTGTTAACCAAGACGCAATTTGGTTTAGTTTTGAATCTGATTGGTTGAAAAAGAGGCACGAGTTTTCAGGACCAATCATGGAGCGAAGAAAAATAAAACCAAAACAATTCTGAAATACTATCGACACTCAATTGAAGATTACTAAATGTATGAAAACAGCTTAAATCGCGGATAAGTCGACCAGTAACTTTACCGTAATATCTGGAAGAGGAGGCAAGACTATAATCTTCTCGATGTTTACCATAACAAGCTTCCACAATTCCTGTAAGAGATTAAATTAATCCAATTATGATCATGATGATCGAGAAGGCACTCCGAAAAAACCGTGCGATTTACTGCTGAAGAACTATGTTATTCTTGATAGACAAACGCAATGAAACAGGTTACCTTTAGAACCCTCTTCAGTACTGTTTTCTCGCATGAATTGTAAAACATTTCCAAGCTGTGAGGAACAAAGTCAGCATAAGTAACACCAATTTTATTCGGTCGTGTAGTCTGAAGAATCGGGTGTGAATGGTCCTGGATAGGACTTGTTGGTGACACAGTTGTTGACTGGTACGCAGTTGTTGACATCTGGCCCAGTTTTTCAGGGGCGGATGACGCTATCCCAAGGATAAATCGCTATCCAGCAGATAAGTGTTGACAAAACGTAGTGCCAAACCAAGCTACCAGATAGTGACTCATCCAGTGGGGTGCGTTATCCACCCCTCGAAAAATCGCAGCCTGACTATTGAGCCGAGACTATTCCAAGTTGGTTACCTCTTTTTTTCTTTTCATTTTTTCTATTTGTCAGTACAAAAGGCATTTCCAGAATTTTTACTCTCTTTTCTTACCTTCCTTCAAGAATTCCAAGCAGCGGTTGAAGAATTGATTCGGAATCATTAACGACAACATTTTTAGAGCTTGGCAAAGCTGGGTTAAAGTTTCCCGTACTTTTGATCCTGAAAAAGAAATCGTAGAACGCTCAAAACTGTCAAACGGTTTATAAACTGAACCTTATTGGTATACAACAGATGTACATGTGAAGGCATTAATTAGTGAGAAAAAATGGTAAGGTTAACAAAAAGGCTTGCAAACTTCTATAACACATTGTTACGAGAAGAATATTGACTGCAAAGAAATAGGCAAAAATTAGTCCAGCAACAAAGTCTTCTGTCTTTCGTCTTCCAAAACAGTCTAAACTGATATACTACATCAAAGTCACCAAGGAAAGTGAATTGTAAGACTAAAAACGACAATGAAAGATAAATTTTGAGTGTCTCCTTACTTGAATAGCAGGTTTCCCACACCCTTGACGCTTTCCTGTATTGTGGAATCGAAGCTGCAGGAAAAAAACCGGAAATAAATGTATTAAATAAAGGCTACCCTAAATAAAAAGCAAACAAACAAAAAACATTGAATTTGGTTCCAACAATCATCTCCCAGGTGTGATTTAAAACATATAACTTCTCCCTCTAACATCCATACATTATGCAGCAAACAGGTAATGAGAATACTCAAACTTATCAGGTATAAGTTGTTATCTTGCTCTAACATCAAATTCCTATAACTGATTGACAAAGAAATGTGTATCAGATCTTGGTAGTTAAAGGGTTTAGTTTTAAATTTACGTTTACCTTCGAACAAATAGAACACAAAGTTCATCCAAAGTGAGATTGAGCTTAACTTGCAATTCTTTGAAGACCTCACTGCATTCTGGGGAAAGCTATGTTACGGAAAGAAACATCAGTATACAAATCTTGCATGAACATTTTATTTTCCAAATCAGAGAGAGCAATTCTCAATCTAGTGTCGAAAGAAATCCAGGAGTCCGTTGGTTTTACTTTACTTTTACTTTACGATCAATCCAGAAATCTCGCGCTGCTTTCTTAACCGACCGCCTTTCCATGCACGAATGGCAAAGAGAATCCTTTCATGACATTAAGAACTACCGGTATGTCACTACACTTTTCTGCTGCGCTTTTAGGAATATTTTCGGCTTTCTGATAGCAGTCCACTCAAAAGAGCTAGAATGCAATTCTCGTCTCATCTTCCCAGCCTCACTAAAAAACATAAGAGATATCACGCTTAGTTACCTTTCCCCCTCCACCCATAGTTTCGTAAAGTTTCTCCAACTGGACTCGTAGTTGTTGGATGTTGTTCATCAGAATGCAGGCCGTTTTTCCTTGGTCACACCACACGCTGAACTCTCTATTTATCCTCTCAGCATACTGAAGCAACACATTCTGCACAGTCTGCAAATTAAGAAAGAAAGGATATGTTAGACTGCGTGTTAAAACGGCCAGTTTATCCCTCACACCATAATACCAGTATACATATTCTCCAAACTGTTCTCTATACATTTCTCAAGGTGCTGACAAGGAGAATTTGTTTGACAATCAAAACGTCATAACGTCTTCCGATTGAGATTAAATATCTTTATGTTTCGCTTACCATAGTGAACTTGATGACGTAGCGTGTCTGGATTTCTGGATCTGGGCAGTCAAGTTTCCTGACAATCTCAAAGCTCTGTAGTGTGTGCAAAAAAAAAAGGATATTACATGGCCGCGCGGGATACGAATTTTATCTTCGAGTGCTGAAAGTATCTCTCACTCGTTCGCTTCGCTAACTCGTGAGAGATACTTTCAGCTCGATAAGATAAAATTCGTATCTTCAAGCGGCTATGTAATGTTTTGTTTATTGTATTTGTATTGATGAAATTTCAAAAGAACCGGCCGCGCGCTTGAGCGGGAAGCTCTCTTGTAATTGGCGACACCAATATGGTGAAAGATAAAAATAGTATCTTCACTGCGCGCGATGAAGATATGATTTTTTAGTCAAAGGAAAAATCCTGGTATTTCATCAGTATCTATAATAACATACGAATAAATAGCAAAGCAATCATTTCACAGAGGAAATGCTAAATTACGGCAGCTTCTGTACACATCTAAATGCTCAAGTGTTCTTCATTAAACAACTTGAAACAAGTAGTTAATGGCAGCCAAAAACTTAACATCTAAAGTAATAGGCAAGATGTAGGGAAAACGACTTACTTGATTCAAAGAGCAGAAAATATCTACCACTGAATTGGAGAACAAAGTGTGAGGAGAGCTCGGAGGAAACTAAAGAATGAAACAAATATACCAACACAAATTTCAGAATGGTTCAAGTTAACAAAATAGAAAGTAAGAAGAATCCATATAAGAATGGAAACTGCATTTAATTCTCAATTTCACTTTTGTCCTCAATCGTGTAGTCTAATCATTCAGGTGGGAGATGATCTTCAAAGGCCTGTTGTCGGGAGTGATTGACCTGTCGTCTACCTGTCATCACCAGAGTCACGTGAGGAGTTGCTTGCCAGTCGAATATTTTAAGTCGTGGTCGTGAAATCTAATTGGTCAGTATTTTTTGTGACGTCATCGGACGCAAGACGTAAGTAGCATACGTCACTTCTGATAGGTCAATTTCGATTTGCTGGTAAAATGTAGTCGTTCTGTTCATTTCGTAGCCCACGTTTATACTGTGAACAAGAGCGCCAGTTTCTGTTGACTTCCGTTGATAGAAGTCTGCTCTAAGTCTGGTCTGGATATCTAGGTTTAAATTCGCCTTTTACTTACTCCATCTCTTTTGTCTCTATCAAGAGCTCCAATCATAAATTCCATCGACACTTCATCGTTCTCTGTCAGCCACTGAGACACAAAAGGCTCAAACCAGCTGTAAAAGCCAAAATTTCATTATTAGTCACGTTGTCATGAAGAAGCGCGCACTCTGGATGGCCACACTTTACCTGGGAAACTCTGGAACTATGCCTTTGTTTTCTGGACACATGCTGACATACTCATGGTAGAACCATTTAACCTAAAACGAATAAAAAATTCCTGTAAGAACAATTTTCAATCGAGTGTCGATAGTAATCCGGGACTCCACTGGATTTGGTTCACAAGGCTCAATGATTGGTCCAGAAAACTCACGCCACCTCTTTGACCAATCAGACTCAAAGCTGACCGCGACTTTGTCATTCGCGTTTTCCCGCGCTTGAGGAAGTTTTATTGTTACATGCATTTGCTCTGGTTTCTCATTGGCTCCTTGTAATATTTTTAGAATTTGTCATTATATTAATGATGGTGCAAAATTTTAAATTCGCAATTAATACTCTCTTGAAATCATAAAGATCCTGAAGCGTCCATACGAGATCATCACGATACGGAGTCAAGAAATGGAAGGTAATAGAATTTTCAAATATTCATTTTTGAATGAAGTCTTTTCATACTATTTAGTTGGGTTAATAATCACTAAGTAATGAAGATTTGCCTATTGTCGTGTTTTCATAACGGTTTTACCTTGAAGTGAAGGTTCATATAATCAGCACTGCCCCATCGAGACTGCTGCTTTAAGCTGTGCTCTGGAAATATTGCGAAAAACAAAATTGAGTATTCAGTACTTATCTCATTTAAATATAAATTTGACCGGATATTTTTCAAAGAGGCTTCTATCTTGAAAGCCACCTGTACTCAACCAAACAAGGACCACAGGTTTTCCTTAGTCTCCAAGGCTTAGGGTAAAGCAATGCCAAGTAGCACCAGTTAACTATGGAGTTCACGTACGTTGGAAAAGAAGACCACAACGAAGAAAAATCATAACGCTACCTTGGGGTTAATGGCACGCCTATACCATTAACGTCCAAAACGATGTATTATGAAAATAACTTGTACATTCAGCTTCACTACCTTTTAACATATCCTGTAGGTCCGAGCAGAACATGTCCCAAAACACCTGTGCACTGACTTCGCCGACATTAAGCTCAGTGGGAAACCTAAAATAGATTTTAAAACGAAGAATCATACAGTAAGGTTTCGTTGTCAAATGTTTAATTACTTCATTTGGGAAGTCAAACATCTAGGAAAAGATATTTAAGAAAAAAAAGGAGAAAAACTAAGCCATGAGTGACCCCTTTTCCTCAGTTTAGTTCATTGCGTGACGAAATCATTCAGCAAATAAATTAAGTTGGCGCAACAATGCAACTTAATTTTTTTTCCTGATTTCTTTTAAATCACGCAAAGGACTAAAATGGGAAATAGGTGCCGGCTGTAGTCTGCAAAAATCACGTACTGGTTTAAGACTTGAGTGTAAGTACACTTGTCCTCTTCAATCACAGACACCACCAGTGAAATCAACTTTGGCCAGAAGTCCAAGCTCTTGGGTCCAGCCTGCATACTTGGTTCTAACGAGGAGCTTTCTGAAGCGAGCTCTCTATCGTACAACTCAGCGCAGTTTGCATAAAGATAAGCATAACTTCCCTTCACACAGTTCTGTAACGAAGATGATTGTAAAGTGTTAAATATGTTAGGAGTTGTAGGAGTCCATTCGTAGGTAATAGCATAGCATCTGTATTACTGACACAGTCCCTGTGACAACTACTGCTTACCTTGACACACTCGCGCACAATTTCTGCTGTCCTAGTAGGCCGCTGGTTGAGTACCTGTTAATATGTTTAAAAAAAAATTTCATTATCGAAAGCCACGCAATCTCATCGTGGGTATAACGAGGGTGCCAAAGGGTTTATACGTAACGCGTGATTAAGTCCAAACTTAATAAGTGACGCCTATACAATGGCGTAGTAAGCTGAGATTTCAAGTTTCCTTTGAAATTCATGATGCATGAATTACCGTTCAAAGTATTTAAAGTACACGTAACGCGTGAATTTTTCTGAAATTCGTGCGCAGACGGGATCAGTTTCCCCCCACCCCCACCCCCTCTTTGCTACCCTTTGGGGCCGGAATAGGTGCTCAATAAATAATTTTCACTTATGTCACAACCAGAAATAATTTTTCTTTATGGTGATCTCCCTCAAGGCTTTAACAATAATCATTCGATTTAGGATCTGATAATTACTTTATATTTTTTCGCTGTTAATCTTCTTCATAATCAAGATTAAAACCATTGTTATTGTATGAGCTAACCTTCATTCTGAAAAAGGTGACACTTGTCAATAGATCCACTGATGACTTTAAATCGACTAACTTCTCCGTACTTGACGATGGAAAGTTTGTCTGTAAATTAATCACGGGAGTTTCAAGCGAAACTTGTGTAATATTCACAATAACAAATTTAAACAAAATATGTTTAATTTGACCTGCAGATAAAAATCAAGAAAAGAAATGATCCACTCAGGTGGAATAAAACTTAGCAACTGCAGAAAAGAAGCTTGAACAAGATCCGGCTTCGACGGGATTCGAACCCAGGCCTCCCAGATACTAGTTGGGCAGTACAACCAACTGAGCTACGAAGCCACACCTTAGGGGTGTGGCAATTCCTTTATCAATAGTGTTGTTCACTGTAATTTTTTATATTTTTATTTTTAATTATTAATTTTTTTTAATCTTACCCGATAGTTTGCAATGTCAATTCTTAACGTATTGTAGAGGTGATCCACAATCTTCACAAACTTTTCACTCTGAAAATTAATTCAAAAATCGACGAATTACATATGTTGAAATTACAACAAATATGAAGAAACCCCCACTATATTCAGATGTAGAATGTAAAACTCGAGTTTATCATGATTTGATAACAATCATAAAGACCAACTCTGATGGCCAGAAAAGAGTCAATAAATTTTTCTCTGTCCAAAAGTACGTAATCTCGCAAACATGATTTTTGCCACGCTCTGTTTAGTCAAGGCCTTATCTCTAAGTTATCGATTATCTTTCTTTACCCCAAAGTTAGTGGAAGTGAATCTGTGTGAAGCGGATGTGGCAGAATTAGCTGTAGTGTGAGAAAAGAAGGCATTGATGTTGGCTAGCAGACTGCTGATGACTGCTGGGACACCTGGACACATATAGCTTGTCGTTAGGCAGGACAGGTGACTGATGAGAAAGAATTAAACCATTAGCAACAATCACGTGAATAAGACAAGCTGGTGACTAGCTGACTGTCTGACTAACAACCTGTTGGACCTGTATGACTACCTGTCATACTGGCCCCGGTTGTTCGAAGGTTGGATAACGCTATCCACCAGATAAAACTCTATCCGGTGGATCACACCATACGTTTCTCTCTCACTTATCCGTCGGATAGCGATTTATCCGTTGGATGGCGTTATCTGCCCTCTATACAACTGGGCCCTGGTATATAGACTAACTCAGGGACTGTTATCCTCCTGTGTCTCTAATTAACTGACGACTGACTGACTGACTAGCCAATGGACTGACTGACTGATTGATTAAAAAACTTACGTCATTGCGTGGTAAATGTTTTCATTGCCGTATCGCTTTGGAAACTCGCTCATCATTTCAATAGCTGGTTGGAAGACTAACTATCTGTCTCTCCGTGGCTAGCTAACTGACTGACTGTCTGCCTGACTGTCTGACTGACTGACTGACTAACTGACTAGCCAATGGGGTGACTAACTGATAGACTAATAAACTTACGTCATTGCCTGGTAAATACTTTCAATGCCGTATCGCATTGCAAACTCGTTCACTATTTCTAGAGCTGGTGGTAGGAAAAACTCTTTCCATGGATCTTCTCTCTGGAAAAAATTAGCAAGAATGATGTCAAGAAGACCCAGTTCTTAATCCAACACTTCTCTACAAAATAATCCCTTCATACTTGTAGATCAAACAGCATTCATAAATAAGAACTTACTGAGCTCGACACTGGAAGTGGAACCTGCCCATTATTCTTCTCACACAAGAAATGAAATATGTTCTACAGGAGAAAAGAAATGACAGAAATACATGTAAATTACCAGCTCAAAGATATCTAGGAGGGAAGCAGAAGCTTCATAAAAATTACTTCTTCTGTGCCATCTTTTTTTTTTTTTTTTTTTGTTTTGGTTTTTAAAGAAACCACAAAATAGAGTGTTTTGTAAATATTTACCTCATGAAGACATGTGTACTGCTGATGATATGGCACAACTTTTTCCTCTCCCTCAATCTCAATACTGATTCTAAGACGTATTGCACCAGACACAGCAGATCTATCTGTTCTCTTTTCTACATGAGACAAATAAGAAAGGCTACCTTTAATCAACAGCAAAAATATTCAGAGGGAGAGAGAGAGAGAGAAAGAAAGAGTCTTCTTCTTACCCAGATTATACCAAACATCCATCTCTCCACTCAGTGTTCGAACTTCAATAATCGTCTGCCCAAGGAAGTCATCAGGTTCTCTGATCAGCTTTGATCTCACACGCGCCTTGATATCATCATCCTCGTCCCTGCCATCAGAAGGAACCAGAAATAGGACAGAGTCTTGTTTTTGTAAACTAACAATATGCTACAGCTTGTATTTTCACATTTGCAGTTTTTTTTTCAAAGCCACAGCTAGGTATTTTTTAGGCACTAAAATACTTCTAAACAGTTGAATGTGGTAGAATATCCAATTACCTGGCGCTACAGGTTGGTAGTCAATTGTTCTCAACTGAAGGCACAATACAGAACATGCACTTAGACTTCAAGTCTGAAATCATTTTGTTAATCATTATATTTCATCCATTTATTTGTCATCATTCTTTACATACCAAACACGCACTTTAATTCTGTCAGAAGAGTTATGACACTCACTGTAAAAGGAAAAAAAGAGAAAAAGGTAAAAATAGTCCAACCTCATAATCAATTTAAATTTTAATAAAAACAACCACAAACAACCCTAACCCTATTTCAGAGTATTTTATAATTATAATCTTATTGATAAGAGTTCAATGTTCAAGCAAATGAAGGCAATAATTTTGCAGCCATTTAGTACACTAAATAAGGAAAACAAATTACTTGCAAGAGTATAAAATCATTTGGCATTGTTGAGCACACTGCAGGAAATGTAGGAATTAACTTTTAACCCTTTCACTCGCACAAGTGACCAAGACAGAATTTCTCCTTACAATATCAATACAATATCAAGCAGGTAGGTGATGAGAATAGAGAAGAATATCAATCATGGGATAATTAGTTGATCCAATACCAAATTCTCTGAACTAACATCATAAGAATTGTATGGCAGATAGTAAGGAGAATTACTAATTAGATCTTGGGAGTGAAAGGGTTAAATGATTAGTCAGTTAACTCACAATTGATATGTCTCATTCCATTCTGGATTCAGTTCATGGGGAATGGTCTTTGTCCTCCTCTTAGTTCTTCCAATCTGAACTGAGACATAAGGGTCACTGGTACCTTGGGCCCACAAAAAAATCAAGAATATCAATAAAATATTACTTTATTTCATTTACAAGTCTTGACAAATGAAAATTACTCCATTTTTAGCAACTATGGAGTGCAATAATTTCTAGATCTGACATGAGCCACAAGGAAAAAATGCTGCTGCTGCTGTTGAAAGGTGAATGATGTAATTCTAAAGAATTTAAAAGGTGTCAAAGTGGTTCTCAGTAAATCAAGGAAATGACTGTGTTTTCCATAAAATAACAGCAGAACAAAAACATAATTTAAATCTGACCAAGCACACATTATCCGACTGACCCGTTTTGTCCTTGGCAATGAGTCCTTGTGCACTGACAACTGGTAAAAAAGAAAAAACACCACAGTGGGTTGACTTGTTTCAGAAGTGACTGATGAGTGTAAATAGCTTTCAATCATTACCACTGGTAACAACCACAGATCAATAAGCAGAGAAAAACACTAGTGGGGTTTGGAGAATTCTCCAGCTATAATGTAACTTTTCTCCCTGCTACAGCATTTACTTCAAACAGATATATGCACTCCTCCAAACTTACATGCAAATCGATCAGAAGTACTGTGAGTCTTAATATAAAATCAAAAGGGGAATTTATTTCAAGTTAGCCAGAAAGGTCCCAATTGAAAAAGTTGTTTTATTATATTTACCAGTGATATATATTTTAGCCAACCACTTTGATGTTCCATCTAGGATCAAATTCTTGACAGCTTTCATGTGACCAGCATGTGTTTTGGGTTCCATGCGAAACACTTCACTAAAGTTAAAATGAAATTTCCATGTAAAACAATCAGGAAAAATAATCATTCAATTTGATGAACTGAGTGTCAACATCTCTTGAGCCCTTGCTTTCTTTGTTTGCTACAAAATATAATTGAGTTAATCCTAAAAAACACTTAACATCTATGCACCTGATTTGCTCAAAGATTTCAGGTCTTTCTGTCTCTCTACATTCCATTCTTGCCTTCATGGCAACAATAATAGATTGTGTCTTGTCATCTGTACCATGTTTAGCTGATTTTTCAGCAGCACCTGAAAGAACAAGTATTCACATGTTGTTTGGGAGAAGCAGACCTGTGATCAAGTAATTGTGTGTCTCTAAGCCAGATGTCATTCACCACAGTTTGGGCATATTGATTCTATATAGTTACAAAATAAAATCATGATGTTTTGTAAAAATTAAAGATCTAGCAACACTTACGTTGTAAGCAATCAGCATTCAATAAGTCCTTGCATTTCTCATGGCATTTTACTCCACATTCTAAAATAAAGAAATTTGTTAGCCTTTCCCTAGAATATAATAATGTCTCACTGACAAACCGTCTGCCTGATTTACAAATATCTCAATTTGTCTGTGTCTAACTGATCACTGATTGCAGTAGCTTTTTGAGAGATATTTAAAGCATTGTCATGGCTTCACAACTCAGCTACATGATTATCTTCCCATAGATCAGTATTGATTATCTGTCCATAGGTCAGTATTGATTATCGGTCTATAGGACAGTATTGCCACTATCAGTCGGTACTGCCATTGCTAGCAATGTGAAATATCACCTTTGCACTTAAGCCCTTGTCTGGCTAAACCCCAGAGCAGTCCTTCGCACTCATAGCAATACGCTGGTACTTGAGTCGACCAGATCTCAAATTTGTGAGGTTTGGTGTCTACAAGACAATGCAAATTATATCAACACCACATTGAGACAAACAAATACAAGAAAAACACCAAATCTTATCATAACATTTAATAACCCTTTAAAACCTGAGAGTGACTAGCATCTTATTTCTCCCTACAATATCAGCCCAAATCACACATTAAGGTCATGAGAATAAAGGAAATGATCACCAACAAAAGCCTTTGATCACTCAACAAATTCTCCTTGTCAGCACCTTGGCAAATGTATAAAGAACAGTATGGAGAATATGCACACTGATTCAGGGTGTAAAGTGTTAACCCAAAATACCTGAAATGGGATAGAGAAGTGCTTGAAGAGTCTTCTTGTAAACATGAAGTTTCTAGAAAAGAATTTTCAAAATATTAAAAATGTTCAATATAATCACTAGAATAGTTCTGCCTGTTTGCATAAATCACTAAAAACCAAATTATCCACCCTATCACTGGTCACAAATTAATAATAATTTCAAAATCCACTCCTCAACATACCAGCTCTTCATCATTCAAATGAGCTCTCTGGGACATTATTATGTGGGGTTTTCTGATCGTTTTTGGGCTTGTTTTTGGTTGCTGTCAAGAAAGCAAATAAACAAAACTCTGTTATATTTACAATACCTTGTTATAATTACAGTACCATAATCATGAGAAAGGTAACATTACCATATCACCTTGATGTTTTATGATGACAACATTTGAACACCAGTAGAACAACAGTACTGTTATGTATGTATTTATACTATGCAAATCTCAAGACTAATGGTGATCATATCTGCATACTTGACAAAAATATTCACATAAATCTGCAGTTTGAATTTCAAACAGCTCAGATTTTTTCACTCACAAACTCTAACATACTCTTTCAGAAGTTTGATAATATAAAGTCATATCTATGATTTGAAATCACCAGTGAACTTGAAATACTATAGCATCCTTTAATAATGACTCCTGTCTTTGAGTCAAAGAACCATGAAATTTAAACATATGAGCAATTGTAATGGATATACAAATCATAATCACATTTTTGGGGACAAATAAAGGCCATTAATGGAGAAAATTCAAACAATGCATTTCAAAGCTCTACTCCTTAGGAAGTCTACCATGATGTCCTCTCAAGAAATTAGAAAAAAAAGTCTTTCACCATGCAGCTAGTCAATGTTTGAAACATAAATGTGAAATTTAAAAAAGCAGACCAGCATTGACAGGGCGTGAAATTAACTTTTTTTTCTGATAGCCACTTGGCTCCTAAATTCTTCAAAGTGGTAGCCAATTCAAAAAAAGTTGGCCGCCATTTTCAAAGACAAACAAAATCTTTCTTTACGCTGTCAGCGTTCTAGATAGACCCTCCCAAATTAAGTTAGGGAAAAGATCTTTAACGTGCTACAAAGTGGACACTAGGATGGATGATATACAACGTTCAGGCTCATCTAAATCCAAGATGGCGTCTGGTTATCGATCGAGATGCATGTGCTACGTTTTGGAAACAAACTTAACGAGGAAGTTTGCCGCGGATTTATCTTTGCAAATTTTTTTAATTCACTATATCTCTTGGTAAGGTTATGATGAAACGTTCTAGTCGCCAATTTGACGACTAACTTTCAGGATTTGGTCGCCAAAGTGAAAAATTTAGTCGCATTGGCGCCTGTATTAGGCGCAATTTCACGCTCTGAATTTGAATTAACATAAGGTGGGCAAAATTTAAGGCAATCTAGTTGCCAGGACTAAAAATCAAAGACTACACAGTTTGACTGTTGCTAACTAACTAAGATATGGATTAAGGCACTCTTATTATAACACAATGAAAAAAATTAAAACTTTAAACTCACAAAGGGAATAGAAGGTCTCCGTTTTCTTAAGATGGAACCTGAATTCGCAGAGTTAAGAATTGCTTGAGTTTTTTTATCCCTGTGAAGAAAACAAAGATTTTATGGGTACTATGATCACCACATAGGCACTGACACAGATCAAAATAGATCAAACAAAACAAAGCAAAACAACAAAATCAATGTAGTGATTAAGAAAAAAATAAATGGACAGAATTTATGTGTATGTCCTTTGCCATTAAATTTGTTTACTTTGCAGTTTGCCTTGCAAATATAGCCCACAAGTTCCATATTCATCCTAACTTTGAATGATTTTTCTTGGAAGGTTTGAGTATTTCAAGCAAAAGACTTCCTGTTGGATGTATAGGTAACCTATGTAAGAAATCAGTTACAATCTGGACCCCTTTTTCTCTATCCAAAATGTATTTACTAAACATTTAACAATGCTACATGGTTCACATTAAATGTTTTTGAAAACCAGATCAAAATTCATGTATCACTCAGTATCCAGTCATGTTTGATATGCACAATTAAACACATTTCCTCAATAAAGATGACTTCCTTTGTGTCTTCAAGGAAGTCATGATATCATTTCTAAACTATGCGACACTTAAAACGGTGTATACAAACAATCTACTTAGTACGTGATTAAGTCAATTTGACCAAAAGCAATACACAGCCAAAAGTTTATCAAATATGAATAGGGTTAAATTAACCTTTAAAACACCAGGGGTGAGCAAAAATGAATTTTACTTTACAAATTCACTAAATTTCTAAGCAGAAAGATGCTGAGGAGAAAGATAATACCATGTAGGAATGTCACTCATTTAAATGTAAAATTCTCAAGGAAGTATAGAAAAAAGTGCTGAGAATTGATAATTAAATTGTGGGAGTGGAAGGGATAAAACAGGATGTAAAAGAGTTGTAAACAGTAAGTAACCCTATATTATCTTTGATTGATGAAGTTGGATCTAAAGCAAAACCCAACTCCTTAACTTCTTACCTCTTTTACCTTTGAATTACTTTAAATTTAGTCTAAACTTTTAATAAAATGCTCACCATGAGCATCTCCTTGTGGTTCCTGGTGATTTTTTGAAGCCTCCTTTGCGTTTCAGAGTTGCGTGTCTTTTGCGAGCTTCATTCTCACCCTCCTCATCTTCTTCTGGGATATTTTCCACAGTCTCAGCATTAATTTGTGCTCGTTCAGTAACAACCACATCATGATCACGGAATTCAACTTCCTCCTCAATCTACAAGATAAATACTTGATGCTAAATCATTTATTAACCATTTGACTCCCATTCATGATCTCATTAGTAATTCTCATTACTATTTGCCATATCATTCTTATGATGTTGCTTTGGAGAATTTGGTATTGAATCAACTTGTAATTCCCTAGTTGATATTTTCCTTTATTCTCATCACTTGTCTGCTTGATATTGTATTGATGATGTAAGGAGAAATTCTGGCTCCGTCACTCATGAGAGTGAAAGGATTAAGTGGTTGCCAGGTCACTTTGCCATTCCCCATGAGTGACCACTCAATAGAGGTCCCATCATCAAATTGTAAACAAGAAGAATTATAACAAATTCTCATTTTAAGCTTTTGGTTCTATAAACCAGATTTCACACTAACTCTGGATTATCTCAATTAACCCAGCTTGAACAATGCGGCCCAGGACTTTATAATTGCAAGAGAACACAGTCATCAATACAGTGGTCTGGCACAAGTAACAGTCAAAAGGACAGACAAACAAAGTAACAGAAACACAGGGCTAGTAACAGATGGATAAAAAAGAGAGATCCCCTTGAATATTAATGAGAGAACAAATTCGAGTATTTCTTGGAAGAGGATTAAACTTTAAAGACTGACACTTACGTCACAGCTTGATTGATCTAAGTGTTCATAGCAAAGCTCTTTAGTTTCATCCTTTTCTCCTTGCTGACTCTCAGGTAAACCACAAGTTTCAAGCAGGCTGCTTTCTTCAATTTCTTCCTCCAGTTCCTCACGGATGTCATCAGAGGTGCTTTTGGTACTGGTATCAAAGTGTTCCGTATAACTCATCATCAGTCTGTCTCGGTCTGCTTCACTGTCACTGATTTGCCCATCCATGACATCATCAGAATAATGGTCATTCATTTCTGGGTCTGAGTCCAAGTGAGGGTTATAGACTGCTGCGTCACTTGTGTAAGCACTGTCTAAATCCTCCTTCACTAGTAGCAAAAATGAAAATGTTTCCATAATAAAACTATACTCACTGGAAGCTTTAAAAATTATTGTATTACCCACACCTTCCTATAACCTGCACCAACTGTTTGTGGAAAAATTAATAGATTACCCATGGGTAATTGGCCGGAAATTACAGTAGTATGCATAAATATAATTGTATATTAAAAATAGAAAACATATTAAATTTAGTGGAGATCAACCAAGTGTGAGTCTCTGTATAGGGATAAATGGGACACCATCCTAACTAACGCATTATTTTCACACATTACTGTTGTCACGCATAACCTTTCCCAACTATCCTACCCATTCCTCCCCTTCACCAGAGAAAAACCCAAATGTGACTCCGAGGGCTCATTTCATTTATGAGCCCTGAAACTTTACAGACTTCCAAAACAAATTTTGTTTACCTTTTTCAGTGAAAATAAAGATATTGACAGTTTGAAATTCAAATAACAAAATTATCAGAGAGAAGAAACATACTGAACTGGTGTTTGAGCTAAGACCTGCACTATAGTATAATCTCTTACAATTAGAGTTTAAATTTTATCCCTGGCCTGATAAGTTAGTGGGATTTGTGTGAAAGTGGCCCTAGGACCCACTTCTCAAAGGTCCCACTAACTTAACAGGCCTATAAATCTGTTCTGTGTTAATTCAAAATGGAAGTTTCAAAAGTTTTTAAAATTTTACAATAAAGCTATCAGCTAAAGAAATAAAGTGAATTGTTTGGGTGTTAGAGCCAGCTTCTCTATTTTTTGAATTTTTATTTTTAAATATGGATTTGGGTCCATTAAGTTGCTGGGACTTTTGAGATATAGGCCCCTGGTTCAGAAATAAAACTGAGTCCTCTGTGAAGTAGAGAAAGATGGGCATCATTAACCTTGCCCAATCCCTGCTCCTTGTTCTGTTTACAAGAACCGTGTTCCTTTATAACAAAACAATGATCAATCTTACAATTCTTTATGTCCTTTTCTCGTTGCACATTCCTCGCTTGTTCCTTGAGGACTTCCATTTCTTGATTCATGATGGTATAAAAGGCATCCAGTTTATTTTGAAGAGCTAATGCTTCTTCCTCTGAAAGTCCTTTGCAAGTAAGAAGAGAATTTTGTTGCTGTTAGGGATTAATTCAGTTAAAAACTCAATTGAAAAGGCTATGGCTAAATCCACAAGTTTCCTTTTGAAGTTGGTGAAATTCCTACTGCAGTGAGAAAGGTAAAGAATCCCAAAGGGGATTAAACTACAGTAGTACTCTACAACTGTGATTGAGTTTCAGTTTTAAGAAGCGTCTGTCTTTCTAGTATATTAATTTGCAATGAGATCATTTATAATCTAGGAATCATACACATTACTTTAGATAAATGAGGCAGAAATAAAAGTCAGATCAGATCAACTTGAAATTCTGGCCCAAGCACTTACCCAGATCTCCTTTTTTCTTTTTGAAAGCTTACTCTACCTCAAAAACTGATTTCACAAAACATTGAATTTTCCAAGTCTACTCTGTGTTCCAGTTAACCCTTACATTCCCAGAAGTAATTAACATGTAACTTCTCCTTATAATTTCCCTAAAAAACTTGATCAAAAACTAGATTACAAGGAAGTGTGTAGCATCTAGAGAGAAGAATTAACAATCAGATCATGGGAGTTAAAGGATTAAGTTAGAGTTTTGAACCAGACTAGTTATCCCTACCAAAATGCTCCAACCTTTCATAAAATAATTCTGTTTACCTGATGGTAGTTCAAACCGAGTGTCCACAAGCAGCAAGTGGCCTGACGACACCAGTCCTTTAGCTGATTCATTGCTCATCTGAATCCATGCGCCACTTCCTTCCACATTTGAATGATGGATCTGCATTAAGGGGATCCATGCACTTCCCAGCAAGCTGTCTTTGAAGAATCCCTTCTCCCATAGTTGGAAACACAGCAACTGGTCCAACTGGTTTGTCTCACTGTGTATAAAACAGTACGAGCTGGTTATCACCAGAGAAAATCACATAGGTCAGGATAACTCACTTCAACGAGCCATCTCAATGATCAATACATAATTACAGAGAAGCTTGATTTAAGATAACAAACCCTGCCCACTCCCCGCAATTTGAGATTGGCTTCTTTGCCTCAGTCTCCCTTTGCTAATAGAAAGTTGCTATACCAATGAACACAAAAATACAACCTTCCTAAAAGCATAGCCTGATGTTTTTTTCTTTTTTTTTTCCAGTGGAGACAACCTTATTTCCCCCATTCATAGAAAAAGATATCCACATTTGCCAGGAGAAATATCAGACTACATATACCAAGAGTCAAGGACTTGTTCCCTAACCAACAGACCTGGGCAAAATCAGGAGACTTGGATAAATAAAATTTGCATGAAAAGGAGACTTACAAGACAAACTCTTGATCCCACGTTGGAGAAATTCCCTTACAAACTTCTGTCTCCAGAGTAACATTTTGAAGCAAAACACGTACAAATGTGCTTGTTTTATCTAAAAAAATAATTACAACAACAAGAAAACAGAACATTAGGCATACAATTGAAACAAATGGAGGTTTGGCATAGATATTTGGGGAAAAGACTAAAGATACAAGAATATCATCTAATGGACATCAAAAAATTATATAATTTATCAAAATGGATTTAATAGCAAGACCAACTCAAATATAAAAGATTTTGCAATTCAAATTCTTGAGTACAAGTAAACAAATAACAATAAAATCTCTGAGAAACGAAGTTGAGAAACAAAAGAGATTTTAACTCTTAAGAACTGAAAATCTTCATTTTGAATTGTTTTCAGGGCATGAACGAAAGTGAATAATCAGCGATGCAACTAATTCAGCTATCTTCAAAATCAAACTAGTTAATGAACTAAATACTGTCACTTGTCTCCTAATTAAAATTTGTTCTTGCTTCATAAAGAATGAGAAATATAAATGAGAAAAGTAACATATCAACTTCAAAAGGAAATGAATTCACTTCCTTAAACGTTTCATGCTGAAACAGAAGGTCTCGAAAGTAAAATTCCTCAACCTTTCCGGGTCGAAGACGCTCTGGAGTAGTAAGGACAAGATCGAGAATCTGTCGAATCTAATCCAGGATACATCAATTTTCTTACCAGAAAGGGATCTTAATTTGCCCCTCTTAACTGCTCATTCCGTCCATTGATTTAAACATGCGTGAGAAAGAAATTAAAATATAAGTTAAAACATAATTTTGTTTTCTAATTAATGAACCAGCAACCCTAGGAGACGAACGGAATTCTAAAACATTCGACATCTGCCTACTACTAATTGATCATTCGCACTTACCGAGTACGCTTAAAATTGGCATGCCTAGTTCCTAAGTAATACTTAATGATTTCTGTACTATCCTGTCAAAAAATCAACCCTTTGATGAGGGTCCGTGGTTGTTTTTGAGTATAGTTCACTCATCGCTTCTGACTGTCAAACATTGACTCGTCGAAATGAACAACCGATTACTATAAACGTTGACGTCACGGCGGGATTCAGAAACTTACGGGGGTAGGGGTGGAGGCAAACTCTTAGCTTGACAATCTCAGCAGTAAAACTGCTTAACTGGTATGTTTCACTCAAAGGAAAAACAGATGCAATATTTTTAATAACTTTTTCTCTGATTCAAATGGAGTAAAATCGTTTTAGGTTGCGATTAGTCACGATAAACTGTTCAAAGAACTCCATGAATGAAAACACAGAGCGTGAAGGCAATTTATCATCCTTTAGGTGAGATTACTTACAGTCATGTACCAAATCAACACAGGTTAAGTATGTAAAAACTTCTTAAGACTTTTCCGGTTATAGTGGAACTGAGATAAAAAACATTGACGGAATAATTTTTTTCGCCCACGATTGTAACTAATTGCAAGTCACGGTTATATAACTTTTCAAATTACATCGTATGTCAAAGGCGACTCAAAATGCTAATTTCTAATGACTCACGTGCATTTTCACGAGGTGAAAAGGCCACTGACTCGTGAAAACAAGTTGCAACTAATGCATTTTAACAACCAGGACAATTTCAAAAGAGAAATATAATCTTTTGTCTCTCAATGCGATCACTTCTGATGTGGATCGCGACAACATCCGATATCTACGTATACCACGAGCTACTAACCACAACCTATTTTACGACATAAACTAGGACAATTTTAAGACATTTCTTTAAAAATTTCATTGCATCACTTAACGATAAATTTAATGACGATGATAATAATAATTTCAAATTTGATAAGAATGTAAAGATCGGTACTTAAAATTTGAATCGTTAAGTACTGTACAGAGGTGTTTTATCGACACCATTCCCTCAACGGAAAACGTATTACTTTCCCGAAGTTAAAAAAACAACAACAACAATCACGGCAGCAATAATTATGCAAGAGTCTAAATGGTTTTATCTGTGAAACGGCCAAATATGAATTAAGTTTAACCGTTAGTCGTAAAAAAAAGTTTACCGTAAAATTATAATATTTTTAATCTACTTTGTGTTATTTTGAAAGTGTCAAAATCTTTTGGAATCTTGTCGGTTACGACTTACACACTCATCCCAGTAATTAACGAAAACAAGGACATTTGGCTCAAGTCGCTAAAGATTACTGAAGAAGTATGCCATAGGTGTACATCATAATTCTTCTAGTACCGTATTACTTTGTTTGTGTCTTTTTTCAATCCCGAAACTGATCAGTCGTAAATGTCTTTTAGAGCAGTAGAATTAGTCTATAACTTTTTAAATACAATCAAAATTACTTTTTAAAATTTCTGTTAACCTTAACGAAGAGAAATTGACCGTTAGCCGTAAAATGGCCAGAATTTTAACCGTTACCCGTAAAAGGCATTAAGAAACACTCCTGTAGGCTGTGGCTGTGTTTCCTCATCAGTCCAATAGTTAATTTGCGAACCTTATTCCAGTCTGAGTTCACGCGCGCCCTGGTGCAAAAGGTCAAAGACAAAGCAATTTCCTCGTTCATGATTCTGAAACTGTATTTAATTTGCTTAGAAGACGACAAGAGAAGAAATCACCCTTTAAATATTTGCAGTAAGTTGTTTCCAGCTAGCCACTGCGTCTTTCGTTCGGTATTTGTGGGGTATCAGAATTGCAAATCAGGTCTAGTACATATACATATAAAAAGGACCGGCCATTTAACAGAGATCAAATCTTGGCTTTTAGCGCGCGCTATCGGACAATATTCCATAATCAACGGAAATCTTTAGCAATTAAAGCTATTTTAAGACCCGCTGGACCGAAAAACTGCCTATGAAAAACATAAACACACCTCTCGATATTGTAGAGAAGAATATTTTCTTCAAATTCCAATCATCAAATACTTCCTTAGTAAGAAGATAACGCAACAAGATGTGACTTCATTTAGATATTTAGAATAACTTGTATTTTGATAGGCTCTCACTTCTGTAGTTATCCGTTTATCATGAGCTCATCTCAGGCAGCTCGTCGGTTATCTATAGCCATCTCATTTTTTCCGGGTGGAACCTGGAGCTCCGTCGCCAAGCGCGTTCGTTGAATTCTAAAGCCTTACACCGTAGAAGAACCACGTTATGGTTTTGCCTTTCTGAACTGTCTAATTTAAAATATGTTTTAATGACGTAGCTTTGAAATACTATAATATCATATGCTTTACTGAGTTCCCCTTGTTCAGAAAAAGGCGATCTTACTTGAAAAACTGACGCTAACTGCTGAGCTTTCTGACATTCGATACCATGTGAGACATTGACACAGTGCTAGCCAGAGAAACATCTTTCAAAGAAAGGTTTGCCTTTGTCGTTTTAAGGTTAGTAATTAAATTTGAACCGTATTAACAAAAAAATTCAGAGTAGGACGTACCTTTTCCCCTTATGCACAACGTTTCTCGAAATGCTGACTTTCCAAAAATGAGATAAGCATAGTTTAAGCACGCTCGAGGGATGTGATTAACCTCCGTCATCATGATGTTGTGGCCACTTAATTTCCAAAAGCTACAAAATTAAAATTTACAAATATAAAATAGTTCTCCTCGATTAATTTGTAAATCAGCTATTAGAAAACAAACAGAGCCAACACTTAAGGAAATAATGCAATTTAATATGCGCAGAAGCGAACCTTATCCCAATTAATGACTCTTTGATTTAAAATAAACTCGATTTGAGATCTGGCTACTTTGCAAAATGTGTAATAAAAATGTTCCCCATAATTCTCAGAGAATGGTATTACTTCTATAGTGAAGTCAAGATTTTCCGCTTAAGTCGAAATCGATGGCTTCATTCTTGTTTATCTACTAGTAACTGCATTTACAGTTATTACTTACGGTCGAGAGTCTTTTTGATAGTCGACAAAATTCCGCTATTATTTCTTCAAGAACTGAAGCTCGAATTTCGAACAAATCATTTGGTAAGAAAATGAAGAAATCATTGAGTCAATGGATAAAATCTGTGAATTTCCACTGACATACCTTATCAAACCCTTTCTAGGCCATTTCCAGAATAATTTGCGACGTCAAAGTTATCTTTTTGTGTGTTACGTGCAGTTGAAATGCACTGAATCTTACAAGACTATGTTAACATCGCTAATCAACTGTCCGTGAATCGTAAAATGACCGCATCAGAGATAAACGTGTTTGTCAGACCTCTTCCTCGATGGTGATATTACATATATTGAACAGGGGACAGAATTTGCATATTCCCATGAATGAAACAGCTTTTTTAATCAAATAGAACTATGACACCATTATCGCATGCGTTATCTTTGTATCTTGACAACCACACAGAACTTGGAGCTTGTTAGCAGGTGAACAAACACAGACAATGACGAAAAGTTCAACAATCAAGAAGAGCGTAGGGATAAAAAATTAATAAATAAGACTTGAGAAACTACAAGGAAGTTAAGATGAAAATTTTTTGTTGCTGTTTATTCACATTTTTTAGGGAGGCTATGAACGTTTTCTTCCTATAATGATAGTGATCGGAGTTTGAAGACCTAAGTGAGACCTTTAGGACCATCCATCCATTGTTTCGAAAGTTTAACGAAAAATTTGGGAGTTATTACGTAGTTTTATTCACACAAGGCCCACTTTTACGTTGATCAAATTACAGTGACGGTTGCCTGTATCACTAAAAATAGAACTTTTGACGTCATTTCACAGATAAGTTATTGGATCACGTAAATTTTCCTTAAAATAGTGGGTAACATAAATACCTTTTAACCTCGTTTCCAGTCTATAAATAAAATTATACAGCGCTCAAGACGTCAAACATAATAATAATAGAATCAGGGTTGTCGCAAATTGTATCAAGTGCGATATCTACCCCGGCCGGGTTGTTCAACTCATTGCAAGCAAATCAAAGAGCGCGCGGCAGCTTTCCATTCGTCAGCACTTGCTGAAAAATAACAAAAAACAAACTCAAAAAGTATGAACAAAAATGATCCTAAGTTTTTGACGCCTTTATAAGACCCCATTCTCGCTTTTCCAGCGCCCGCATATCGATCTTCCCTTCGAACTGAATGCCCGTCAGAAGTTGTTTCCTCAAACGAATAAACGGAAGAGAAAAGGAGGTTTGTGAAATCTCTTCAGGTAACAAATTTTTCTTCCTTTGAACGATATTTTAGCCTCGAAATTGTGCTTCGATAAGTTGGTCTTAGGGAAGGGTTCCTAAAATCTGAAAAAGAAGAAGTTGAATTACGATGTAAGACTACCTGTAGCGTCCTCTTTTTGATGACGTCATGCCTCCCAAAAATGGTAGGAAGAAATGTCTGTTGAATTCTCAAGATGGCCGAAGCCACAGTCGAAAGAGCAAGTGAACGATTTTATTGCCATGAGTGCAATCGAGAAGTTTCTCTGAATTTACCAGTAAGTGTTAGTTTGTATGGATTTGTACAGAGTGGATTTTTCGTTGGAATCAGCGTTGCAATCACGTACTTAGTCGATATGGAACCGTAATTCTACCATTTTAACTTTATCAAATGAGTGATCAGTTTTAGCAACCCAAATTTCCTTTATTGGGATTATAAGTGTCAGCTAACGCTGCTACGATAAGAGTGTGTTAAAATGAAGTTATGGTTAAGTCGGTGACCATCGTTTTAAAGGGAAAAAGTTGAGTCCTTTTGTGAACTAAATCGCTTCCGCCATGTCCACGAAAACCACGATAATAGTTTGTACCACATAAAGGCGTATTTGTTGTGCGATTGTTTTTTTCTGATTTACCGAAAGTTTTTGTTCAGAACCGAAGAAAAATGGAAATTCGGCTATCAAGCTGTGTAAACTATGCATCAGCTGTCAAAGAAACTTTCTGTGAATCAATTTAATCGTTTACCGTAAATTTGAAGCACGGTGTTGTGTAATAGAGTAAAAGTTTCTTGGTAGCAACGACGTAATCGAGGAGTACTTGACCGAAGTCCGGATTCGTAGTTATGCATCGATTACATAGACTAATTTTTGTCAATGTAATGGATGGTTATTTTCACTTTTGCATGTCTCGATATGCACTCCAGAAAAGCATCTGTCTTATGATATAATCCTGGTATTTAGATTAAGAAACTATTCAGAGGAATTGTAATGGAATATACTCTACATTTACCCCATTTTTGCTTAGATGCTGCAAGTTTTTTTTAGATGGCAGCTGTTTTAAGGCATAGGTGTAAGATTTTCTTCAGATGATAACACTACTTCTTAATAAGTATGCAAAAAGTATAAGAAAGTTGCAAAAATTTAAAATTTTCAACAAGTACACAGATCTGATGGAAAAGGGGATTTGATTTTACAGTCCTAACTTGTTAAAAATCAGTAAACCCTGGTCATAGCTTGTAATAATTATCAATCAATACTTGGCAATAAATATTATGCAATTAGAAATGACATAGCTTCCTTCTAATGAGCTGACTGGCTCAGTAGTTATGTTTCAAATGTATTTCTTGTGTTCTTGTAGGATTTTACTTGTTCACAATGCCAGGGAGAATTTATTGAACAGTTAAGTGACAGGTAGGTTGCTATATGATAACAGATCAATTACATTGTAACAGTTAGGAAAGTTAACAAATGATAATTAAGTACATGATTACCTTAGATTGTCCTGAATACATTCAATGTTTCTATACCATTTTTCATTGCAGCTTGAGGAAGGAACTGTTGGTAATTAATTTAGATTATAATAATATACTTTGATAATCTATTGGTACATATATGTTCAATAGTGTTTGATCTCTGGGAATGAAGAATCAATGTCTAATGAAGTCTAATACTCAGAGTCCACAGATGTACTATGGTCAGTTGTTGGTCATTATATAGAGGCTCAGAGTCCACAGGTTTGATGGTCAGTGGTTGGTTAACATATCAAGACTCAGAATCATTGATAATAAAGGAAATTTCTTCTTTGTCTGTCTGTTTGTATAACTCCCACTGGTGGCAGAAGTGATTTTTAAGCTTGGATATGTAACTTGCAAAATTCCTTTGTTCAAGAGTTTAAACATTTGACCAACTGTATTCCCAAGAGCCTGATTGAGTGAGTTACTTATTGAGTGCCAAACTCTTAACAGCAATGAAGAAGAAGAAAGTACAGCAGAAGCTGAAAGAGACCCAGCCACCCACTTTGCAGAGGTGAGAAGTACATGTGGACTTCATCCACTAAAATTGACTGAACATATATGTTGCCTTTACTGCTCAACGACTCAATATTTATTGGTGAAATCTGGTAAACCTCTGTGATTGGACACACAATATATGACATCTTTCTTATTCTATTTACAAACATGATGTTATGGACATTCCAGACTGTAGCAGTATGCTGGACACCTGTCATACATGAACTTAGTTATGGCCTTCTAAAATCTCTGTGGCTCAGTTGTAGAGCATCAGAGCACAATATTTGAAGGTCTGAGTTCAATTTCTCATGGGGACTCAGAACTTTTTCTTTGTCCAAGGCTGGTGACTAGACAAAAATGTGTCTTTTTTTAGTATTGTTATAGGTTGTAGGTCCAAATAAGTGAAGTGCCTGTCTTTTACTACAACCCATGTATTTAATAAAGTTTGACTGAGATTGGTTATTGTCATTACAGATAGGCCAGCCCCAGCAAAGAGAATCCCATTTTTCTCAACATGTCTCAACACTCTTTTTTTATATCATTATTGTCTTATTAATATTTCATTACAATTCATTTTCAGTTGGTTCACAGAAGTTTGTTTGGACAACTGCCAGGTAATAAGAGAAATTTAGAAAGATGATAAGTATTAAATTTGGATATGTTATCAAATAAAAAGCAAAGTTAACTAAATATCAACACAGCTGGTTACAAAAATTATTAACCAAGAAAAAATTAATTACAGCATATAAAGTGGTTATAGAAAATTATTCTCATTTAAGCATTATTCTTTCAATGAATCAGAGGAAATAGTGGTAATATTAATTTATGATTAATTTCCTAATGTCCACTGAAGCTGGAAATTTGGACTCTCTAGATGAAGGAAGGAGACGACCCCGTAGACCACGAACAAGAATAAGTATTCGTACCAATCAGAGGCCAGGAGAAAGAGGAGATGCTGCCAATGCCACAACTGCTGCAGCAATTGATGTGTAAGTTGTTAGCTATGATTTAAAACATCTTGAGAAGTACTATGTGCCAGTACTATTACATATTGTAATTCTTTTGTTTTACAGAATTCTTCAAAATCTTTTTGGTGGATTAGCATCACCAGGTATTTTGCTTGTTTGATTTATCTTTTCATATATCATATGATTGTGAAGGTATAGCTCAATTCTGAGTATTGGAATCATTATATTCTACACAGTATATCCACAAGTTCACCATAGTGTCTCTTTGATTTGCTGCTGTTTTTATATTTATTCAAGGTAGTAATACAAGTGAAGATGGAGCAGGAACATCTGGAAATATGGGATTTCCATTGTAAGTATTTTTATCTTTTAACCATTTCAATATTAGTAGATGGTTATATGAAATTCGTGGAACTTTTAAGCACAATTTATTTTAGAATTGTCATCACTACCCATGGATGATGCTATTTTGACGAGTTATCAGCCCTTAACACAACATAAAAAGATTGGCCAGACTCATAATCCTGAATCAGTGATATTACTTGCCTGCTGCTGTGTCTTTCATATCACATGGGACATTAATGTTAGACATTTATTCTTAAGACTTCACTGTACATTTTTTCAGTACGTTTGTTTTGTGGGCAAGGCAGTTGCCTTGTGGCTATATTACCCTACTGGACTCTTGATCAAAAGTTTTCCCTTGGACATCTCTCCATCACATGGCAAAGACACTTTCTTTCACAGTGCCACTCTCCACCCTGAATATAAATGGGAAGGGGAAACCCTACAAGGGACTGTGGTCCTATCCAGGGGGAAATAACGATACTCCTTGTTACTGCATGCTATCAAAGTGCAATAAGCTCCAGTACAATGAATCTCCCAGCTTTTTATCTGACTCTTATTTTTTTTTTTTTTATCTAATAGCAACTTGTTGCGTCTTCATGGGAACCCTGCTGATTATGCCTGGGGTGCAGAGGGATTGGATTCAATAATAACACAGGTGAGAGAACAACGAAAAGAAAAAGTTCTTTTAAGTGTTAATACTTTGTCATTGGTTTGACCCCAAATAACTAGAATTGTAGTAAAAGGAAGCATTGTAACTAGAAAAAAAGCAAAACAAAAATGAAATGAAAATCTCTCAAAACTGAAAAAAACTATGGGCTAGTGTATGATCCCAAATGAAAAAAATTATGCAAGAGACATGTCAATTAAAAAAAAAAAAAGAAAAGAAAATTACCTTTTTTCATTCGTGAAACTGAAAACCAGCTGTCAATAAAGGGAAAAACCCAAAATGGCAGCAGATACCAAAACCAAACTCTACATTGTGAGTGCAAAAACATGAAAACTGATCTCAAAAAGCATTGACACAAAGAAGCCAATTTCTGCCTCATAATGGATGATCAGTTCAGAGCAGTAATTATAATATCCATTCCACAGCTTCTAAACCAGATGGATGGAGCAGGACCACCCCCTGCAGATTCCAAAAAGATAGAAGATCTTCAAAAAGTAGAAGTTACAGAAGAGTCAGCAGGTAAGAGAACATAACAGTTACTAGACAGGTTTATTCCATTCTGGTATGTAAAGCAGGAATACACTTCAGCATTCACTAGGTTCTAGGTTTGTGTTTCCATTAGAGCATCCCTTCTCTTTGATTTCACAGACAGCTGTGCCATAGGATCACCTTCCTCAAATGTTATTGTGTACCTTTACATGTTTTACCTTTTTTTTTTCTTTTTTTTGTCTAGAGTCTGATAAATTTTGTGCTGTATGCAAAGAACAGTGTTCAAAAGATGAGGATGTTAGGAGATTACCCTGTAGTCATATATTCCATTTTGGTTGTATAAAACCATGGTTAAAAATGGTGAGTACATATTTTAGTAGGTATATAATTTTATTATTATTTATTTATTTAATGGTTTTCACCATGATCACAATGCTAAAATAAGACAAGGAAGAAGAAATACATTTGAAGAAGTCACAAGAATGAGAGACAAAGGACAAAGGTGTGGGACCCACAACAGAGTAACACTCCAAATTAAGTGTGCCCTTAAGAAAAATACACAATTACTATGTAACACTAAAAAAATCATAAGAAGTATAAAAATCCTAATAACTCCAATATAATAATACACGCAAAAGCATAATGTTATTCCTTTTTCTGTTGTTTGACAAAGGCTTTGTACTTGGCTAAAATTTAGAATCAACAATTAGTTATATTTCACTTCAGGAGAAAAACAACCATGTTGGGAACAAGGCAAATTTTAATTGGTTCTTTGTTATGTCTATAGGGAGGTGATCACAAATAAATTAAACAGATTAAATATTTGACCTGTGGATGACTTCAAAGGAAGGCATGATCCTCGTAGATAAACTACAATAGCCCATTTCCAAATTATCTTTGGGCTCTTTTGAGCGAGTGTAGGTGCTCGTCCTTTCATATCACAATAATTTTTCATTCACATGCAAATTAAACTCATTTTCATGCAAATCAAAGCACCAAGCCTTGTTTTGAAAAAAGAAGGCCAAAAGTAATTCAGAAATGGCCTATTAAAGAAATAGCAGAAAGAAGAGCTTGAAAAATTCAGACTTCAGCAGGATTCAAACCTTTGCCTTAAAGGTAATACCTGTAGTTGGTTTATTTTTATACTAAATGTAAAGTTTTCTCCTTTTTTCAGCATGATTCTTGCCCTGTCTGCCGCTTGAGTCTCAGCAATACCCAAACAAGAGGGTCACGAGATAGTGATTCAAGCACACCTGAACAGTTTCATTTATGAATTAAACTGATTTGAACTGGGAAATCTGAAGCTTTTGAATTTTTTTTTGTTACAATCTAGTCTTAAGTTATTGAGTACATAACACAATAGAGACAATATGGGATGCTGTGAATATTTCCACTGTATTTCTGTTAGAACAACAGTTATGCTTTTTCATTATAAAGTTTATTTACAGGTCACAATTACTGCTTTTGTTTGTAATGAGTGTAAATAAAAACGTGAGTATAAGGTTATGAAATATTGGAATTTCTGGTTTGCTAGAGGCTGTCAATTAATGTACGTCTGCAGACATCACATTATTTTACAAGCCAAGTAACAAGCATCCAGTTTTAAGCTCCCAAAAATTCCTGGAAACAGAACTTTTTTTCTCCCTTGCATTTTAATATCTTATTAATTTTCAGTATTAGTCTAACCCTCAGCTATAAAAATTATAGGGAGCTTTGAAATACCATTGCCTTTTGTACATCTGCCTATTGTTTGAGACTGTTACATTAAAACCCAAGCCTATTGAATACTTGGACGCTAGTCAGGAAATAGGGCCCAGTACACAAAGGAAAGGTACACTGGGAAGGTTTTTGTAGAAAGTAATGACAGCAAATAATCCTCATCTTCAAAGAAAATTTTTCCTGCAGTGTCATCTTATTACTTAAGAATAGTTACAGTGGGAACTTAAATAAAACATAAATATATATCGGAAAAGCAAAGTGAAACAAGTAAAACTATGAGAGGAAACTTTGGTGCCCTTTTATGACATTTCCCAGCTTGTTTACAAGTGAATCTCAATTTGATAAAATTCACCCAGTTTTCCTGCTTGTCCTCAAATACTCAGAAAGTGGATTACTAAAGGGGAGGACATGATGTGTTTCTAAAAATTTCAAAGGAAAAAACAATGTAGATATATATTCCAAGTTTTTTTCTGTTCTTCAAAATATTTTAAGTTACTGGTAGCTATCTCACACATGTAATTGGATTTAACAAAGATTTCTCAAAGGTTGAATTACTTCATTACAAAATTAAAAACAAGTAATCAGACATAGGTGATGCTAGTTTTCTTTTGTCATAGTACCCATAACTTACTCCTGAAAAGGACAAAATTTTAAATAATTTGCTCAATGTTAAGGTTCGATGAAGATCCCGGGGTGAGGTAATCCAGGAAAAATTACTTCAGATATTGAAAATTTTTTTGAATTGGTTTGGATGTTTGTACAATATCTAAATGTGCACCATAAAGTCTTGATTTTGGAAATTATTTGTGGTGTTTATTTTTGCCAATATAAAAATAAATCTTAACACTGGTAAGCGTGAAGAAATTTGTATTTCCTTATTAAAGAACTTGGTAGGGGAATGATGTTGATGTCGCAAGTCCTTATCGATACAACTTTGATCAAATGAGGTTAACATTTATGTAGACTCCACCATTTGCAAATACCAAAATTTGTATAATCATCCAAAAAGAAATTCATTTACTTCTTCTATTCTAAGCTAGTTTTATTACATCTTTCAATTCCAAAATAAAATTTTGTATTAACTGTTAATTAGATCATGCTGTACCGATGACCTAAATATCCTCAGAATTTATTGCATGGAAACTGTGTAAGTTGAAATCCTAGTACATGGCACATTTTATATTAGTTGTCAAACAGTTGATAATGTATTGATCAATTTGAAGCTTCAACATTCCTTTCCCTCTCCCCCTCCATCAGGCACTTGAACTTTTGGAAATTGGCTTGTTCAGATTCCCTCTTTACCCAGGCCAAAATTGAATTCAAATGCCACACCCAATAATGAGTGATGCTTTGTGTGATCGCAAATATATTCCAATTTAGCAAAGTCGTATTAGATTCTGGTTTTGTCATTAAGTTTTCCATTGTAAACATTCAAAGATGAAAATAGTCTTTCTAAACCATTCACTCACAAAAGCAGACTCCTTACCTTTAAATCCTCTATTAAACTTGTGTATTATGCTGAAGACTTGACCCTCCCAGTTCAAATGCCCCATCCCACCCAGCAAGGTTCAAATGCCTCACCCACAGGCACAAATGACAGTCAAATGCTTGTTGGTTGCCATGGGGGAGGGGGGGGGGAAAGTTGAAACTTCAAATTGATCAGTGCATAACTATCAAAACTCATCAGTAACTCTATCTTGGGACTACAAGAAGTAACACTAAGAAATCCTTATTTCATTCACACAGAAAATGCCTCATAACCCAACTGCCAACATAACATTGTTATGTTTCCTCAAAAATCAGTAACAAATTTAGCTAGCTATGTACAAAATAGATGAAAGATATACATCGATGTAGCTTCAGTCAATACACAAAGTTTCAATAAAATTTTCAGTAGAATTATTTTCTGTATTTTGAATTGTATTTGAGCCAGCACTTGCAGGAGTAATTTTACTTAATTCAGTGTTATTCCTGATTGGTGCAGTACTCTTGCTTTTGGGTTCACCATCTACTTGCGAGTGTAAATCTACCACATTAGAACCTAAAATGCCACCAAAACCTGTTAAGCCCTTGTTGTCAATCTCCATGGGTGAATTTGAAGTTGAAGTACATGATAAACTTGCTGGTTGAATCTTAGGAGTGTTATTTTGCATTTCAGGACTTGCACCCCTAGCAGCAAATTGAATGATACTGGGAGTATTTGCCTGCAAAGTCGCAGAAGACTTAGGAGTATCTGAAGATGCATCTGAACCAGTACATCCATCAACCAACAAGTTCTCTATGCCATAGGCTTCCAGAATGTGACTGTGGACGTACCAGCGAGGCCTATCATTTCTTCTTTCCTTAGAAGCAATATTCTGAATTTTCTTCTCAAGTTGTCTTTTGGAAATTGGACTTTTTTCATCAACTTCTTCATCTGTGACATCTCTACCTAGCCACTTTGAAGTCCAATGCTTTCTGAACTTCATCATCAACTTGCTGAGACCTGCTGTGTTTCCATGAACCAACTTTATTAGGTCAGGCATCGCTGGAAATAAAGGAGAGATTAATTACTAAGGTCAGAGCAACATCCAAGGCTTCACCCCCACTCCCAAGCCACCGTTCTGAGAAAAAGGCAATTTCTTGCGCAGTCACCAATTGCAAGTTCATAAATAGTGAGCTTTATATTTTGTGTTTCATCAGCTTGAGCTTGGATCTTATGTTCAAAGCAACTCTTCAAGCATTCCAGCTTCACAGTTGAGGGTTTCTTACTCCATTTATTCTTATGTATTAGCAAACTTTTGAATATTACCTTTATCTGGTACATAGAGAGCTCCACTGGTGTTTCCACTACTTGGTGTGTCCACAGAGAAATCAGCACTCTTACTGTTTGTAGACAGGCTTTCAATGTTTATGGGTCCATCAACAAGTAAGCATGCAGCAAACTGCTTGAGCACCACACTCACTTCAGCTTCCTCAAGCCACAGGCATCCCAGTGATATTGGCTTCATTGGCTTGCACTTTCTTTTCATTGCAGCTTCCCATGCCTTGGCCTTTGCAAGCTGTTGATCTCTTTTATTTTCAGGATTCTCTTCCTGTAAGGAAAAAAATAATATTAATACTGCAAAACCCCCAGGTTTATTTTTGTTGTTGTGTAGAAATATGTAATTACAACTGGCAGCAGTAAGTCTAATACCTTCTTTTCTTCATTCACATCACATTCATCATCATCTCCATCCTCAACTCCTTCATCATCTGATAAGTAACCATGAGGAACAAAGAATCCATCATCATCTCCATTGTCATCATCACCATCACCTTCATCCTCTCCCTGAAAATTAAAATTGACTTCACTGATCATGATAAAAAAAGGATGCCTCATCAGAATGTAATCGGCCCACATCCCTGACCAGTTTCAGCATAAACAGAATGAAAACTGTGGCCATGTTGATCAAAGTACCAGTGGATAAAGCCCTGGATAATAAAGATGGCAGATAAGCCTAGAATAAAGCAGTAGCTTATTATGGCGGAGTTTTCCATCACTATCAATTTATTTTTCAAGGACTTCTAAGTCTGCAGTTGTATTTGTCTTGGAGCATAATCATTACCTCACTGTGTGAGAGACTTTCACCTGGTTCCTCCTCTTCCCATTCATCATCACTGTCAACCTCATAATCCAACAAGTCCTGGAGAATATGGGAGATTGTTGATTATCTATCCACAAGTTTACTAAATGGTTTGTTTTGAGATGCAAGTGTAACAGAAGGTGAAGCCTAAATGCTAATCTTGTAAACAGAAAAATGATGGCAGATCAATTAATTAATTGATTGACTGACAGCAACAATCTCTTTGGTTTGAATTCCAGATGAAAGGAGCATCTCTGTGACATTACATAAATTTTAATAGTTAATTGTTAATAATTAAATAATAGTTTCGGTTTACTATACCAAGTCTTTTTTGAATGGGTTCCTTGGAGAGATGTGGTAGCTTTTCTTTCTATATGTACCAAAGTATGCTGGCCTGTAGTCTGTGTGGAACTGTAATAGTTTGCACCTCAGGCCAACAAAGGAAGAAATGTCCTTCTTTTTCTCAACAATTTCAACACTTGAGTTGCTGTTTTCATCAATTGCTAAAGGTCCATCAGATGTCTTTTCATCAGTATCACATTCATTCTGTTCCTCAATGGTAGACAGTTTCCTCTTCCTGTATTTGAGAATTGGTTTTCTAGCCTCTAGATCTCTCAGATAGGACCTGTGGTCTTCCTACAAGGTCAAAGGTAAGTTTATTTTAAAATATATGTAATGCACAGACACACTGAAAGGCAAGTTTAATCAGACTCCAGAACTTCATGGATATTTGAGAACTTGTTTGTCTGGAATTTGTCAGAACTGGTTATATTCAAAGAGTCTATCTCAAGAACCTACACTACTGCAGAATTATTTTTCAAATTCAAAGTATGTTAGAATATGAAACAATGAATGATCCTCTATTCACTAGTTTTATTGTTCTGTAGCACTACGACAAAGTAGTATACATGTTCTTAAAACTGTTTGATTGCTACACTCAACACTACTGGATGTTTTTTGATATTTTGTTATTAGCTTGAGATACATACCTGTAGTTTAAGTTCCTCATCTAAGACTTTTTTTGTTTCAAGTGACAAGTGTTTACGTGTTGCTGGAGCAATGGTCATTCCGCTTTCGGCTGAAATGGTTTGAATCTACTACCACTGTCTGATGAAGCCTGAAACCAAACATAAGAATTTCATTAATACAATGGAACTAGCAGGGAATTGATAATGCTTGAGCTTAATACACCATGCAACCAAAACACAGAATGCTGGTAACATAAAAAAACAATCTTTTATGTTTAAACTCTCCCACAGTCTGATATTTTTTCAGTAGCAGCCAATCTAAAACCAAACAGTGAAAGAAGAAACCATGGGACCTTTTAAATTTATAATTCCTAGTGCTAATAAAGGTGTTTTAAACAGTTCATGTGATGTCCCACCAATTGGACCAACATAATACATTGGAGATATAAGGTAAGTTAGATTAGTCAGCAGTAGTACATTTATTCAGAAGATCTGTGTTTGATAAAAAAATATTTTCAATTTGGTACCTTGGGGGTAGATGTCTTGGTGAACCAGCTTACAAAATGTTCTTTACTCTTCAGTCTTTTTCTTGTCTAACAAAGAGAAACAATTGAAGCAATTATTAACAAGACAAACCTTACCAAAGAAAGACAGTACACAACAAAGAAAATGGTAGCATAGCTAATGAATGCTACAGAGTAAATCGTAATGTTTGTCCATAACAGTTGCAGATACAATCCATAAAGTACCAAAAGCTAACCTATGCTTTCCTTGGAATCTACCAAGCTATCTCAACAGCATTACTACTTGTAAGCTGTACCTGTTCTTCTTCTTGATTTCTCTTCTCTTCTTCTCGCTTCCTCTTTTCTTCTAACTTTGCACTGAAATCAACCAAACAGAAGTAAAATATACAACAAAATGAACAGCCTTTTCAAATCAGAATGCTTTGTTTCAAGAGAAGTTGCTAGTGTCATTAAAAGCATACAAAATACTTCTCATCCCCCAACTATTAGGATCCTCTCATCCTCACTTTAATTTTAGTAGGGTCCAAGCTTGACGAATTGATCACCTTTCACAAACTGGATTTTTCTCTTACAAAGGTTGCATAATAGCCATACAACACGTGCAATGAAAAGAACAATACCAGTGCATGTATAATTTTCCTTTGTTTGTACCCTTTTTAAACTTACTTATTTTCTTCTTCTCGTTTCCTTCTTTCCTCCTCTCTCTTTCCCTTCTTTTCCAAGCGTTCCTTTTCTTCCTTCTCCTTCCTCTCTATTCGCTCTTTCTCTCTTCTCTCCCTTTCAGCTTGCTTTTCCTGTTTTTCAAGGTCACGCTTCCTTTTGGCTTCTGATCTTTCCTTTTCTTTAGCTGCCTTGGCCTCTTGTTTTTCTTTTAGTTTCTCCTCTCTTAATCTTTGCTTCTCTTGTCTTTCTTTCTCCTAAAATTAAAAAGGAAATCTCAAGAAAAAACTATTATTCAATTTCCCATTCTCCTCTTTGCAATTTAAATTTTAAAGAACAAATATCTATTTTTCCTAACCTGTCTCAATACCAAAGATGTTCACACCAAATTGGTCTACATGTTAATGAATCATAATTATTACTGAAAGCACTAGATTACTGAAAAGTCATTTAATGGAAACAATAAAAAACAACAATGCAGACTACAACAATACCATAAAAGTCATTACTATACCCGTTCCTCCTTTCTCTTCAACTTTTCAGCACTCTTTAAGGTTGGGCTCTTTCTATTTCCCTATACAAAAAGAAAGAAACTAATCAATTTTAAATGAATATCATTGGGAAAAATCAGATCAAAATAATCATGGTCTCCTTTTCTTGTACATGTAGATGCAGCAAGATCTCTGATAACATGAACAAAGTTGAAAAAGTGGTGGTATATACACCACTGTAGTACAAGGATTTCACATAATTTTTAACACCAAGGTCACAATCAACTTCACTTCAATCTTTAGAGATTTCCTTGAACTAGTTAGGGCAGATATCAGACCTTTTTTTGTTTTTTGTCTGAAGATCCCAGTCTTTACCTTTAGCAAAACAGTGTAATATATGTATATAGGGTCTCTTTGAGGAAGTGGAGCTGAAATTTGAGTATCTAAGCACCAAGAGGGACTAATACATGATCTGCATTTCTTTATGCCTATTGTCGGTTTTGGATGTTTATTACCTTGACTGGTGGTGACTGATCTATAACCATTGCTTCATCTTCACGGGAAGAGGAAGTGGATTCTGGTGAGGAAATGGAGCTTACATCTCTCTGCCTAACTAATTTATCATCTTTGTTTTCAAGAACCAAACTTTTGGAAATTTTTGACGAATCTGTGGTATTCTGTGCCTTTCCGAAACTTTCCTTCAAATCAGGGGGAGAGGGAGCGCCAGTGACAAGACCTCCACCGGATTGAGTTTTTTCCTTGCATGGTTCAGATGGTGTGTTTTGGCAGTTGCTAATGCTGACAGCCTCATTTTGGACAGAAACTGAAGTCTTGAATGATCCAGTGGAGGTCAACAGAGATGAAGATACTGTTGGAAAGGACAATACTCCTGAAATAAAAAAATATGGGGGTTACCCCTCAAATGAGTCTTCCTTGTTGCAAAATATATCACAAATAAAATTGCAAGTTTCATGGTGGAATTATTGTTCCAAACATCACAAACACATTCTTAGGTGTGCACGATATTGTCCAATTCTAACACAATCTGCACACGAGATCATTGTCATCATTAATTATGGGCCACAGCATTATTGCAAAGTTCTGCAGTATCACTACAGTGACACTGCAGTGAAAACAACGATTCCCTTGCACACAAGAAAGTAATTGTAAAAGTGTTCCATCCTACAAATAATTGATCGAGCCAAAACAGGGCACATCGTAATGATAACATCAGTTGCTTTTAAATACTCAGCTTGCCAGGTGAAAATAACAGCTTCAAAATTATTGACCCTTTAACAATTGTTAGGAAACCTTAAATTTAACGAGGTAACAATGGCTGAGAAACGAATAGATTATAGTGATCCTAAATTGGGTTTTCTAGATGCCTTCTGCCCCAAGTTTGCTCGAGTTTCTTATGTATACGTACATATACACTATTATCATTTTTTCTTATTTCGTAGCAACTGACCTTGCTTCAGTCTTTTACATGGTGGACTATCACATTCGTCTCTGTCAGAACCTTTAGCATATGCTTTAAATAAAACCAAACGTTTCTGTAAGCTATAAAATTACAAATGACAAGATCCGACCTGGAAAATTTGAAAGAGGGCATAGGACTGATGGCGGACAATCGTACCTTCGCTTGAAGTCTCGCTCTGCACGCATCCTTCTGGACTTTCACCCGGATTTCTCATAGTTTTATGAGCTACAATAAAATTTTAACAACAAGAATAACATTTAGAGAAAAAGTTGAAGAAGAAAGAAGAAAAAGAAACAGTACGCGCTTAGAAGCTCAGCAATGTGTGGTAAGCGCGTTTCTTCAAAATTGGCGGGAATAGCTTTAGTGATGCATTCTGGGACTGTTTTGACCTATGGGGTCTGGATCTATTAGAAGAAAAATAAACTGAATTAAATGAAGTACTAAATCATTTGGAAGGGAAGAACATGCTGTAAGCGAGAGGCCATTTTTCTATTCGTTGAATGTTTTAGTCCAAAATTAGAGCTTGATTCGCTAACGATGAATGCTCCGGAGTCATTTGAACCATTTCTATTGCTTGATGGAGATAAAAAGTAAGCGTATGCACTGTGTTCCTAGATAGAACGATAATAATAAAGTGTTACAGAGAAAGGATTGATCTTTAATTAAGCATTTTTTTAAATTTTCAGGATAACTATCACTAAGGACACTAAAGTTCCAAATGCTGCCCACTTTGTTGTAAATAAAGAAGACCACACATTAGGAAACCTTCTTCGAGCGTGAGTTAAACAGCGCTACGGACTTGACAGCCAATTAAAAGTTTTTTCTGACGAGTATTTAAGATCGCTCATAAGATTATATAGAGACATTTTTTGCCAGTTTGATTTGTTGCTCAACAGACCCTGTGCTGGCCACAACCACAGCTTTGTTGTTCTATTTTGTTTTAATCAGAGAAAAATTGCATTCATGTATCACTATAAAAAAAAAAACATATGGATAGCTAATATGTTACTGGTTGGCTGACAACCATCCCACTCAAGGTTAGCAGGTATTTTTAAGGCATTCTACTTTAAGTGCAAAGCTACTAAGCCTCTTAAATTATGCCCCCTTTATTGGAATGAAATATTTCTTTCTGAAAATTAAGGATGTTGCTCAGATCATATTTGAGTGATAGTTCTACCATTATCAACCTTTAAGGCTTTGAATTCATTTTGAAATACCATATTTGTGATTTTCAACTCACAGGCAACTGCTGCGAGATCCACAGGTAATATTTGCTGGATATAAAGTCCCTCATCCCCTTGAGCATAAGTTTGTTCTTCGAGTGCAAACTACGCCAGACTACAGTCCTCAAGAAGCATTCACCAATGCTATCACAGACCTTATCAGTGAAGTGTCTCTTTTAGAAGAAAGATTCAAGGTTAGCTTATTTTCCTTGTTTTCAATCTTCTTCACATAGTCAATTCTATCAAATAACCTTAACCCTTTAACTCCCAGACCAAATTTGTAATTCTCCTTACTGTCAATCATACAATTCTTATAATGTTACTTCAGAGAATTTAGTATTGGATCAACTAATTATCCCCAAATTGGTATTTTCCTTTATTCCAGGGTGCCAAGCTCCTATTTTTTCCTATTTTTTGGCCTGCCTCCTATTTTCTCCTACTTTTTCATGAAATTCCTAGTTTTTTCTAGTTTTTTAGGGTTTTACTGGGTAAACAGAAACATTTTGAAATATTTGAAATAAATTGTCAATAAAAAAGATTAATTCACTTGTTTTTGTTTATACGGCAATGCATTTTGGATGTATGCCATGGTGCCTGTTAAATATTAAGGCATTGGGTTGTGGAACACAGTTGCTGTTGGGAGTGTTAAGAGGATAGAAATCAAAGAAATCCTCCTAATTTTTTCCTATTTTGGGGTGAGAATTCCTATTTATTTCCTATTTTTTGGCCACTGTCATTCCTATTTTCCTATTTTCTAAGTATCATTTGTCACTTGACACCCTGTTATTCTCATCACTTATCTGGTTGATATTGTATTGATATTGTAAGGAGAAATTCTGTCTTGGTCACTCATGGGAGTTAAAGGGTTAAAGAGAATGTGCAAGTTGAAAGTCAAAGTACTGTTGTGTTTGATATCCAAGATTGAAGATGACATTTCCCATGTTGACTGCATACTGCAGTCTTCTTCAAGAGTTGTGGTCAACTGGTTACATGTCTTGTTATGGAGCAATATATTCCTTTGTGATTGGTTGGTTTTAAACAGCAAAGGGATCACATCTATGAAAAAAGCCATTAACAATTGCCTAAAAGCAACAATTTGTGGTAGAACTTCGTTTTTAAGAAGGTGATTGCAAACAGTGGAATACAAGCAAACAAAACATCTCCATCCATAACAGAAGTGTCTAAATTATTACAAAAAAACTCAGGGATGGATTCTGGAATCTTTTATTTGGAGCAAAACTATTAACTTCAATGTGGTCATTTTGAGTGAGTGCCACTGCAAGAATTTTGGTGTCAGACAAGTAGTAGAACAACCCTTAGGTCTGGTAGGATGGTCCCCCTGGATTTGCCCTAATACTTCATCTCTTGCAGCTGATTGCTCTAACTATGGCTTAAACTTAGCTTAATGTTAACTTGGCTTGTAGAAGTTAACTCAACATGAGCTTCCCAATTCCACCAGGGTGCAGTGGTTTTAATTTTATATTCTCTTTCATACTTACAGTCATCAGTCAAAGATAAGCAAGAAGGCATAGAGTGAATTGAAAAATCTTTACAAGGAAGTTGGAATATATTTTCAAACAGGGATGCAGTTGGACCTGAGCTTTGTATTAATATCAGTACAAGTGGTATGACTCCAGAAGCCCTGGTGAAACATTATTTTCTTGTAGGGAACTTGTTTATAGTGACTTTGATGATGGCTATAGACTAATAACTTCTAAAAGATCTGTTCTAGTATTCAACATATTTTCCTTGATCTTAGTTAGTTTCTTTTTTTGGTACTAGAATAATATTTCAAAAATATAGTTGATGTATATATATCATACCATCATTAATTGGCTGGAGAATTTTTCTTGAGAAGTGATACTGAAGTTTCTTTCAGCTTTAGGGTCAATGAAAAATATTCCAAACTCAGCAAAGCATAATATAGCATTACACTTTTCCTTAACAAGAAGAATGAATGACAGAAAAATAATTTTCAGATAACAATATAAGGTCATGGACAGATGTTGTAGTGTAAAGTTATTTCAAAATATTGAAAATAACTCTATTTAGGACTAAAGACAAATTGGTTTTCACTGTCCAAGCTTAACAAGTAATATTAACATGAAGGCTTTAGCTCCATTCAATCATTAATTCACCCCCCCCCCCTCCAGCCCTCACTCCTCCCTCACCTTTCCACTCAGAGAATCCACCATTTTTAAAATGAGACTGTATATTGGCTATTATTGTTTTATATCAATTTTACCCTTTTTCTCGACAAACAACAGTCATACATTGAGGCAAGAAGCATTTAATTTCAACTATAAAATCATTACTTTTCTTTCATACATAGTCTAAACAATACATCCACTAGTTGCATCTTAGCTACAACTACTTACTCATTAGATACAAAGACTCTCTTAACTGATCCATAGTATCTCCCAAGCATTCCTCATATTTCAAGTCAATTACTTTGCAACATTCTTAGCATCTAAAATACTGATTAAATACATTTTAATAATGGTCGCAATTTCCTCCTATCTTAACTTCTAACTTTGTTGATCCTAATTTAGCCATTAAATTTTGTTGATCCCGATTTAGCCATTAAATTTTATTGATCCTAATTTAACTGTTAAAAACACAACAACTCAGAATCTTTTTCCAGCCCATGTTACGATCTATGATAAACTTCTTGTTGCATCTTGTTTCTATTGCTCCAATCACTGGTTCAACTATGGCTGCCACACCTCAAAACAAAAAAAAGGAAAATATCAAGGAGTAATTTTGGTGAGGAATTTTGTCATTTAAAACAAATATTCTTGAGAAATTTCATTCCAGTAAGCAGTTCTTTCATTTCTGTTGTTTGGTATATCTTTGCTCTCACACTTTAATACATACAAATGTTGATATATTTTTTCCTCAATTTGTTTAACATGAATAAGGAATATTGTATCATCTGAAAAGGAACCTAAAAAATTGGAATCAGTGATGTGAAATTCCATCTTACTGACTGCATAACCATAACCACAGTAAAACAACATTGAGAACAAAGAATTACAAAACTTGTTTCTGCTTACAACTCCATCCATGAACAGTGGTACTGAACACCCTGTATCTGTTTGAATGGCCATGATGTAAACTGGCTGGGTCCTTTGTGGCACAACATATGGCTGTCCTGCTGTCACAGCATATCTCTGTTGAAGGGCCTGCATCACTGGCTGAATAAAAAAAAAAGCAATTGATTAAACTCTGTTTTTCCCCTACTTTTAAATATACAAATGCAGATCATTCATGACAGTTAAATTCAATTAAGTTCTGATGGGTCATTTTGAGTTGGGTGTCACAGATGATCAGCTAATTTTCCTAGTTCCCTGTGAACAATGCATGGTCCTTACCTTTCTTTTGACTGCTACATCAACTTGAAGAGTTTTTCCTTTCCATTGCACTAAGCCCTATAAAATAATTTCACCAAATGTGCATTATCCCTTAAACCCCAAAGAGTGATTGACTTTTACTTTCTCCTTACAGTATCACTCTTGAATCAAATGTTAAGGTCATGAGAATAAAGGAATTGATCACCAACTTAGAAAGCTCCTTGTGGTCAAACAAGTTCTCCCTTTCAGTATCATAGGAAATGTTAAAGAAAAGTATTGAGAATATGGATGTTAATGATAGTGTGTTAACCCTTCAACTCCCAGGATCTGATTGTAAATTCTCCTCTCTAACTGCTTCACATTTCCTTTAAAATTAGTTACGAGAATTTGGAATTGGAGTAAGATGACAATTTTAACTTGATTAACTTTAGTATTCTCATTACCATGTGCTGGAGAATGCATTAGTAGTACAGGGAGAATTTACATGTCAATCACTTCTGGGAAAGGGTTAAAGGTTAACCTAATGATTATTGAGTCTCTTTTGACTGGAAATGCCCTTATGAGGCTCTCATTAAGGCATTACACCATCAAGTTAGAGTCACATAGATAACATGCAGTTGGAGATAACTTTCAGTCTTACCATGTCTCTCACTCGTTGAGCTTCCTCTGCCGTGTGAAATGTCACAAAACCATATCTGTGAAAGAAAATGGAACCTTACTCCTTTGACTGCTAAGAGTGACTAGCATCTAATTTCTCTTTACAATATTAACTTTTGATCAAACATCAAGGTTACAAGAATTGAGGAAATGATAACCAACTAGAGAAGCTCTTGATTGTTAAACAAATTCTCCTTGTCAGCACCTCAGGAAATGTATAGAGAACTGTATGGAGAATATACATACTAGTGTTAGGTCTTTGGGGAAAGTACTGGGAATTGTTAAAACAGTATAAGTAATGATTTATTTACCCTTTATTTGCACCACTCCTGAGGTCTTCAACAATCCTCACATTCTGTACCTCAAAACCCATGCCACCAAAGAGAATTTCAAGTTGAAGCTCAGTCATCTATGACAGAAATTAGAAGAAAATTCAAAATGTTGATTAACAAATCTATAGTCTGTGAATTGTTGCTAAGGGCAATAAAAGAGGTGAGATCCAAACAGCTCTTGTGCCCTCTCCATCCCCTCCCTTGCACTTAATTATCTCACCAATGTGGGTTACAGATGTACCATGCCCAGCCCACTTGGGAAATAATGCATAATTTTGCTCAGGAAGTGAATTAATGGAAAAAAAAGACCACCTGTTGAGAAGGACTTTTAAGAAGAAAACTCACATAATTTTAGTAATTTGACAGTTTTAATTAAATTTTTTATCTTTGCAATTGAGTAATGTCAATGGATTTGTGACTGTAAATTCAGCTTACTCTACTAGGTATTCCTCTGATGAAAACTCTATTCAAAACCTGAATACCGTACTCTGTCCAAACTTCCACTGAGGACGCTGAGTGCAACGGTCTATTGTTACATGAAACCTGCATCCTGTATTGAAATATAAGATCTGATAATACTTGCAGTCAACATTAGTAGTTTTTAATCAAGAAATTTATGGTTCACAAAGTATGAAGTTTGACATAACCAAGTTTTTAGAGCGTCTCGCATCTGGGTAAGTTTGAGATAGCGTGACAGTGCTTTCCAAGGGGAGTCTTCCGACGAATGCAAAGAAAGCGTGACTTCCAAGCGTGACATGTTTTCCCCTAGGTCATAAACGCCGCGAAATTTTTCCTTCCGCAAATCATAGATATTGCATCTTATCTTTATAAAGAAGATAACTGTCTAAACAGACCTTAGATATTGCATCTTATCTTTATAAAGAAGATAACTGTCTAAACAGACCTTACTTAGAGAAAGCTATAATATTTGTGGGCATCACTTTCCCTGATTACAGAACAGTTCAAAAGCTATTTTGACGTGGACAATCACCGAATCAAAGTTGAATAACCAGTCAAATTTTTGATGATTCACATTTTAAAAAAGTTCATAAGCGGCCTCTGAAATTGAACTAATCGTGAATACACGGAAGTAGTTATCTGCAGTTTTTTGGAGCACGTGTAGAACACTTAAGCAGGTTGTCTGACCGACAGATATAGAAACAATCGAAATGTGAAGAAGCGCAAGTGAAAAATGGGCTTAATCTACGCGAATTTACAAAGTACCTGATTCTTGCGTTCGCGAAACAACTTTTTGGTGGTACGCTGTGATACTAGATGGGCGCATTGATGACGAAGCCATTTTCCCGCCAAAACTGGGTAGTGCTCTCAATAAACTGCTTCAGCTTGAAACCAGAAAATTTCTTATTCGAAGACTATCAAAACTACCTGGATAATCAGCTCATCTAACGGAAATTTGCTTTGTTTTAAAGCTGTATTTACATTAAATGTTGCAATGCAGACTGACAACAAATCAAATCGAGCACTCGATCATGTTCTTCAGGTATTTGAGAAGTACACACTTCTAATGGCTGGGATCCCTAGGAGAAATGCGCAAAACCACCTTTTTTCGTCTATTCACAATTTTTCTATGCTCCCATGTTTTCTGTAGAGGAGAAAACTGAGATCATTTATGCTTACCTCGTGGGATGAAGAAACTTCGAATTCCAATACGGTCGTATGAAAGCCGCTTTCCACAGACCTTGACCTAATCAAATTACTTTCGACACGCCTTATGTACATAACCCTATCTGGGAGACGTCTAATAATAATATTCCCACGTGCGGGCGACTACATGAAAAAAATTTTTAATGGGAATACTCAACGGAAAGAGATTTTCTTTCTGATCCCATGAATAAAGACAAATATGATCGCATCATTTTGAGTTACCTTAATACTTTTTTCCAAGCCACAAAAAGAAAAGACAAAAACTGACAAAAGACCAGATTTGATTAAGTAAAGAATTAACTGGAGGATTCGAGGAAAGTTTACATCGGAGACTTGAAGTATTTAAGTGTGATCGAAAATACTTATGGATGAACTAAATTTATTTCTTGGCCGTGAGGTTGCACTTGGTTTTCAGAATTCTCTAGTTTGACAAGGGTCAGTCGGAGGCGGGTCACTTTCAGAGGCGTCAAAATGTCTACAGTGATGATGATGAAACTTGGTTGGGTTTAGGCTAGGGTAGCCTACAGAGAAAAGCAAAGAATACAGATAGAACAAAAACGAAAAACACTGTGGAAGTAAAGTCATGGAAAATACTTAGACTGTCCAACTGAAGGAATCGAATTATTGCCATGTCAAAGAAACTTTAGCACGAAATACCCCCCTCCCCAACCCCCTCTCTGTAGCACTTTTCATACCTCAAAATTGCGGATTTAAAGGGTTGCCAGTAGGTGAACGGCCCCAAACTGACTTTTTTTTCTCAGTAAATTGGTTTTTAAGTGTTGTTGGTATGGATTTAAGCTTCGTTTTCGTTGCCATTTCTTGCACCTCCACTGTATCTGCTAGCAATTGCTCGGCTCTGATATACCGCGACCAAAATTATGCCTTTGACAAATAAAAGCTGAAAATCAAAATAACACCCACTTTTCAGGCTGATATTTTTGCCTGATATTTATGACAAAGTACAATGCTTTTATTAGACCATCGAAAAAATTCACCGAAGTACATAGCATATTCAAAAAGAGCTATTTCAAAAAGGCTTACAGTAATGGCTATGAAACACCTCTCTACCGAATTATCATATAATGAGCCAAATCACATAAAAATGTCAAATTAAACTGATCATAATGATTCTTGTTTTACATCTCCTCAAACTCCTGTATAGTCTGAATCAACTCCTGTTCCGCCTCAGCATGTTTCTCTTTTATTTTCTCTAAGGCAGCTGCAAAGTAAAAGAACAGCGATAGATTTGAGATGGAGTGGTTCGACTAATACGGGAGGGTTCAGTTACAGCCCTTCCATCCCTCAGAGGGGTGCGCTGAGGGTGAAAACAAAATGCTTAACTAGTTTGTGAACCTCTGGTGTCCTCTTGACTTCTAAAATCTAGTACGGTGATTATTTTTTTGACCGTCTTTGGCCATGATTCATTTGTGAATTAGCGAAAAAAGCCATTCATACCATCTAGTTGGTCAGCTTCTCTTTCCAAATCCGCAATTTGAGACTCAGCTGTATCAGCACGTTGACAGGTCTGTTAAAAATTTAACAAAATGGTTAGCTTCTTAACAAATAACAAGGTGTGTATCATCCCCAGACCGCTGAAATGCTCATTTTACTGACTGAAATGAATGGAGAGCCGATAAATGCGTATTAGGCGTGAGTCAAATTTCGTTCCTGGAGCCCTCTGGTGAAGAGAAGGATATTGGGACTATTGAAAGTGTTCCACGTTAAAATAATAGTGATGATGATAAGAAGAAGAGAAAAATGATAATAGTAATGATAATAACAACAATAATCTTGTTAACCACTAACCACCAACAATAATCACAACAATAATCACAACAACAACTTATTTTGTTGAGCCGAAAAAATTTTCCAATCAGATTAAAAAAATTCGCAACCAAGGGATGAGTCTTTTGCTTTCTAGGGATACTCAAGCAGAAGAGCAGATAATTTCCTCGCAGTACTGGCCAACAGTTCGAACCAAGATGACAATTTGATGTTGGTGAAATATCCGATGTTGTCCTCAAGATAGTTTACAAGTTCTTCGTTCAGACAATCATTCAAGCAAATAATAGCTTTTAATATTATTCTCACCTCTTCATACTCTCGCCCGATTCTCTCTATCTTTTCTTCTAACTCCTGAATTCGTCTGTTTCCCTGAAAAAAGAGATAGCATTGGTTTTAAAAAGCATCAGTCACTTTAAGTTAAAACTGGGTTAGACTTCGACACTTTCTTTCCATAAAATTCCTGAACACGGATTCTCATTCCATGTCTTCCGGTCTTCCGTTCTTCATTTTCTCATTTCCATTTCTGCTCTCCAATCAACGATGCTTAATTCTCATTGTTCGTATCTTGTTAACCACTATTTCATTTACAATTTCCGTTCCTTGGTTTTCAAGTTGACATCAGAGAAACACCAACGAAAACAACACATTTTTGCACATCTACCCACCGGCACTTCAACCTACACCGCATGTACATGCAATTTTAGTTATGCAAACTATCTAGTAACGAACACAAAAGAGCTAACGCCTTACATCGCACTCCTGGACCTCCAGAGAACGGAGACTGTTCCCGACTGTTTTGGATTCTTCCTCCAGCTCCTTGAGTCGCCTTATGAAGATTAAAATAAAATAATCATTAAACTGAGCATTCGTTATTTATAATGTAACGCAACCGTCTCTTGCATTTCGCTGTGTGACATCTTAAGGAAGGCTGCGACGGAGAACAGAGCGGTCAAAGATGGCGCATGCGCGGGGTGATCACCTTCGACTGGATTTGGCCGCACATGCGCTTATCTCCCGCACAAAATTCCATAGGAAAACAAAACAACTACTGTCTCGCAAACTAAGCAAAAAGAATTGGAACCTTCAAAGAAATCTGTGAAATGAAGCATGCAATGCATGCAGTCGAGGTGTTGTTCTGTTCCGTGCTACAACTCAAAAGAGAGCACACGTTGCGCGACGATCAAAGTGAAGAAAAATAATTTGAAATTAAGTGATCTAAAAGGTCCTTCTGTCTACATTACGTTAAGATCGTTGCCTTTTCTTCAAACTGAATAATTGAGGTCAAACATCTCAACTTAAAACTCACTCATCTGCGTCTTCAGCGCGGCTTTCCAATTCATCGAGTTCTTCTTCCGCTTCTGCAAGCTTTGCCTCCAACTGTGTACGAGATTGATTGATAAGTGATATATTACAGAAAGATAAAAAGAAGTTAAGATGTTATTCCGCCATCTACAAGTTTCTATAGGGTTCTTATCTATTATTAGTGAAAAAACCCTCTGACGTGTAAAAATCACGAAAAGAGTCGGACAGCTCGTGTGACAATCATGGCAGACGTGCTTACGAAACAAATAGACAGATCTGAAGTACTTGTAGGGGGAATTCTTATCAAAACCTCCGGAGCATAGGGGGGGAACCGAAAAAGGCGAGAAGGGAGAGAAAGTGATTTCGCTCTACCTCTAAGCAAGAAGGTGCATTTTTTGAGGGAACAAACCCCCCAAAATAATACAAAAACTTTATCTGTGGCGATTGTTTTCACCCACATGTCCCCCTCCCCCACCCAAAATCAATTTATGATTAATGATACTTGTCAGGCCTGGATACTTGTCATCATACGTAAATAACGCAAGTCCCACGGGAGGGAGGGCACATGAACGACTGCTTTCTTACTTCTTCAATTTCTCTCTCGGCGGACTCGTGCCTCTCCTTCTCTTCCTCTAACTTGGCTTCAAACTGAGCTTGCTAATGAGAAACAACAACCGCAATTAAATAAGTATCTGTAAAAATCGGTAGCACAATAGCAAAAGAAAGAACGAAAGAATACTAACTCGTTCCTCGTCACCCATGGCCCTAGTTTCCAGGACCTTCCTCACTCTGCAAAGAGAAATCAACAGCAAGATATATTGTCAGGATTTGTGAGAATTTATCATAGCCATTTTTCTCTTACCGCGTAACCCTTGGACCCGTTAGTTGGACCAGCATCTAATTTCTCCTTACAATATCACCCCTAAATAAAAACATTATGGTCACGAGAATGAAGGAAATGAACACCATCTAAGGAAGCTCTCGATTGTTAAACAAATTCTCCTTGACAGCACCCTTAGCCCTGTATAAAAAATATGCGTCGAAAATTTCCGTGAGTGGAGGTTCAAAAAAGTAGTTTGTTCGTGCCCAGGCAAACATCAAAGGATGGGAAAAAATAGAAAAAAATGAAAATGGTCGAAGATTGGAAATATTGCTTAGGGTTAGGGTTATTGACGAAGATTGTACATATAAAACTCGAAAACATTTTGGTAACTTTTTTAGGATTCACGGACCGTGACGTAGCTCAGTAGTCGTCATTGAAGGTTGGCAATCGATCGAGAACTTTGCATAAAGGACGTGACGAAGTCAAGAAGAGATTTGAGAGTCGAAAAGGATAGGTAGAGATTGGCAAATAGCTTCTTTTGAGGCGCGTTTGAATTTATATTTGTCGTGCACTTGCAGTTTTTATTATACACTTCTTTTTGATCAATTTTGGAAAATTCTGAAGTATATTACTGAAATGTCAGGCTTGGTAGAAAAGAAATGGCAACATAACTTTTAAAAGAATCGTTCAACTTATGCTAAAAAAATTCCGGGTTTAAGTTGAAACTGGTTGGAATCAGGATTTGGCAATCACAGTTTCATTTCTTGTGTATTATAGCTGATGCATAACTGAAATTATCCGGTTTTCAATCGGTCTGCTTCATAAAAGACGATCGACGACAAATAATGAGTGTGAAAGGTGCATATAACCATCGCCGATAACCATCATTTACAAACGTAATAGTCTTGCAAGAGGCAGGAATTCAAATTTGACAACAGCACGTCAACATATTCCATCACTGATTGATTTTGGAAGGTCAGGATTATCCCGAATGTAATTGGCTGAGACGATTGCACCCTAACTGCGCCAAACGAACCGAAAAATCGGTCCTTTGAATTGATTTCTTCCGATAGTATATAATTATCAATGTTAATGCTTTCTAGTTTTGCCTTTAAAAAATCCACTAAGAATTTACTTGGGAGTGATATTCATTAGTGCTGCTTATATAAACGTGGAGCTCTTTTAGATGCCGATAAATTGAAGTTAATTTGACAACCTCTGTCCGTGGGCTGCTCACTCGGTTGGATCAGTTTGCTTTATCTATCATACTGTCACGAAATGACTTGGTCAAAAACTCTGTTAACCGAAACTGTGCAAGATTTTTGCGCCGAGAAATCTATGGGCGCGGAATATTCACTACCATTCGTAACTAATGGTTTGGAGACTTAAAGAAATGCAAATCGTTCGGAATTTGTCTGGAATCAAGAACAGAGTGGCCAAAAAGAACCTTCCTTCAATCTGTAGAATAACCTTTGTTTACTGTAATTTAAATGCATGCTTGCGGACGCGAAAAAAACACATAAGATAAAGTGTTGAAAACACAGAGAAGTTGCATTAAAACTCGGCATTGATAATCTGGTATAGAAAGCAAGAACGCACTCATATTTAAGGCTTGTTGTCATGTTTGTTGAAGTCACTTTGTATTTGTTAATTTGAGATATTTTGTTAGTTTACGAACTATCGAATTAGTACCTCTCGTTTTCATCTGAGGTTTGCTCGGCTTCCTCAAGCTGTAAGGTAACTTCAGACAGCTGAGATTCTTTAGCGTCTAGTTGGTCTTCAATTTCTTGCAGGTCATGGGTTAGTTTTTTTACTTCATCTTCTGCCTGCGGAAAGCATAAAAACGCAACCATGACAAACAGTTTACAAATTGTTTATAAATTTGGTCGACAGTTCTGTTCACATAACCTGGAAGCTAGAGGCATTAAATCGTGTCTGTAGCTCAAAGTAAAGGATGTTTCGCTTGAGAATAAGACAATGGAAGAGTTTCAAGCGTATTTCAACAAGTGTAAAACTACAGAATAATATAAGGATTCTTACGGCTAAATTCCTCTCTTTGGCACTCTTTAAGCATTCTTCAGACTCATCTGCTCTCCTTTCAGCATCATTCAGACTTATTCGCAGCATATCAACCTTCTTCCTAATTGTCTCCATTTTGCTTTCTGTAAGAGAATTTTCCAACAGACAACTCCCTAAAACTATGCCAAAGCAACCGAACAAGGACCTGTACTACCCGCGTACAGCAGAGGTAAGCTGCTTGTGACCTAGATATAAATATGTCATCGACCAATATCTTGTCAGGGGTGTGACGCGGAATCTCAGCTATGTCATGGCTTTCTTCTTCTCAGCGTGATAGATCATTTGTTCAGCTGAATTGCGACAATAAACTAACTCCTTATTCGCCTGCACAGTTGTGTAGCAATTTACTAAAAGCAGGGATATCCGACAATTGCTGACTGCATTATAGGAACTTGAGGTACAGCATTGCTTTGGTTAACAGCTTATCATGGGGTGCCATTAATTTCAATGTGAACTCCAATTGCAGACGTAATAGGTGTTATCTGAGGTATATCGGCCTTCATGTTTTCAAGCTAAACACGGGCGTCTGTTCTCGTTTAAAAGTTAACATTTTACTTAACCAATTTCCAATCAATTCTGGATTTAAAGTTGTTACAAATAAAACAGTATCCGCAAACCATTTTAAATCGTATCTAATGCGAGAGGTTGGTGAACGTAAACAGAGGACTTGCACAAGAACTGGGCTCAACGTCACTTGCGGTCAGCGAAGCTATTTTTTTTTTTTTTTTTTTTTTTGTAATCAAACGGATTGGGATGAGCTATAGGCATATGGAAAAATATGGACTTGGTCATTGGACCCTTGGACTATTTTTTGGACCATTTTTTTGACCATTTTATCGAGGGGGGCCACCATTAGGACTCAGGGAGGAGTGGGATGCAATCCATCAATACTTAGGGAGGGGTGAGAGGCAGACTATTGTTACTCAGGGAGGGGTGGAAGACGAACTATTAGTACGCAGGGAGGGGTGGGAGGTGGTTATAGAAGTAAATGCTACTGATTGATGGAGTTTTTACTGGACCATACAAATTTTTTTGAGCGGTTTTTCGATTGACTATTTTTATGTCAAAATTTTTGAGCTGGGCTGTTCTTTTGTCATGCGAATGTGAAACTGCCACCTAAACACTGGACTTCGGTTGTAATTGAAAATATGGCCAATTCTCTTTTTTGATCCTCCACTGTTGAGTCACGCGTGTGCCTTTAAGTCGACTTGTTCCAGCGCTAAATGACATTCACCGGCTATCACGAATCATCTTTCAGTTGCTTCACGTTTCCCTCTGTGTAGACAGTATACCATTACTAAATTTATCTATCTTCCTCTTGTCGTTGATTTTATCAGACGACAGAGATCACGGAATTGCCGCCGGGTCGTTAGTCCTTACTTATAAAATAGAATCCATATGCACTATCGCAATTTTAACTTTTGCACGTTTACTATAAAAACATTGTTGATACAATCGTACAGTGCAATCTTCTCTCTTTTCAGATACACAGTTTTCCGGCTTAACGTTAAGTGTCATGTCACGCATTCCACTTTGTACATTGACGATTAAACAGCACAGCTTCAACGCTGGATAAAATTAAGGTTTGACTTTTATGGCTTAAGGACGCAATTTTTCTTTCACATAGCCGATGCATTGATTCATTAAATCAACACAAGTGCAAATTACAGAATTACCTTTTTTTTGAAAATTACAAATTTCCAATTCCCTTTTGCAAATTGCCGATTTAAGTTAATCTCACCAATAACCTTCTTTCATTTTGTTTCTTTTCGAAAATTACAGAAAGCCCTCTCCGAGACAATAACAAACCGACTTTGATACTTTCCAATGATTCGAGAGGAAACTTCACAAACTTGCTAGCTAAAGCCTTGCCTTCTTCACCTTTTTTATTTCTTTATTAGACCTCACCTGGGCCAGTTTTGTCTGTTTGTTTGTTTGTTTTTTTCTATGAAAGTAGCTGAAATTAAAGAGTAAAAAACATGTATGCATTAACAAATCATAGCGCAGATGAGTTTATCATAATTATTTTCCCAAGAACATTTACACAGTTTACACGTATGTCCTTTGCGTGCGATATAAACTTGATTAACAGTATCTGATTAACAGTTAAAAAAAAAAAAAGACAGTATAAAAAAAGGGCATCACGTCAAAATCTTGCATCTAGTTTGAATATCCATGCAGTGCTACAAACATTGATTTCCCATGAACCTGTTTGGTGAATTGAAGTGGGATTGAGGTCTCTGCCAATAAGCTTGTGCTTCACTGCTGATAAATCAAAATCACTAATTTTGATAAACAATCAAGCTAAAATGGAAAAACAATTCAATTTAATTCCATGGACATAGCCATTAAAACGCTTTAGTAACAACCTTATCGATGCCGTACGTTTTTTTTATCGCCTTTTACGACATATACTTGGATATCACGGGTCAACTTACTTCCGGCTAGTTTCCAGTTCCGTTGCGGGGAAACAGTCTCGCTTTGTTCGATCTTCATTAAGTCGCTCGATGAATATGAATGAAAGGTCTGTGTATGAGGTTATGCGCCTGCAGGTGCTCTTTAGACGCCTAAGAGGGAAAGAGTAACTCAGTTCCAAAAGGCTCTCAAGGCTGATAGTCGCTTACTTTTCCAAATCGAACATTATAAAGTTCATGTTTCAAGTATTAGGCAGTAAGAATTTTAGCTTGAACACGTAGAAGAATTACTTACATGGGCACGTCCTTGCAAACCAATGTCCGCTGAACTGTGAAACAAGCTCACGTACGCAGGAAAACGCGCTGATAGCGCGGAAGAGATGAATGAAACAGAGGACTATTGGGCTACTGCCGCCCACAACACCATTGCAATCGGCAATTTGCAATCCCCTTATAACCAACTGACGGTAATAGACAGATACTAACAGAAAACGCTGAATCATCGCTGACTTTTATTGTGGTCTAAAATAACAAATAAGTAATACAGACAAAATCGAATTATATCAAGTAATATATTCAATAAAAGTTCCACAGATCAGCACTTGCCTATAAGACCCGAGACTTGAGAATAGCAGACGACTAATAGACAGTTTTATCGAATCGCGTGCAGGAAAGATCTTTCCAGCCAAAGTCCATGAGAACCGAATTCCACTGCAATATCATGATCGCTCTTTCCCTGCGCGTGCATGGACTTAATTTTTTCAGCCATCAGCTTCCCGAGCACAGATTCAGCAGGTGAAACTGCAGGCGCAGCTGGTCTTGTAAAATTTGTAGCAGACATCACCATCAACATATTCTTGGAAAAGAATGACTCTTCGACAGCCTGATGCATGCTTAAGGGAAGCGCATCCGAACTGTTGAGGTTTTTCCATTTTGGGACCATTTCTTTCAACTTTTCCCAGCTGCGATCGTTTAGAGACAGTTTCTCGAGCAATGGGCGCAGTTTGTCTTGCATTGTATGATAGATTGACTCCAGCTCGTCGCAGCGTTGGCGCAATTTGGCGATTGTTTGCTGACTTGCCTTCTGGTTTTTGTAGTTAGAAAGTTCATAGGTTGGAAAGGTAATGTTACTAAGAACTTTCTCGCTGGCTGTCTTCAGGCCAGTTCCGTCGTCGATCCACGGCAACGCCTGCAGAACCGGGGCATAAACATCCTCGTAAAAGGCACCGACGGTTTTCGATAGAGAAAGTAACTGATTATACTGGCTTTCCATTGCAAACGACCTCAAATGAATTGTGAGGAGACTTGAAAACTGTTCGGCGAAGAGGTACACAACCGAGCGTGTTTCCAAAGCAGATAAGTGTGTTTTCATAAAAAGCTGCTGTTTTGTGAACCGAGTTGTTGATGTTTACAAGCTGTGTCATTAAAGGAGAAGTACGTACGTTAATTGGCGTGGGTTCTTCAACAACTAACAATCCGCCGGATGTGCGTGACTGATTTTCACGATCTACGCCAAGTGAATCTGCATAGTTTCACGTTTAAGTTGCAGGTAGGTGAAATGGCGAACGCTGAGATTCACGAGGAAGGTCTGATGATCCTCTTAAAATATAAAGAAAAATTGAAGAAACATAAATCTAAGATTATAGGGGAGTTCACTATACCAAAGGAAATTTTGAAGGAAAGATTTTGTAATAGTGTCATTGATGCTAATCGGATGAACTCTATGGAGTTAATTCCCTGAAGAGTTTCATTGTCGTCATTGCCTCGGAACAAAGCTAGCTTTGTGTTAATGACAACAAATACACAACAACACCACTGGTTAATACTACACGTACTCACAACACAAACTCATTTAGCTCCTTTCGATCGAGTTTAGAGGAGAGCCCATTTCTTCGTTCTGTAAATCATGGGTGTCGGTATTGCAATAGCGGCAGTTGCCATTCCAGCCACTTTAGCAAGTGACGTCGCCTTCTCTGTCGAAGAAGACAAGAAGCAAAAGGAACTGCAATCAGCCATCAAAAGTGCACAGACCGCCATCGATCACGCCAACGATTTCTACCAGAATGTATACAAGATCGTTAAAACTCGGCTCGACCATTTGAAGCAGAGCATGAGGAAACTACCAACTGATGTTGTGAACAAACTTAATGACGAACTGCAGTTGAACCTGAGCAATCCCAGCAAAGTTATCAAAGACGTTGGCCTGGCCCTAAACATCACACAAACTACAGTTGGGGTGGTTGGCCTTGTCTCCTATGGCCTGACCAGCGCTGGAATAGCTGCAGCCGATGGAATCGTTGCTGATATAGGAGCTATAGCCGGGGCAGCAGGTGCCGCCCTGGCCGTGGCCGGCTTTGGTTTGACGCTGTACACAGGAATAACAGCGCTGAACAAACTGAACGACGCTATACATAAAGTGAACGGTAAACGACAACAAGCTGAAGACGCCATGACGAAAATGAAGAAGTCTCTTGATGGTCTTCTCTCTGCACTGGGAATGAGGGTTGGAAGTTATGAAACCCTTAGAGACATCTCCAATGACTGGGCCACTCTCGCTGCAAACTTCGACAAGTACGCGACCGCATTTTACTACGCCATGACAGGATTCGCCATGAAGAAAACCCAGGCACAAGTGAATGCTTTCCTTAAAGCAAGGCATTGCCCCACATTGAAGGACGACGTACTGGTCTTGGCAAATCTGATTCAAGAAAACATCCTAAAAATGATGAAAAATGGGAACACCGATGAACAAATAATCAATTTCTATGCAAAAAACAACCCTAAGGAAGGACTCCGTTTTGTGATGGACCCATACTTTGTCAGCACACTCCGATCTTTTATAAAGTAACCTTCAATGCTTTGCCAGCTAAAAAATATTCATCTTAACTGTAATCTTACGATAAACCTAAGTTTTTTAAAAAACAGAAACCTTCTGATAGTTAAGTTTCTCCAGGCTTGATATCGAACGAGAGTAATCTTGTGTCAGGTTTAAAATTAATAAAACACTTCAAATCAATGAGAGAAGATTTAAGTTGTTATTTCATTATTTGAGAGGAAAGAATTGTCGCAGACCGCAGGTTATGCTTAAGTCTTCAAAACTCTTTGCGGAGAAGCTCGATCTCGGCTCGATGTACAGCGGCTGTTCGGGAAATGAGCCCACGCTCCTCCTCTCAAAGGTCCCCTTCTGGAGAGGATCGGTACAATCGATGACCGCACACGAGACAACGGCGCCCAAAGCTCGATCCAGTCTGTACCCATGAAAGCTAGAAAATCATGGCTGAAGTAATGCGTCATTTCCGGTTATAATCAAATGAAAGGACGCTATAAAACAGTATACATACGTTTAAAGAACGAGAAAGTGATCGTACTGTAGGCTAGATGGCATTTGCTAATAAAAGCCTGATAAACGAAAGAAATCAAACTGAAGATCGTAGGCTAGTAGTAGGCTAATAGTAGGCTAAAACTCTATGGTCGAATGAGTTATCTCTTTATAAATTTCCTTCAAAGCTTTTGCACAGGCAGTTTATAGAATATGGTTGATGGGACACTAAATTCCCACGAATAGCCGATGAAATAGTGTATGTTTTCAAGTCAGGAGAATGTGCTATAGATTTTGGGAATGAAGGGTTGAAAGCACTCGCCAAAAGACACCTTTTCGTCTGAAGAGTTAAGTAATAAAAAGAAGCCTGTAAAAGCCGAACGCGTTCTAATGGCGTGTTAAGTGAGGAGGCCAAGCGAGAGGGACTCGGGTGTTATTCACAGGTATTTGCTAGCTCCCTATAAAACATGCATTTAGAATGCTTATCTAGCTGTATAGCCCTATATCAGACTCAGGGATATCATAATCATAACTGTCTTTATCCTTGTAGATCTCGCGTAAGTTTTTACCCGAAGCATTGGAAATGGTTTAACAGGTTTTATTTGCCTTAAAAGTCACAATACTACTGATAACAAGATTTCATTGATTTGTAAAAGGTTAATTCTCGCAACTTAAAAAAAGCGATTGTTAGTGACTAAAGAAAATTGAAAATAAAATAACCTGATCAGCCAACTTGTTAAACAACTTTAAGAGTTGACCGCTGATTTCCCAGTCAATATGCATCAAAAGAAAATTATATCGTGCTCAGTGATCAACAAGGCAAGGGAGCTCCTCATTCTAGCGGACTATTCACGTTAGTGTCCCACAATGTTTAAAAGTTAGGTCACGCTTGTTTGGTGTGTACTGCATATTGTCTCAAATTCATGGCAGCTCAGAGGATTTTTTTCGATGACACCTCTTCCAAATACTCAACAAAGAACTCTTGGTCGATGAAGACAATTTTTCTTTGATTTGCTCTCTAGAAATCTAGATGGAAGGTCCTTCTTACTGAGTCAGCGCTTTTCTTTACCTTTCCCAGTGGCCAAGGCTCACTCACAACTGTACAACCAATCCTCTGAGAGGTCTAGCCATTGTGATCACTTTCTTAATGAATTACAAATAAAAGGTATAATAAAACAAATTCCTCCCTCAAGATATCGGCCACAGAAAGGTTGGAAAATTACAACGCAGTTCAACATAGCCAGTGAAAACAGCTACTTCTTAAGAACTAGAGTTCTAAAACAGGTGTTTATTGAGAGAGACTGCACCAGTAGCAACAACAACAAAGATGAAAGGTTGATGTATTTGCAGGCTACGTTAATACGTTGATCTCACATAGATGTTACATGTAATTCAATTTTCCTAAAAACCTAATTAAATTAAAAGAGAAATTATTCAACTGAAAAACTCAACACATCTTGTCAACCACCAAACTCCTAGTTTACACAAGTTTAGATGACACAAGAGGCAAATTGTTCCCGACAGTTCCCTGTGAACTAGTTTTGCTTTTACATTTCGTTCAACTCTTGCATGGTCTGATCTAGTTCCTCTTTTACTTTGTTATATTCTTCCTTGGACCTTTCCAGTTCAGCTGCAGAAAATTGAAACAAAGTAAAAAGTTAAAAAATCATTTTAAAACTAAGGGATAGGTACAAAAGCAAAGAAATTCTTACAATCCAAGTTATCAATCTCTTTCTCCAGTTCTACCACCTTGGCCTCAGCTTGAGTTGCTCTCTCTTCAGCCTAGTGAACAAAGTCCTCAAGATTTAATGATAAAATTTATGTTGTAAATTCAGGATCTGTCAAGATTATAATGTCTTATTTATCAATATACAAATACTGAAAAACAGAACCATATCAAGTGTAGCTATTAAAGCAGAAATTTTCTATACCTCATTGTACTCAGATTCAAGCTTTTTGATCTTGTCATCATAATCTATCTCTCGTTTGGAAGCCTGACAATGACAAACAAAAAATTAACGTGTACAAACCCAGAATGATTGTTTAAATTTGAGTATATCTACCCAATAAAAATTCAATAATTTTCTTTCAATGGTTAAAGTCTGTGCTTGAGCCAGGTGACCCATCCACTCTGAGCTTATCCCAGTTTCTCCCAGAAGTGATTAACAAGTGACTTCTCACTAAAATAACTTTAGATTATCCAGCTAACAGGTCATGAGAATATTGAGGAAAATTAACAATCAAATCATGGGGAGTTAAAGGGTTAATCAGTCTTCCCTAACAGTTTGCCGATACCCATTTTTAACTCCTGACCTTGGTTGTTTGAGGGGTGGTTGATGCCACCCACTGGATAAATTGCTATCCAGCTAATAGCATAGTATGTTTTGTACACCCTTATCCACTGGATAGTGTTATCCAGCCTTTGAACAAACGAGACCTGGGTGGAGAGAAGTACTGTGAAAGTAAAGTATTTTTCAATAGAACACAATACGATGACCTGGCCAGATATTGAACCCAGACATCTTCACCCAAAGTTCAGCACACTATCCATGAAGCCACAGCTTCTTCCTCTCTTTAAGTGATTTAACTTTTAATACAAGTTGCCTTCACAAATTAAGCGTTAAACACTCACCTCTCCTTCACTGACTTCTAAACTTCGCAAATTGTTTCCAACCAAGGTGACCTCTTCCTCCAGAGTCTTAACACTCCTGTAAACAAAGTTAAGAGCCTGAGTATGAGAACATGAACAGAGAATAAACAAAAACACTGAAACATTGTTTAACAATGCCAAAGGTCACTTTGCATGAACCCCAGAACTGTGTTTTAAATGGTACTATTGGCTGGAACACCATAAGGAACATATTTTAAAGATAAGCTCATGTGTAAGAACTGTCTTAATATCTCTTACACCCTAACAACAGTTTTCATATTCTTCATTCAGTTTTTTCTTTACATTTCCTAAGCAGCTGACAAGAAGAACTTATTCAATGATCATACACTTCTTTAGTAAGTTATCATTAATTTATTTTACTTAGCTTTGCCTAATTATCTCAGCCAGGGAGACCACTACAGCTTTAGCCAATTACAGTGGATCTGGCATTAACAATGACAAGGCCAGACCCCCCCCCATTCCCAGTAAACAGGCCCAACCACATCACTGTAATCTCGTGCGTGGGTTCTTTAATGTCCCCTGCCTAACCAAATTGAATAATTAATGGAGCAAGAGATGGGACCTATGGTTTATTTGTCCTTATTCGAGAAGACTAGAATGTCTATCCATTTCTTGACATTCTATAGAAAGGTAGCACATTCTCCTCAATTATTTTAAGACCTTGAGTGTTGGTCCGGCCGGGCCTCTAACCCCTGACCTCCCGCACAACAGTCCAGCGCTCTAACCTATTGAGCTAACTTGTTGTGACTTTGATGTGCAATTCAGAGTTGATGATACAGTAAGAAATTGGATTCTAATCACTCTTAAGGGTTGAAGGGTTGGTCTGGTGCACAAAAACTGGACTGTGGCATACAAATATCATATTTACTTGAAAGTAAATCAATGGTTTGTTAGCTCATTGCTGGAAAAAAGTGGTCAAACTTATTTTTACCCTTGAAAGATAGAGCTGGCTTGTGTAGCAAACATGTAAGTGAATGTTAAGGCAGACACAGAAATGTGCTTCGCCTAATGGACCTTATGTACTTCTTATAACACCACAAGAGTTCTTAATCCAACAAACTTGTAACAATGTAGCAGTTCTGGTGATAATTCTGGCTTTTTCCTTTTGCTGTAATGCTAAAAACGAACTAAAACCAAACTTACTCTTCTGCTTCCTCAGCCCTGTTTTCTGTTTCTTCCAATTCATTTTCCAGTACGGCTATCTTTGCAGCAATCTTGAAGGAAAAGTAAAATGGCAATTAAAACAATTTTAAAGAGCCATAATTTTGGCTTTTGCCATTTTCATAAGCATGGTGAAAAGCTTCCAGAATACCAATCCAATTTTTTATTTACACAAAATAAAAGTATTCCTCATACAACTGAAGGTAGCTTTCATTTAAGCACATAGGAACTATTGTGCAATATCAAGTCTTTTCTGTTAATCATTCTACCAATCATCATTCATAGTAAGAGCAGGTAACTGTACAGCTAGCATAATGAGTAAATGAGTCAAAACATTTTACCACATAACAAACTAAGAAAGACAAACCTCTTCATACTCTCTCTCAGCTCTTTCAGCTCTCTCTCGTTCCTCAGCCAATTTGGCCTCAAACTGGGAAGACTAAATGAAGAGCAAAACCACATTTAGATAAATATCACTTGAGGTTTAATTAAGTATGGTTTGAAAAAGTAATCTCCTGATACAGTTCCTGTTGAAAACTCTTTTGAAGCTCTCCTCTTCTACATGGACAAATATAATTGTATGCAGGACTGTAATTAGAAAATGCAATAGATATACAATCTGAACTGAGTACACAGCTCGATTCAATTAGGCTTATGTATCAAGCATGACCTATTGCTTAGCAACACATCCTTCTAAGGTGTAGGGCTCATGAGCGTGATCCCCAAAAAAATTTGAAGTTTGAAACTCTCCGAGATGTGATTTCCAACAGTCTGGGGAATTTTTGAGTAACCTTCTTTTACTCAAGCATTGATGTTGAAATCAGTTTAAAAATGCATAGTTTCTGTCTTAAACCACAATTCATACAGTAGATGGTACAAAATGGTCTGACAGTCAGCGGGTCTGGCCACCTACCAGCTTCTTTAACAGTACTGGTACACCACCAATATTTCTACTCAACAGATTATGACAATTCACAGTACTATTTTCATAAAGTAATT